CCTTGTCAAAAATTAGGTGTTCATAAGTTTGTGGGTTAATATCTGGGTCTTCTATTCGATTCCATAGGTCGACTTCTCTGTTCTTATGCCAATACCAAGCTGATTTCAATACTGTAGCTCTATAATAGAGTTTGAAGTCAGGGATGGTAATGCCTCCAGAAGTTCTTTTATTGTATAAGATTGTTTTGGCTATCCTGGGTTTTTTGTTTTGCCATATAAACTTGATTATTGTTCTCTCAAGGTCTGTGAAGAAGTTTGATGGGATTTTGATGGGGATTGCATTGAATCTATAGATTGCTTTTGGTAGAATTGCCATTTTTACTATGTTGATTCTCCCAATCCAAGAGCAGGGGAGGTCTTTCCATTTTCTGGTATCCTCCTCAATTTCTTTCTTCAAAGACTTAAAGTTTTTGTCAAATAGGTCTTTCACTTCCTTGGTTAGAGTAACCCCAAGATATTTTATGCTATTTGTGGCTATCATGAAAGGTGATGCTTCTCTGATTTCCCTCTCTGTTTCTTTATCCTTTGTGTATAGGAGGGCCACTGATTTTTTGGAGTTGATCTTGTATCCTGCCACATTACTAAAGGTGTTTATCAGCTGTAGGAGTTCTTTGGTAGAGTTTTTGGGGTCACTTACGTAAACTATCATATCGTCAGCAAATAACGAAAGTTTAACTTCATCCTTTCCAATACGAATCCCCTTGATCTCCTTATGTTGTCTTATTGCTATTGCTAGAACTTCAAGCACTATATTGAAGAGGTATGGAGAGAGTGAACAGCCTTGTCGCGTTCCTGATTTTAGTGGAAAGGCTTTGAGTTTCTCTCCATTCAGTTTGATGTTAGCTGTCGGCTTGCTGTATATTGCTTTTATTATATTTAGGTATGATCCTTGTATCCCCAGTCTCTCCAACACCTTTATCATAAATGGGTGTTGAATTTTGTCAAATGCTTTTTCAGCATCTAGTGAGATGATCATATGGTTTTTTTTCTTTCAGTTTATTTATATGATGGATTACATTGATAGATTTGCGTATGTTGAACCAGCCCTGCATCTCTGGAATGAAGCCGACTTGATCATAATGGACAATTTTTCTAATGTGCTCTTGGATTCGGATTGCCAGTATTTTATTGAGAATTTTCGTGTCGATGTTCATGAGTGAGATTGGCCTGTAATTCTCTTTCTTGGTTGTGTCTTTGTGTGGTTTTGGTATTAGGGTAACTGTAGCTTCATAAAAGGAGTTAGGCAATGACTCTTCTGTTTCTATATTGTGGAATACATTAAGGAGTATAGGTATTTGCTCTTCCTGGAAGTTCTGGTAGAATTCTGCATTGAAACCATCTGGTCCTGGGCTTTTTTTGGTAGGGAGATTTTTGATAACAGCTTCTAATTCTTCGCGACTAACAGGTCTATTTAGATTGTTCACCTGTTCTTGGTTCAACTTTGGTATATGGTACTTATCTAAAAAAATGTCCATTTCTTTTACATTTTCCAACTTTGTGGCATATAAACTTTCATAGTAAGATCTAATGATTCTCTGAATTTCCTCTGTGTCTGTGGTTATGTCCCCCTTTTCATTTCTGATCTTATTAATTTGCATGTTCTCTCTCTGCCGTTTGATTAATTTGGATAGGGGTTTGTCAATCTTGTTGATTTTCTCCAAGAACCAGCTTTTTGATTCATTGATTCTTTGGATTGTTTTCTCTGTTTCTATTTTGTTGATTTCAGCCCTCAGTTTGATTATTTCCAGTCTTCTAGACCTCCTGGGTGAATCAGGTTCTTTCAAGTGTGCTGTTAAGTCTTCAATGTGTGCTTTCTCCGCTTTCTTTAATTGCTCTCTTGGCCTGCTCTTTCAGGAGTGCAGCATTCCACAGCTCTCAGAGTCATGTGAGAACAGGGAAGGAAAATATGTTAAATCTTAAAACCCAGAAGCTCTTCATAGGGACAGCAACAGCCTTGGCATGCTGCTGACAATGGGTTATTCTTAATGTGTTGCATTATGTTCTAAGTGATATTTGGATTCTCTTCTTCCTCAATACATTTTGTAAATTTGCTTGTTATGATGTTCTTTCTCATGAGAACGTAAAATAAAAGGAGTCAGTAAGTAGGAGAGAGAAGGATGGAATGTGAAGAGGGTGCATTTTTCACTAAAATGATAGCTCAAAATTAAAGAGGATTTCTTTAAAAATTAATAAGGATTTTGTCACAGAAGCAAATACCATTTTGCCCTTGGGTAAAGTCTAGATTATTCCAAGATGGAAGAGGAGAGCTGAGGGCAATATCAGGAGGTTCTCTTGACTTCACAGGAGAACCAACAAAGTCGCAAAGACTTTGTGTAGGATGAAATTCCTAAAGTCAAATTTTGGTTTGTTTTTTATAAAACTTGAATCCAGTCCTCTTTTAAAAATTAGGTTAAGTTATTGATCTTCTCTGCTAAGAAGACATTAAAAAAAATCAGACTTTATGGTTAATCGAGATGATCATGTTTTTGTTGTCAGACATTTTAGGAAAGTGACATTAAAGAAGTCAAGTTTATTTAAGTATCTGTTTTAAAATTTTTTCAATGGGGCCAATGAAGTGGCTCAGCAGATAAGGTCACTGGCTACCAAGTGTGAGATCCTGAGCTCCATTTCAGGATTCACTTGGTGGGAGGTGATAGCTGACTCCAGACATTTTCCTCTGTCCTCCACATTTGTCTGTAAACATATGTGCACATACTCAAAATAAAGAACTAAAACTCAATAAAAATTAGAAAATCTTTTAAATGCAACTATCTAGACAACTATCTTAGTTTGATTCTAGGAAAAGACAACTGTATTGCTTTTTCAGTTACTAAGCTTCCTGCACAACCCTAATGGGTGGTCTAAGTCTTTTGTCATTCACAGTGTTGGTCATCACCACATATAAATAAATAAATAATAACTGCATATAAACAAACAACAAACAAGCAAGTATAGTCTAGTACGTATTTCTTTTCCAAATTAGTGTTTACAAAATGCTTCACCTTAGTGGTTTATTTTGTATTCTTCTTTTCAATCTTTGAAATAGCTGTCTGTTGACTTTCAATAGATGTCCGGCCCTGTGTGAAGAATCTTAGGACAGACAGAATTAAACTTGGGATCTCAGTCCTGGTGGATAACAAAAGTCATCTACACTTTTTAGTTCATAACATTTGAAAAACAGAAAAGGGATTTTGTTGGTACTGACTTCTCATTTGTCAGAATCTTCCTCCTACCCCCAAAGTGGTATTCGGTCAGACAGATCAGGGCTGATGTCATCACAGTATCAGGGACAGTGGGAATGAAACTATCAGATTCTCAATCAGCAATGTCTTCAGGGAAAATTGTCCAAAGGCAAGAACAGGGGTACAGGGATTGTCAGAATCAAAATTTTTAACCACTTTGACCTTGGCAGGAGAAGAGTAGCAAGTTTTCACAGGAATTGATATCAATCCTTTTCATAAGACCACAAGTCTAGATAGTTTGTAATATTTCTTCTTGTGAAAAAAAAAGAGAGAGAGAGAGAGACTTTTCACTTTCTTTCAAACTTTTATCCCCTGTCTTCTAGTTCTTAAAGCTATCAGAGAAGTTTTTCTGCTACTGTTGACACACTAATACGCCATGCCAACATGTTTGGCTTGGTTTCCTCAGGATCCCTATGAGGGAGTGAGGACCTGCTATGGATACACTTGAGTACACTGTGGGCAGCTATGGCTGCAGTGCTGAGTGATGCTCCACAAGGCTCTGCAAACATCCAGTAACTGAGTGAGTTAAGAGCCCATGCTTACACCTCTGACCAAGTGATGCTTACGGATCCTGGGCCACAGCCATTCCTTCTTTCTTCAGATTTAATCATCTTCCCAGACACAAGTTCTCAGCATTTTAATATGTGGTGTCAGTGTTTGGCTCACTACCATGTGTTCCTGTTTTTATATTATGGGATAGAAATCTCTGTCTTCTGACTCAATCGCCCAACTCTCTCTCTTCTGTATATCTGTGTATTTATGTAGCTCTCTGTCTATCTTCTATCTATCAGTATAATACAATCTCCTATTAATAGACTTAGGCATACTCTACAACAGAAGCATTTGACTTTGCTTCTGAAATATTTCTTTCTAGTAATCTTTGCAGTCTCCTCTTTCCTATAATTAATTATTAGTAATCCTTAGAATTAATATTTAGTTCCATTCACATCACATTCATGATACTGCTCTCTTTCTGTGTCCAAGCAAGTTTTTTGATCCAGTGACTACTTTTTATAATTAGTAAGCAAATGACATAACTATTCCGATATGGTTGAGATCTTGTGTTTGACTTCTAGCCTTCCATATTTAATAATCTACATTACATGGCCTACAGTAAGTTGCAAAACCAGTCAAATTTAGGGGGAAACACACATGAGTTCATGACCTTTGCTTGACTTGTGGTTTTATTCCAAGATTCTGTCCTCAGAGAATGGCCTAATAATCTACTGTGCAGCATGAATTGCAATTTGTGTGTGTGTGATTGCATGTGTGATGAATGGATTTTCAGGAGTGCATCTATGTGCCATCGTACATTCATTTGGAGGACCAAGCAGGCTATTGAGTGTTTTCTGCTGTTAGTCTTCTTTTTTATTTTCTTGAGACAGGATCTACCGCTAAACTAGGAGCCTGCTATTTTGCCTAGACTCACTAATCAGTGGGCTCCTGGTGGCTGCCTGCCTCCATTCCCTAATGCTAATTGAAGAAATATGCAGCCAGATCTGGGTTTTTACATGGGAGGTGAAGATCTGAACTCGGTTCCTTGTTTTTTTATAACAAGCACTTTTACAGTGCAAACATCTGTCATCCCTGAATTAGAATCTTCAGTCTCTTGACAGCCCACTACTCTACTCCTCTCTACGCATATTGGGTTTGTTGACAAATGATGTGCCCCTGCTACTCAGTGTTTTGTTGGAAAGATAGTTATTCAGCACATTTCTACTGACAGAAAATTTGATCAGTTTTTCTCTTTCTTTGCAGATTTGCCATCTCATTATTAATTACCATTTAGAGGAGACCGAGTAAAGGATATTTGCATGATTAATATTTCGCAATTAAGGTTGGAGACACAGACAGCAGCAAAAATGGGTAATTTGAAATTCAAAATATTATTTACAGCATTATAAAATACATGTTTCTCATATTAAACAGTTAAAATAGCTACATTACTATTTCTTATTTCTCAAATAATAATTGTGAGCTCCCTTAAAAACACTGACTGAAAAAAATTCCTCTTATTTCCCTTTTTAGAAGAACATTACACAGGAATTTTAGAGAAAATGTCACAAGTAATCCTGAAAAAAATGCCAAAGGCTCAGTAAGTATTTTTGTTGTAATCAAGAGTTTTGAAATCATGTGTAATATTCCCCTTTCCCCTAGAGTTATTTGACTTTATATGGTAATGTTGATGTGCACCCGTCACACACACACACACACACAGAGAGAGAGAGAGAGAGAGAGAGAGAGAGAGAGAGAGAGAGAGAGGGAGAAGAGAGAGAGGGAGAGAGAGAGAGAGAGAGAGAGAGAGAGAGAGAATTTACATTACATTCATGATAGAAGTATATGTAATTATATGCAAATATGTATTCAGGAATTTAGGTTGTTAATGTCAATGAAATAATAATAACTGTACAGATTGGTGGTATTATGTTATTCATATGAGTTTTGTTCTAAAACTTTTCTTTTTTAGCTATTCCAGTTTATTCAATGATTTTGTTGAATCTGAGTTTTTCCTGATTGACGGAGACTCATTACTTGTCACGTGTGTATGTGAGAAGTCACTTAAGCCGGGGCAGAGTCTCCACTTCTTCTACCTGGTTGAGCGCTACCTGCTGGATGTCATTAGTAAAGGAGGACATTTTGCCATAGTTTTCTTCAAGGTAACACAGACCACTTGAGCTTTGTACCCTCGGAAGACTGAAACCAGAATTCATTTAAATGATTAGTTAGAGACAAGAAATTTTGTCCCTGTAGCTGGCCTTGAACTCATGATGCCCTTGCTTCTGCTTCCCAAGTGAAAGGATTTCAGGTGTGCACTACTACTCCTTGCTATAACTAAAATTGTTTTTATGAGATTTTATAAATGTTTTCACCGGTGAGTGCAGAGAAAAATACATTTTCAAAAGTATGGATGAGTAGTTTAGCCAACCTGGAAAGACCTTTAAAGAAAAAAATTTAGAAGTGCAACTTAGTGGTAGAAGACTTGCCTAGTGTGTGCAAGGCTGTGGGCTCAACCTCCAGGACAAAAATAAACAAAACAAAGAAAAAGTCAAACAATTTAAAGGGAAGAAGAAAGCAAAACAATTACCTAGCATTGCAGTTTTCTAGAATGAGCACAATTAGATTGTTTAGTAACGTGTAGTGATGGGAAACTTTTGAGGACAGAGTCACAAGAGTTGGTGAACTTCCGAACAGTGGCCCCACTGACCTCAATTCTACTTCTCCAACTCTGAGAACTACTTTGCCTTCAAAACTCAGCAGGCAACTTATTTGAATATATTGTTAGGTGTATCTGAGCCCACGTGAACTCAATAACTCTCTTTTGCTGTTGTGTGCTCTGTTATGAATAATGATGAGGTAATATCATATTGGGTTTAATTAATGAAATTTAGTTAACTTCAATTACAGGTATATCTACTGCTACCATATCCTCCTTTTCCTATATTCAGGGCAGCTAATACTAACTCAAGGATTCTCGTGTGAATGTTCAATCTGTTTGCAGCTCACGATACTGCATATTTCTGAGCATTGCTGACCAGCACCATTTTGTTCAAGGAACCAGGGTTCTGTTCTACGCTTACAGTTGTTTTCACAGATTTTAATCTACTAAGAAAAACCCTTGTTGCTTAAGAAGTCACTGCATCTAGAATTATTTTTTAGAATAACATGTTCCTCTTCAGCTCCCTATTCCAGAAAATTTATAATTTAAATTATTAATTTAATAGTTAGTTTTGTCTGTTGTTTTCTTGAGGTGAGGTTGGACAGGGGAATGATTAAAAGACTGGAAGACAAAGAGTAATGAACTCTGGGTACTGTGGGCTTGCTTACTCTTATGTTAAAAATGTGACTTATAGCATACATTTGTGATATAGAAAAATTCCAGGGTCAATTAACTGACTAAAGGACATGAAAAAAAAAAAACCCAACCCTTCTGTACCATGTTCCTTCAATGACCTTAATGATATATGTTAACTGCCTGAACTATCAAAACACTTGTCAAATACTGTCCTTTGTCTCCTCCTCACAGGATGCTGAATATGCATACTTCAGTGTCCCTGGACTTCTTACACTGAGAACTGCTTTAATTATGCACCTTCAGAAGAATACAGACATTGATGTTTGGACTGAATTTTCTGGATGCTTGTCAGAGGAGTGGAGTATTTCCCTGGGTCAGAGATGCCCATATTTCCTGATTCTTGCCGATGAAGGCCTGAACGACCAGCAGACACACCTTTTCAACTTTCTAGTCATTCAATCTTGGGCAGCAAAGGTCAACATCGTGCTCTTCTCAGGGCAAACATCTGACATCATCCGTCTTTATGCATATTTTATGCAAAGCTCATATTCAGAGCAACTGTTTTTCAAGCAGGTAATATATATCTAAAAACAATGTTTAAAAATTTTATAAGCATTTCTAAATTAATTCAGAAAATAAGGCTCAGTGGTTAAGAATGCTTGCTAGTTTTGTACCCATGTCTTGTAGTTCATAACTCTATAACTCCAGCTCCAAAGGGATTAGACACCTCTGGCCTCTGTGCATACTACACTTACATGCATATACCTACATACCAACATATATGCAGGCATACATACATAGAGACAGAGATACATATACATACACACAAAACTAAAAATGAAATAAATCTTTAAAAAAATAGCTATCTTGATTCAATATTGACTTTATCCATAATATAGAAACTATTATAGATTTAACAGAATATTATATGATAATCAGTAGTGTTAACATATAGCAATTTGCTAGTTATTTCGTGTTGTATAATAGTTCATAGCACTTATAAATTATTTATATTTAGCATTCAGAAAAGTCCCATGAGGCATGCTGAAGAATGGTCTATAGCCTGTTGGTGGTGGTGCATGCCTTTAAACCCAGTATTTGGGGGCCAGAGGCAGGTGGATCTCTGTGAGTTTGAGGCCATCCTGGTCTACAAGAGCAAGTTTCAGGATAGGCTCCAAAGCTACAGAGAAACCTTATCTAACACCCCCACCCAAGAATCATCTATTTTGAAAGATGATAAAATGGATGCTTAAATCTGTAAGCTGTTCAAAAACACCAGCAGTGAGTAGTACACATTTTAATGCAGAATTTCATTTATAAAATAATTTATGCCCCGATTTACTGAAATTCACCTTAAAGAAACGTTTTTACATGAACTGATTTGAGGAGTACTTAAAATTTAAAATACAATGAAATATAGCTTATGACTCCATTTGTAGATTAGTGGAAATGCCGTTGAAATGGTTGGCAATGACTGTTTGCAGTACCGTAGGTGCCCAGGGAAAGAGGATTTTAATCTCTTCTTAGGTGCTTGGTTGAAATGTGTCATAGCGAAACACACTGAATTTATATCATTTGTATCTTTTTGGAACTGCTAAAATCAGGTGATATATTCCCAACGAGATAACCGGGAAGGGTTTCCAAGCCTTGCTAACCATCCTCAATCACAGCAGGGTAGATTTTAAATGAGGACTGCATTTTTATATGACTATTTCTCAAGTTTCTGAGTTCTGTAGATGAAAAACAATGATGTATTTATGAAAATTTATCATATTTTGTTTTGCAGTTTGAGAGGGACATTATGATTGATTATAAAACCCTGATTCAACAGTTAGAAAAATATAAAGACCTGGATTTAACAACTCTATTTGGAGATGTAAAATTCAATAATATGGTGGAAAAGGTAATAGAACTTGAAAAAAACCCCACTTTTTAATTGAATTTTATTTTTATAAAAGTAAATGTGTGTGTGTGTGTGTGTGTGTAGATCCCAGTATAATCCTGTGTATCATTTCTAAGGTTTTACCTTCTTTTAAACCAGCAAATTTCTATTATTTCTCTAGTCTAATGGATATAGTAACAGGTCTCTTGTAGCAGTGGAGAGTGGGAGAGATACTAGACCTCTTTCCCCTATTCCTGGTTTGAAAAGAAATGTGTCTATTTTCTCCTGTTAAGTAGGACTAAAATAAAGATGTGTTTAGACTCTGATGTAATGATGATGACCCTGAGCTTCTCCTATTGTTTAGATCATGAATACAGTCATATCACTATACCACAGTACTGTTGCCCTTAGTTGTATTATTTCATGATGCATTTACACATTTTTTAATATTTCATTCCTGGTATCCATATACTTCATCATGGTGTAGGGTTTTGTTAATATGGTTTTGGGTTCTTTTTGCTCTATTTCCTGTTGAAGCTTTGCCGTGCTTGGCATTAGGGATACCTCAGTGTAATTTCAGTCATTTTACTGTCTTACATTTATTTGCAGCATTTTATGTGCTTCACAGAAAAGAATGTTCAGACTTTCTTTTGAGTATTCTGACATCCAATCTAAACCAGAGGAATTATCCAATCTTTGATAATTTTGTAAAGTTTTCTGTCTGAAACTTGGCACATCTGTCGGGATGACTCTTAGTTGCTTTACCTGTGTCATGGATATTGGTGTACTTAGGCCTACTAATACTACCAGACTCCAATCTCCAAGTTGTTCTGGGAAAGTAGCAATTTCACTTTTCTAGTTTGTTTCCATAAAACTTATAAGTAGAACTTTAGAAACCTTTGAAGTGGGTTTCTGCCTTTATTTTTGTTACATTCATCTGTGATTTCTATTATTTGTTTAATAATATTTCTCTAATTTAATTTTGAATTTGGAAATATTGACTAGATATATAAAATTTTATTTTCTTAGGCTATGATTTCATCTTTTACTTTTTTGGTTTTCTTGTTTCTTTTTATCTACTTTTTTTAGCAGAGCATTTAATTGATCTATTTTCTCACTTTTGGTATTAAACATCATTTAGTGTTATATGTTTTCTCTAAATACTGCTTTTATTACATGACAATGATTTTGATATAGAGACAGTAATTTCAATATATTTCTTAGATTATCATATTTAGTGATTTTATTGTAATTTTTAAGTGATGGTTCTAACCACCATCCATAACTCCAGTTACAGGGGATTCCATGCCCTTTACTGACATCTGTGAGCACCAAGCATATATGAGAAACAATCATATGTGCAGCAAATACACTCATACATTAAAGTGAAATGAATAATTTTAAGAAAGAGAAAGTTAAAAATTTCAGTTTAAAGATTACTTTTAAAAATAGCATTTACATATCTATGGCAGATTCAGTATTTGTTATGATGGCTCTAATTCACTCTTTAATAATATCAATCCTTGGTATTTGTCATAATATTCATAATAGAATATCTCTTTGGTCCCTACCGGTCTTGATGCATCACACCTGTGTCAGGGAACTTGATAAATGCTCCAGATGGAATACATTATTTCCCCCTTATACATTTCATCACTGTTGTTCCCAGTACTACTATTTTCCTTTTTAACTGATGCAGAAGAGGAGATTTTGTGCAAAATAACTATAAAAGCAATCCATACTTTCAGAAAGTTGATTGTCATGATGTATGTTGCTTCAAATAATATATATTAACCAGAAAATTATATATGCATGTATTTTAAAAAAATACAAGATAGGGATTTGAAGTTACAAGTATTATTTTTATGAATATATGGCATTTCTTGAATGCTGAGCATTTAAATTGTTTGACAATTTTGTTTTCCAAATAATTCTATGATGAACGCTTTGGTGCACACATCTTTGGGCTAATATTGGATTGTATTTTTAGGTTAGATTTCTAGGACTTGAATAAAAAATATCAATAGACTGAATGACAAATGTATTGCCATATGCCTTTACCCGTTTGTAACTTCATTAGCAGAGTATTAAAACTGACACCCCATGATTTCTGGTGCTGTCTGTTACTAAAGTAGTAAAAGATTTAAAAAAGCATGTTGATAACATCAATGAAAAAATGCAATTTTTATATTACTGAAGAATATAAACATTTTTTCATTTTCTCATATTTGCATTTCATGAGAGAATTAGCATTTAAATCATGAATTTCCTTGTTGATTCACCATTTTTTATGCATGCATTTGTTAGGATTTCTCTCAAAATTTTTTGAAATGATTTTACCACTCAATATTTGTGTTCATAATGTTTTTAGTGGAAATAGCCACAGTTTCCATATGTTCACATTGACCCATTCCTTACTATATAATCGCTTATGAATAAATACAGTTCTCTAATTGTCATGACGTGTTATAATTGTCCGCGGTGACAGGCTTGGGAGACGATGTCTCTGCTCAAGCAACTCTGGCCAGAAGGCTCTGACATCCGGCGAGCCCTTTGCGTCACTTCATGCTCCCTCTTCTTGGAAATGTACCACTGCTTCTTAGACAACAGAGAGAAGAAAGCCTCCCAGCAGACGTGCAAAGGCAAGCAGGTGCGGTTGCACACTGGGATGCACTTGTGATTTCCTATTTTATTGCTTTCACCAACCATTTTCCCACTTGGTACTGGGTTCTCTCTTGTTTATATGAACAGCAAAAATAGGAGAATCCCTGCAATTCATGTCATAAAAGAATGCGTTGTTCCATGACTTAGCGTTATCTACAGGTGCTTCACATAGGACATATGTAGCTTCGTCACCTGCAGACAGGCAAAGGAAGAAACAACGTGCTATGCTACTGTGCTTTGGGCTTTTTCTGTGCAAAGTTCACGAAATGCTCAGGAAAGCATTGTTATTTCTATTCCACTATTAGAGCACAGACTTTCAGCCAAGGTGTTTTCCAATAGCCATAGTGTCCCTGTCCCATGATGCTAAGCATGTCTACTTATTTACCTCTGTTCTCATCCTGCAGTTACAGCCTTTACCTACATGGGCACCCTGTTGTTCTCATGGAGTCTGTTCACAATATTGCCTTCAAAGTAGGTTATTAAGACAGAAGAGAGAACATAGCAGGTAGCTCCACCCACCCAAGGACCCCTGGAAACCCTGTTCATCACCTGGTTTATTAGGTTAAACCTGGAGTCCCTGAAAATACTGAGCCATGCCTCACACCAGCTTTTGCAAAGCTAGACACTTCCTTTCTTTTCTATCTCAAACGTGTTTAAACGCAGCCTAGTTTCTGGGTATGTACTGTCTCAGAAATGGAGAAACTGTAAATGTGGAATTCCCACCTAGAGAGCTTAGCTACAAAGTTCAGGCTTCTGCAGATTGAGTCTACAGTCTCCCTGCCTGCTGCTCTCTACTCACCTTCTTTACTTTCTACAGGAACAAGGTAGTTGTTTAACCCTGAAGGATGTGGAAGACTTCTGTAAGCTTCATTGCCTCAGTGTGGTTTTTCAACTCCACCTACCTCTTTCCCAGAGAGCCTGCTCAAGATTCATCACTTCTGGTTGGATTGAGGACCTCAAGACTGTCTTTAAAATGGTAAATATACTCTCCTTTCACTTATACTTTTGTTTTAACTACAGAATACATTAAAAGCCACGTTAACCTTCAAAACAGATTTATACAGGGTGCTGTTAAATTTTGGAGTCTTCAAAGATCGGCTTGCTTAAATCAGTTACTTGACTAGTTTCAACAATCGTATTATGTAATAGGATTGTTATTAATAACAACTATCATGGCATGCATCCAACACAAGGAGGAGCTTTTGACATTTTCCTTCTTAAAATTTTTGTCAGTGTCAGGATTTGTGTCATTAATGAGGAAGTTTCTGGTGACCACCACCTTCTGCGTTGAGAAACAGTTGAGAAAATGGATACAAAGTTTTATTATTTTTTTCCCATTCCAGATTATGAATACAGAGATTTTGGAGACCTTAGGAGAACAAAATGCCAAAATCTCTCCTGAGTTTTCTGTGAAAATTGGTGTTAGAATCTGTTAACACTTCAGTTCATTCTCTTCATTTTAAACAAACAGATTTTTCTATTCTTTATAACATGAAAAATATCCATATACATATTTTTCTTTTTGTATTTTCTTACTTTCTTTATGATATTGGATGCTATCATATTTAATGACTAGTTGCATCTTAATATATATGCAGTATATATTTATTTATACAAGTAAATATTATATACATGTGTGTGGGGGGGTGTAAACATATACTATCCATGTATACTTTATTTTAGGAACCTGAGATAAATAGTCAAGAAAAGTGTCTTATTCCCAAAGAAATTCGGAATGTGCTTTTCTGATCTGGAGATGGAGTGAGATGAACACCCTTCATCATTCCACCCTAGCTCTTCCAGACAGTTACATCTTATAGTGAAGACATAGACTGAATGCCAAGACTTACTGTGAAGGAAGAACTAGAGTAAAACCATAGTTAAAAGATCTAGCCAAGTTTGTAAGAGTTTCTCGTAAGAAGTTATATGACCCAAGTCTTGAAGGATGGGTAGCAGGGTGCACAGAATGGAAATCAGATTGTGGGAGAAGAAGCACTGTGTGTGTTTATCCTAACAATAGCACGGCCAAGAGACTGGGGTCCACTCATTGTATGAAGGACGGAAAACTATAGGGTTAGTGATGAAGCTGATGTAGTGGCCGAGAGACAAATCAGGTAGTATCCTCTAGGTCAGGGTAGATAAGTTCATCATAAGTTCACTGGGAGCATATTAAATGGTTTAAGTAGGCAAATGACACTTCCATTTTTTAAAAAGCATTTTGACTTGCAATGTAGACCACACAGTGTAGATACAAATCTGGATTTGTGGGCTTAGGGGACTATTTAGTCACCTTCCTGTTGATGGTGTTAGAGATGAAGGAAGAGACTTTTGAGCCCTCTACACTATACTCTGAGTATGCTTCTACTGTAGCACTCTGAGGAGTGACTTAAGTCTAACTGGAGGTAGCACAGATGCATAGAGAGTATACCTTTCCTCCTCAATGAGAAATAACATTTGCATAAATGCCCTGTCTCAAAGTCCAGCATGGGAGAAGTGAAGGAAATTCATGAAGTGTATTGATTTGACTGTGGTTAAAGTGGTGATTAAGTTTTATTAATTTTACTTGATAGAGTTTGTATTACATTTGCTATATCAGGATAATGTGACCTGGGGGTAGGAACTCTAGGTTAGGAATAGGGCAAAAGAGTGGTGGTTCAGCTGGTGAAGCACGTGCCTTGGAAGCCTAAAAAGCAGACTTTGATGTCCAATTTAGAACTATGTATGAAATCAAATCTGGTGCAGTGATGCTCACTTGTAATCCCAAAGATAGGTTGATGGAAAAATTCTTTTTGAACATCTAGCCTACTTGGTCAAGCTCCAGGCCAGTGAGAGACCCTGTCACACACATAATGTAAATTTTGGCCTCTGTACACCTGCACACACCCACACCATACCCATAGCCATACAAAGGAACATCAGGATGTATTGAATATCTGAACTGGTGAACATTCATAGCTTTTATAATAGAATTTTTAAAGAGTTCTGTTGTGTAATAAATACTAGACATGGTGAAGGTGGTTCTATGTAGGTTCTCAAGAGAAAATTCTGCATCCTAAACCCCATAGGAGGACATACCCCCTGGGTGTTTCATTAGTCCTTCAGAAGTATCAGTCTCTGTGATATTAATCAAAGTCAGGAAGACTTCTGGATCCCATTTTCATTTAAAAACTTTAATATGGGTCTTTTCAGGTTATTATATTAAACCTACTGATATGCGCAATTAAAATAATTATGTGACACCAGTAATGGTTGGCTTTTGTTATAAATTTATTTCTCAGTTGTATGAATTATTTTTTCACCTTCATGAAGTTGAAGTCTGGAACAAAAATGGGAGCTGGTGTGAATTCAAATAGGCGTAATACAGACTTTAACGGAAACCTTTTGTGTACAACTGTTAATACTGAAGAAGTTTTTTGAATTTTTTTGAATTTTTTAATACACAAGAAAGTGCTTTAGGTTAGAAGGCATTATAAAAAAAACTTTAAATACTTGATAGCATCTTAAGATGGCCTCGCAGGAAATATCTAATAATTTTATCTGATCAAAAACAGTAGCTTCATTTTCCTCTTTATGTTGGGAAGCATTAAGTTTTAATACTAAGGAAGAGCGAATGAAGAAACCTCACTCAGGAGCCTCTCACTTTCTCTGTAAACCATACCATTGAGGAAGGGTCGTGTCTAATGTGCCCAGATGTAAGTGCTGTTTGTGCAGACATTCTGTCTGTGTTACGATAGAACATCACAGTGCAGCTTTAAGTTAGTGGAGACCTATCTGCATTGGTGGGTGGGAAACGTTTTTCTTTCTAGAACCCTTAGCAGCCCAACATTGACAACCCAAAATAAACAAAGAAACCTAAGTAAATAACAGAAGCATGTTCAAAAGCTCAAGAAATATGTAGTTTTTGAGATTTTGAATCACAATGGGAGGAAAGAATCAATAGTAATTAAATAGATATCTCCTTAGCTCATGATAAAAGGTTGTTAGTTTTTGTTTGTCTTTGATTTTGTTTTTATTTTTGAGACAAAGTCTCATTGTGTAACCCTGATTGGTCTGAAACTGACTGTATATCACAGACTGGCCTTAATCTTGTAGGCATGCTCCTGCCTTTAGCCTCCCAAGTGCTGGGATTATGTGCAGTTTAAATTCATTTTTGAGTCAGTTTTTATTTTATGTAATGCTTCAATTTTTAACGAACAAAGTATAATCCGTATTCAGCTTATCCAGCCTAAGTGGGTTTAGTTGCTTATGAGAATTTGCCTTTCATTTGGATTATAGATGTGTATGGAGTAATTCTACATATTACTGTGTACACAAAAGCTGTCAATAATCTTTTTTTTTTTTTTTGATTTCCAGAAACAGTGGTGCGAGTATTTCATCCTAAGTAATGTGTACATGTTTGAAATTTGGCGTTTGGATTTACTTCACCTTTCTGATTTTAGAGATGAGCCTTTGATGATGAATATTGCTTTTTACTATGAAAATGAAAATGCAGAAGGTATTAGCTTACTATATAATACACATCACCTTCCTTTAGAGAGAAAGCTTATGAGGAATTTCAAGCTTCAAAACCATTTCTTAAATGTTTATTGCATAAATAGTAATTATTTTCCAGTTTCCCGGTCTTTGTTTATAGTTTTATTTGTGGCAATCAGAAGGAATATAAACAATCCAAAATATTTTCCATTTAATACAGTACCGTAAGTATTTTGGTTAAAAGTATGTGTTAATTTATTTGACATTTCATAACATTTTGTTTTCATGCATGGTACATAAGGTTTATTTATAAAATGGTTCTCATGAATAGAAATATTCTGCTTTTATTAGTTATTTAGGGATTTTAAGTTTTTCAAAGAGATAATCTCTGTACTATCTTTGTGTAATTTGGGTTTTTTTGTTAGAATATTTCTTTGTGTTTTTGTAATCAAAGAAAAAGAAAACACATTTTGAGAAAATAGCACTTTAGTGAATAGTAAATGTATTTGATATTAAGATTTGGTCCTGTTATATTGTAGGAATTGGAATAAAATAATATTTATAAAGTAATTTTTTGCTAATTTTTATTTCATTTTATTTAGTGTTATTGGTTTCAACATTATATGTGCTATAATATTTTTATTATCTTCAAAACAATTAAATCTACACTACTACTTGTCATTAGTTAAGACATTAGTTTTTAATATTAAGTCGTCAAACAGAAAAGCAAGATTAATTTTAAGATGTGTCACGGACTTGTTCACAGCTGTGATCTTTTTGGTTTAGATTCAGTGGGAATCCCACCGAAAATCCCACTGTTTGCCTCGGTGACTTTAGTGAAGAAGTTGTGTGCTTTTATGCATGCATTGGTGTTTCTTAATACAGTGTAATTTTAATTGTGATCCAGGCCTGGATTTGAATGTAGGAGATGTCATCATGAAGGAGTATGTACATCTCTGGGATACTGTGTCAAAGTTGGTCAGAAACTTTGAGGTGGAAAAACCATTTCCTTTGAGAACAACAAGATGTCATTTTCTTAAAAAGATCCCATCACCAATCAAAGGTAACTAATTCCTAACTTAAATGTCACTTTCTTAAAATGACCCCACCACCAAGCAAAGATAACTTATTTCTAACTTAATCTGAGGGGGAAAAAAAGAATTTTTGTAAACTCCAAGTAGAAATCATTTTCTAGCATTGTGTGTTCAAATAGTTGTCATGTCCATGTGGTGGTGTGCTATGACTAATACTGAAAATTTATACGTTGTTTGTAATTAATGTTGCCACCTTAAAAAGTCAAAACCAAATGCGAGTGAATTCTCTTTCTACCAATGTGACCTATGTAAACTAAAACTTTCAATATTTTATTACATCTTTGAATCTTGGTTTAACATTTACCAAGACCTTTGGCTCTGAAAAATAGTTTGTGAAAAGATGACTAAGGAATTACTGTATAATTTTGCAGCCTGTAGCAACTCTTGAAAATTGGAATTTAAACTGTGAGGCTCCACGGCCACTCTAATCCAGTAAATGAAAGTAACTGGAATGATCTGGTAAATTATTATGAGTAACAAATCAGAAAAAATTTTATAGGATTATGTGTCAATGATGGATACTGATAGAATTTATGAAAGAGCTGAGGAATAACTAAGAACACAATTAGTTATGGACTTAGAACTGATAGCTTCTGTTTTTTAATATCACAATTATAATATACTTTCTGAAATTAATTTAGAAACATTTAAGAAAGATTAAATGTAAAATAAGAAATGAGAGAAATAATAAAAACTCTAAAACAATACTCATTGTCATAACCAAACTTGTAGAAATTGAAATACTGAATGGATATAAAAGTTGATTGGATACTAATAATGGGGGAGTTTGGGCACCCCAAATAAATAGAAAATGGGTCAAACTTAAAGTTGGAGACATCCCTCACAGGCAGTGTGTCCTAGCATGGGCTCAGTTTTCAGCACAAGAAAACAGAACAGGTTAAAGATACAATTGTGAGAAATGACATAATCTAGTCACAGAAATTGCCATGTGATACCATTTACATGTATTGCCTTCAAAAATACACAGAAGTGGAGCAAAGTGAATAGGTGGTTACCGAGGGAACAATGTTGGAGGAACAATGTTGGAGATAGGGAAATGTAGGTCACATGGTACAAATTTACACTTATGGAAAATGATAAGTCTATATTTGATGTACTTGATTAGGGTATGTACTCTATGAAGGCTAACACTACTCATATTATATATTAATACTATATATTTCATTATATACACTAGTGATCAGGGAAGAGATAAAGATTTTAGGTAATTTTAACATAAAACACCCCACAAAACCTCCTCGAAAACACAGATAACATTCAATATAGTGAGTATGTTAATTTTCCCAACTGTATCATTAGTTTACTTTGTGTATACTTATATTTTCATGTTGTGGGGTTCTTGAGATAAGGTTCTATGTAGTCTGCACTAGTCTTGAACTCAATAGGTAGCTGGAGATGAACTTGAGTTCCTGATCCTTCCACCTCCACCTTCCAAGTGCTGACATCAAAGATATGTACCGCCAGGCCCAAATAACACTATGCATATCTATCTATCTGTCTGTCTGTCTGTCTGTCTATTTACCTATATATCATCTATAATTTGTCTGCCTATTTATCATCTATCCATCAATTTTTAATTTACTTATTGCATAAACTTATACATAAACCAAAAGGAATCTCAAAGGAGTATAATAATACCAATCTCATAACCTTTAGTTATTGCATTTTTTACTTCATTTTTGATAATATGTATGTGATCTCTCATATTGCTATCTGTAGAATCTCTATCACTTATTAGATAAAAATGAAAATATAAAACATTTGAACACAAGCACCAAAATAATTATCTATCATCTGTTACGTATCTCTCTTTCATCTATCAGTAATTTATCATCATCATAACATATCTTTCTAGCCATGTGCCTATTGATTCATCTCTCTAGCCACCTAACCATCTACTTACTTAATCTATATAACTATTTACTTAGTTATAATTTATTTATTTCTTTACTACTACACTTCAAATGACTCAATGTGGGAAATAACTTTATGAACAGAATTGGAATTAAAATATAAATGAAATGAGTATAAAGTATTTTTAAATGTGAAATATGGAAAAAAGTATTGTCTTACCTTCTGAAAAGTTTATGTTTAACTTGACCATATTTTTTTTTTTGGTAACAGAATGTTCACAGGAGAAGATGATAAACTTCGGTTTTATTCCATTGTCATGTAGTTTGGTTGATGAATTTGCTGGAGATATTTTGAAAGACTTGCCTTTCCTAAAGAAGTAAGGCCTCCATATATTTTAATAGATACTTGTTCATAATGAATAATAGTTATTTATTAAATATCCTTTGAGAAAGCCTTTTCTGAATAATCCCAGAAATATAACACTTTTAAGATAGTAAATTACATGCAATATATACTTGCAGCATATTGTCCATTGTTCATCTTTATGATATTTGTATGATTTTAATTGGAGAACAGAGTATCCTACCACGATTTTTAAATTAATAAAACAATGAATGCTTGAGAATGTTGGAAACCTGAAGTGTTCCTGGCTTCTGAAGTTTCTAATAAAATGCTCTTTGAATTGTACCACACATGCTGTATTCCAGGAAGAGGAGTAGGAACTATGGTTTCCAAATTTATAAAATTTGTTGGATTTGGAGGCATGGCATTTGAAATATGCTTATATTTCCTTTGTCTCCCAGTGATGATCCTGTTGTTACATCATGGATTAAGCATAAGGAATTTAATGAGCTTGTGCACTGGGATTCCCAGAGACCCCTCAGTGATGATTATGACAAGAAAAATGCCAAACTTACTGGTGAGCTTTCTGATCTTGTTTAATAAATTTAAATCTACTTCACTCTGCCCTTTATTTCAAAATGAAAAGCACACCATGGAAACAAATCAAAGGTTTTGGGTGAATGCAGTATAAATCTAATTGGTATTAATAATAAAAACCCAAAGTCAGATGTAGGGTTTGATGCTGAAGATCAGAAAAGCAAAGCAACCAGCAACTAGAGTGTTCTTGCCTCTACCAATGCTCAGACCAAAGGAGTGATCCCTGTCCTCAGTCTGCAGGCAGACTGCTTCAGACTAACTGCCTCCAACTGCACTGCTACTCAGACTGCTTCAGACTACACTGAGCTCCTGTCTCCTCCTACCTTATATTCCTCTCTCTACCCAGCCAACCCACTCCTGTCTCCAGCTCGCTAATGCTGGGATTAAAGGCATGCGATCCCAATGCTAGGATGACCTTTGTGTGAGCTCTTTTTCTCTTTTTGACTGGATCAATTTCATGTAGTTCAGGGTGTCCTTGAACTAACAGATCTGTCCCCTGAGTACTGAGATTAGAGGTGTGTGACAACACTGTCTGGCTTCTAGTGGCTTAGCTCTGCACTCTGATCTTTGGACAAGCTTTATTTATTAAAATAAAAGCCAAATATCACTACAGATGAAGATCAGTCAATACAACGTCAGATAGGCCACAGAAAGGATTCTTCTTTTGTTTCCTGGTGGTTATTCATACAAGGTTGTAGGCACCTTAGGCAGAGGAGTGCATATGTCATCTTTGTCTCATGAGCTTGGCACATTGTTAAGGAAAGACAGCTTTTAGCTTAAGAAATCTGGATGTTTTGAAGTCTAATACTAAGTCTAATAACAATTAAGTTCACAGTTCTATGGCTGGGGTCCAGGATGAGGGTCTTGTTTTTTCCTATCCAGTAATTCAAGGAACCAGATATTTTAGATAGTTTTCTTCTTGATTTTTCTACTGAAATTCATTCACAGGGCACATACCAGGTAATGGTTAGAGTCTGTCTCCAGAACAAAACACCTTCCCCCAAACACCTGGAAGGTTACTTATGATCCCTACTCCATACTGCTAATACTGATGGATTCTTGAGAAGGGTCACATTACATTCAGTTGTGTACCCGATGGTGTGCTTACAGGGCTCCATTGATAGCTGTAGGAGCCAGTGGACAAATCCACAGTCCTAATTGAAGTTAATGGGTCAGGAATCAAAACAAAAATGAGTTTGGGAAAAAGACTTGTGTGGTGATGGAGGAGATGACAGGTTAAAAAGATATAAAAAAAAATGAGGGCAAATAATAAGAGTGCATTACATCCTTTATCAGAGAACACATTGAATAAACAAATATAAATAACGTTCTTGGTATTTGCTTTTGAAAGTAGGTAGTAAAAATTTAAGAGTGTTGGAGCTGGTGGGAGTTGTTAACCAGTGGTATAACCCTTGACTTGCATTCATTCAATTATATGCTTAGTTCCACAAGTACGTACATATTTGAAAAATTGCCACATCTGTATTTATGCTTAAAGTTATTCTATGAATGAGATAGCTCAATTTAAGATACTTTATTTCACTAAACTAGTCTGATAAAATTGGTGTTCTATACTAAAAAAGTGTGCTTTATATGCAATGGTGTGAAGACATGCTGCTGAGATGTCAGAATAATTTCACATTTAAGTATTTTATTTTTCAGAACTTTCAAGAGACCCCCGTTGTCTTAGAAGTTTGCAGAAGTATCATGTTTTTCAACGACTTTATGGGAAATCGTTAGAAACAGTCTCTTCTAAGACCATCACAACTCAAGGTCCTAAGGTGAAGAAGGATAGCAGTAAGTCCAGAAGCATAAAGGCACATGTAAGTTTCTGTAGATTCTGTTATCATAACAAGCTCTTCCTGCCATTATTTATCAAATTAGTATTTATTCATCCCATTGATGACTTCTTTCCATGAGATGCCTTTCTATTTTATTTGGATTACTAGTTTAAATGAGATGTCTCCCATAGTCTCAGGTATTTGAATGTCTGGCTCGCCAGTTGGTGGCATTGTTTGGGAAGGCTCAGAAGATTGGCCTTGTTGGAGGAAGTGTGTCACTGAAGGGCAGTTTTGAGAGTTTATAGCCTTGCCATTCCTGCTTGCAGTTTAAGATGCAAACTTTCAGCTTCTTGCTCCAGGTGCCATGTCTCTGCTCAGCCTTCAAGGTTTCTTATGCCTCTGGAATCATAAGCTCAGATAAATACTTTCTTTTATGAATTTCTTGGTCACGACATTATATTACAGCACAGAAAAGTAACAAAGAATAATCATATTTATTATGATACCTGCTGAGTCTAACATGCCAAATAAATTATTACAAATGATCCTTTCTATGTAAACAAGATATACTTATTTAAAGAAGCAAATTAAGCATTAATAGGATAAAGGTTTAGCTTAAAATTTTGCAATAATACTAAAATGTAGTTGATCAGATAGTAAAAATTGAATATTTTTCATGAATTCAGAAAAAATAAACATGAAACACATGGATTTCTTTGCTTGACTTATACAGATTTTCTGTATGTTCCTCAAAGTATTTAAATAATTCATGCATTTATCATTTTTTAACGCATTAAAGAATTTATGTCATTTTTTATTTATTTATTTTTTTTCCATTCAAAAATTTACACTTCCTCTCCTCCTCCCATTCCACTGCATTCATCATTTTTAAGGCACAAAGTTAAAGCTGTTCATTTCCTCTTTTTACATAGATTACTTTCTCTTAATTTTACTATTTATCTTACTGTTATTGTTATTTTCTACCAATTTTCATCCAAAGGCCCAAATAAGGATAAAATACAAGAGAGGGAAGCTCAGTTAACTTCTAGATGTGAGAATTATATGTTAGTATTTTAGATAATATTATCCTGCAAGTGTACATTATATTTTAATATTGGAATTAGTAATTTGATGAAGGTAAAGATTATACTTCAAACATTTGGTGATACCTTAACATTTACTAGGCTCCAGACCTCAGGATCTAAAGAAGGCACTTATTTCATGGAATCTCTCAGATTATCAATTGTTTAATATTTTGTAGAGAGAAACAGCTCAGCAGACACAACAGATAGGAATAATGACAGGTTGACCTTGTCAAAGGGAGTTAGCATGGCAAGGTCATCAGAAGTGAAGTCTATGAAGATCCCACCAAACACAAAAATATTTTTAAACTCTCATTTCTGGATACTTATGTTTGAGAAAAGTTCAGCATGATAAAAACTAATATATGTGTGTGTGTGTGTGTGTGTATAGATAGCTAGTTACCCAACTAGTTAACAATCTTGGGAGTTTAAATTTCACAACTCTCAAGGACAGCTACCAGTTAGATGATTAACAAATAGCTCTCTCATGGAATGGTTAAAATAACACAAGTCATCACAGAGTGCCTGATGCTTAGCTCATGAGTTCATGCTAGCATGAATTCTTTCTCCTTGACCTGTTTCACAGGTCCTCTGAGGAATGGTGACTGGCTCATATTTTGCCTGACTCATCAAAAGAAAGCCTCATAGCTCCCACTTGCCAACACTGCCGCTTTCTTAGGAGGTCACGACCTTTTCAATTTCATATCCAAATTGGTAAAGTCTTTCCCATTCATTTAGGATTATAAAGAGGAGTAGGAGGAAGAGGAGAATAAGATGCAGAAAGAAGATACTCTTTCTTCCTCCTCCTCCTTCTCTTCCCCCCTCCTCTTGCTCCTCCTTTTATTTTTCTGACTGTTTTCCCCTGTTACAAAATAACAAACTGGCAAAATTTCTCACCACACAGCACAAGTAGACTAAAAAGTAGAAGCTTTACCATTCCCAATACCCAAAATTAAATGACTCATCAAAGAAATTCAACACAATTAGTTCTTTATAAATGTACTCTATGGTCAACAGTGTAATAAATAAGTCCTCACATTTGAGATAAAGGAAGTAGTAAAATTAACCAAAGTCTACATTTGTAACATGAAGGGCTGGCTTGTTGGGGTTTCTGTCCCACCCGGTACCCCAAAGCAGGCAAACCCCAAAGAAAATCATGCAGAGATCTCCACAAGTTATAAAACTGATTGGCCCATTAGCTCAGGCTTTGTATTAGCTCTTATAATGCATATTACCTCATTTTCCTTAACTATGTTAGCCACATGGCTAGGTACCTTACTCAGCCAGGCAGATTACATCTTGCTTCTTCCGTGGTCTGGGCAGGACTTCGGGAAGAGCTTCTTTCTTCCCAGAATTCTCCTGTTCTCATTGCCTCACCTCTACTTCCTGTCTAGTTGACCCACCTATACTTCCTGCCTGGCCAATCAGCATTTATTCAGAACATGAGTGACAGAATACAGACAATTCTCCTGCACCACCCATTGTCCTGTTTAGAAAAACGATGACAATGAACTGATAGGGGATATCTATTTGAAAACTTAAATGATCAGAAATCTAAAATGTTATGGATTGGAATTATGCAGTTTGAGAATGTGACCTTTTTAATAAGCTAATTTTTAGATATTAATCCACTTTTCTTAAAAAATAGGAAGTTTTTGTTAGAATTCTTTTGCTAACATAAATTCTTCAATTTGTCTTTTAAAAATATTTATTATTTTTCTGTGTTTGTACGATAAGTATATGTGGTGGGTCTCAATGATGTGGGATTCTCCTCTGTATGCTATGAATATATCTTATTACCATTGCTTAATAAAGAAGCTACTTTGACCTATGACAGAACATAATATAGCAAGGCAAAAAATATATGCAGAGGTAGAGGAGGAAACAAGTCATAGACAGTGAGATGCCATGTAGCTGATGAAGGAGAAACATACCAGAAGCTTACCGGTAAGCCGTAGCCTTGTGATGATACACAGATGAATAATAATGTGGTTAACTTAAGATATAAGAGCTAGCTAGGAATATGCCTGAGCCATTGGTCAAAGAGTGTGGTAATTAATATAGTTTCTGTGTTATTATTTGGGTCTGGATGGCTGGCAAATAAGTTTGTAGTCTCCATTTACATAATGGCACCCAGCAGTGCTGCCAAGTAACAAGCCATAAGCCTCATGGTTTAGAGGTAAAGTTCTGGCATCCTTCTCCTTCAGCAACTACATGCCATCTGCCTGACTCTAATTTCTTTCTCTCTGCATTCAGTTTAGCTTTCTTACCTAGCTCTGTTCTGCCCTGACATAGGCCAAAGCAATGTCTTTATTAACCAATGTTAATGAAACATATTCACAGCATACAGAAGGAAATCCAACATAGTGCCATGGTGTGTATGGGAAGGTAAATAGAAGGGGTATGCCATAATGTGTACATGGAGGTTAATGGCGGTGTCATAATATTTATATGGAGATCAATGGGGGGGTGGCTAATAGTATGTATATAGAGGTTAGAAGAAAACTTTGTGGTGTCTTCTCCTTGAACCTTTGCATGGGTTCTGGGGACTGAACTCGAGCATCAGGCTTCTAAGGAGGCACATTTACCTGCTGAACCATGTCATTGATTTTCTAATTTGATCATGTAAAACCACAATAAGAGTAGGTCCATATTATATTTAAATCATTTGAAAAAATGTCTTTAGGAAAGACAAATTATTTGTTTATGTAATGATCACTATCCACTCCTTGCTTTCAGCCCCATTTTCTTATTTACTCATTAAACATTATGGACTAAATGTCTTTGGCTTAGGGAATCCTGGCAACTTCAATGCAAATTTATCTCAAAGATCTCAGTCTAGAGAGGAAAAAAGGTCCTTGTAGGTCCAGACAGAGTAAACTTTGATGAGTAGTTAGATAGATACTTGTCAGAGGAATGAGACATTATCATTGGGCATGAGATTCAGAGAAGGCTTCCTGATTCAAACATCATGACGCATAGGCAAAAGGTGACTTGGTAGGAAACGTAAGAGAAATGCAGCCCCAGAGAGAATGACAGGCATCACTGCATGGAGACATTATAGAATCTTTGTAACATCTCTTTGATTTTAATACATTTACCATTTTATATTTAATACTACATTAAAATTTAGGAAATTATCTACAAGTCTTTGTAGTCACTGAGTTGAATTATTATATTTTCAATCATCAGAGTCTTAATTTAAAAAATAATTTTATGACTATTCAAGTATGGAATGATTGTCAAAATCATCAGTGCATACTTAAAACATCATTTCACTCAAGAAATGTCAATTTGGAATAGTTCTGTCTCATCACAAATTGTGTTTCTTTCCATTTGTGCAGGAGACCAAGGCTGAAATAATTGCTAGAGAGAATAAGAAAAGGTTAATTGCCAAGGAAGAACAAAGAGAAGAAGAAAAATGGAAGACCCTGTCATCTTCTATTGAGAAGGAGATGAAAACGAATTTAAGCTCTGGGTTGAAGAAGCTGGAAGAGTTTTTGAAATCATGTAAAAGTAACCCAGTAAAAGTTCAGGCTGAAAAAGTTGGGTTAATGGCTTGCTTGACAGCATGGAAGGATTATTGCCGAGCTGAAGGTGTGTGGGGTGTAATTTGGGTTGGCTTACCTTGATGAGCTAGAGTTCAAAGAGATGAAAAGACTGTACCTTGTCACCTGATAACTAGAAATTTGTGTAGTAAGACTCATAAAGGGTTCTTTCTTCTGTTTTTAACAATGAGCAATGACATCTCAGAGAGGTGACCAACAGCAAAGACAAAGCACATTCATAAGCACAATTGGAGATAGCTTTAAAGTAACTGCTGACTAGATAGAGAGCATTGTTAGCAGAACCAATAACAGTGAGACACAGAAAAAGAATGCATCATTCACTCTTGAGTTCCTCAGTATAAACATTTTCTTTCAGGATATTTTGGTGTTTATTTTTGCCTGCTAACTTAGTTTCCCATTAGTTAATTGTGATAAAATACTTCGATAAAAAGCAATTTAATGAATAAATGGTTTATGTTGTCCAATAGCTCAGGGGTGTAATTTATTGTTGGTTAAACCATATCAAAGTAGCAGGAGTTTGAAGCAGCTGTACACATCATATTGACAATAGGAAGGCAGAGAGTGATGGATGAATGAATGCATTCTTAGCTCAGTATCTCTTTCATTTAGCCCAAAATTCCTGCACAGCACTTGGTTCTACTTTCAGTTAATAGGTTGTCTTGCATCCATTGGCCTAATAAATATAATCCCTTATAAGCATGTTCAGAGGTTCATCCTTCATGTGTTTCTGGATCCTGTAAAATTTACAATCAAAACCAATGAAACAGACATCAACACTGATCACCCCTACCATACAGATTTCTCTGAAGGTCACTGAGGCAATTTCATGTACTCTCCTTTACATTTCTGTTGTGGGAAATAGGATGAACAAAGAAAGAGAATGGGGATGATAAGGATGAAGTGTACTATGTGCCTTAGCATATATTAATCTTTCTTTCCAACCAAGGCACTGAATCAGGATTTGCAGCTGAATGCTATCGATATTGATCACAATGTAGAGTGGCTTAATGAATATTGTGCTTTATTTCATTTAGAGACTGTTCGTAGGCTCTGTAGATTGATAGCAGAGTCCCAGCTTGGATTTCTGGGTTCTTCTGTCCAGCATTAAGAATTTGAGCAATACCCATGGTTAGTGGTAGAAGCACAGATAGTTGATTAAGGAACAATGTACTTCTAGGAAAGGTCAGAAGTTCAATGTTCTTGTGCCCATGCCCAGAGTTGTGAGCTTTTATAAATCATTTACATAGCTCTATCTTATTCTCTGCACAATGAAGTGTTCTCCAATTTATTATTATTATTTATTTTATGTGTTTCTCTCTGTGTGTGCATGTGTGTGTGTGTGTGTGTGTGCATGTGTGCGTGTGTGTGTGTGTGTGTGTATGTGTGTGTAGGGTGTCCACAGATGCAGAGGATGGCATCAGATTTCCTGAAGTTGGAGTTCCAGGTGGTTGTGAGGCTTCTGATGTTGTTGCTGGGAATCCAGGTCTGTAAGATTGGTGACTGCTCTTACCACTGAGACAGCTCTTCAGCTCCCTTTCTCTCTTTTCGTGTACTTTTCTGGCCACCAAAATCTTATACTCAGATATTCTTAGTCAGAATTTAGTCACAAAATTTAACCACTAAGAGGATCAGGAAACACATACTTTTTCCTGGGTTATGTAGGCTTTCCAGGACCACAGAGACATAAATAAGGAATCTTGGCAACTACATGGTGAACAGAGAAATTAAGAGTAGAAAATGCTACAATTGTCCATGCCCTTTCTTTTCCAACAACAAGACTTTACTTATCCTCCACATCCAGTTCATGAAATATTTTTCCATAAATTCTTCCTCAGCAATCAGACTCACATAATGTCTAGTTTCTAATGCTTTGTGTGGGCCAATCACATATCATATACTGTATGAGTGAACTGAATGCTCCTCGGGGGGAAAGACCTTTGTTTCATTTACTTGGTATTCTCTTGTTTAATATCTTCCAATATGGGTTGGTAGTACTTGTTTAATAGGTGAGAGTGTGCGCCAACTAAAAGAAAGGCAGAACCAAAACAGATGTGAACATGCAGATGTTAGCACAGGAGATAATAAACAGTGTGGATGATACTAGGGAAGAGTCTGAATATGATAGCTGGAAGAGGTGGATTGCACTGAGTGAATGGAATCCGGGCTTATATCCAGTATTTCTCTGTGGATCACAGAGCTAAATGAATGTTACTAAGATTATAACTTTGTATTTAAAATCATGCAGCTATTTTCTTTTAGCAGAGGAGACATTGCAATAAGAGACAAAGAAAATATAATTTACCATAAAATTTTACAAACTCCAATTTTAATAATATATTATTTGTGAAATGTAGGATTTGTATCTACTTTCTATTCTCACACATCCATTAATGGTGAGTAAGATAGTGAGTTTCAGAAACAGTAATGAAGAATGATAGACAAGAAAACTGATCTTTGTTAATAAACATTTGCTATTTTGATGGCTTTTATAACAATTTTATTATTTATATTTTGTGCCAAGGTGAAACAACAAAAGACTTTAGCATAGCTGTCGATATGATGAAGAGAATCCACTCCTTGCTGGACAAACACTCTGAACTTCTGCAAGAAGCAGATCGGAAACTCATAGCCAGATGTCTTACCTGTTTAGGGTTTGATGAGCTAGCAAATTCTTTGTATTCAACACAGGTAACATATTATGAGAGCTTCATTTTAATTCAGTAATTATTTGCTATACAAAAAGCATCCTTCGAATACAGTCATCTCTTTTATGTTTATTTTTAATAGAGAATATCATCATATTTAATCCACCTGCCAAAGTTGAATTATTCAAGCACTAGAAATTTTTTAAACAACTTGAGAATCACACTAATTTCAAATTATTTCTGCAGTCTTTTAATTATTCCGATAATTCCACAAAAACAGCTCAAATCTATAATAGTGTTGACTTAAATATGTCAGGATGTAGCTACAAATCTTAGAGTAAACATTTGAAAATTGAACATCTACTGATTTACTTGTATTTCAGAAAAGTTATATTGTATTTATGGTTTTTTAAAGGGTCATTAAAATTGCTTTCATATAGAAGTTCATGAACATTTCAATTATCTAAATGATGGTAAAACTTAAATAGCTTGTAAAATCGTCTTTTCAAACATTATAGAATGCAGCAGATGACATAAAAATGACAAAGAAGAATAAGCATTCAATTGGAATTGGACCAGTTCGCTTCCAACTACAATATATGGGTCATCATTTGATACGAGAAGAAAGAAAAGATCCAGATCCCAGGGTTCAAGATTTTATTCCTGATGAATGGCAGGTAAAAATATAAGTAAAAATAATTCTTAAATTTTGTAATTATATATTTGTAATCATGTACCATGGAATTTCTTATCATTACTGCTTTCTCTTTCTCTAGGTTTGTTAATATCTGTATTTATTGTGGACTTCATAATATTGAGTTATTTCACGTTATTTTACTTAAAATCATTGTTATTTAAAATGTTTCATTTGGACTATTTTTTTCATTTACTATATAGACCATTTCCTTGGTAAGGTATTTGATGAATTCACATGCGAAGATTCAAAGGTTAATAGTGTCTGTGCTATACAGCAATTATAATTCTGGACCAGGCTCTAAGTTTTCTCTCATAATCCATTTTTTGGGGGCATAGTTTTCTAGGCTACTTCCTGCTGATCGGAGTTGTTGATAATCTCACAGGGACCTAAAGAAAAATTTTAAATTATGGTAAAGTCTTGACTGAAATATTCTATGAGGCTTAATTATCTCAGCTAGCAGACTTGAGACTGTTATGGATGTTGAACTCAGACATCTGGGCCATCTTCTCTTATCAGAGATTTCTCAGGGGACTTCCTTGATCAAACCTGATTTTTTTTTAGCCTAGAATGAATCCACAGCCTTTCATTTCCTGTGGAAACAAAGCAAAACCTCTTCTCCAAAGTAACATCTCCTTTGACTTAAATTTTGAATTCAAACCATTTTCAAAATATATATGTTGGATTAATCCAGTAGTATTTATAATCAAATGTTTTTTATCAGCTGCTGCTCCTCCCTGAGAAGTCAAACAATTCAAAGACAACACAGTAGTATACAGTATCCAAATTCTTTGTGTATTTTCCAGCTTTATGTAACTTTATTTTTACCTCTATTTCTTTTATTTTTATTTTTAATTTTTGGTTTTTGGGAAAGGGTTCTCTGTATATTTTTGGCTGTCCTAGAACTCACTCTAGAGCAAGCTGTTCTTGAACTCATAGAAGTCTGCCTGTCTTTGTCTCTCAAGTACGGAGAATAAAGTTGTATGCCACCACATCCAACTACTCTCTTCCTTTTTTTGTTTTTAAAGGTCTTCATTCTTTTTTTTTCCTCCCAAGGCTACATAATTTTTAAACACACTGTGTCCCATTCATAGGTTGTCTTCATCTTAAATTATCTCTCTTTTTCTGACCACATGAGTCTTTAATGTGCTAAGTGATATGGCTAAATTAAAGCCATGGCTTTGCTGGCTGGATCCACCACATTCCTTAGTTTCTGAGAGTGTAGCTTTATAGCAAAGGTACTTAAGGTAGTCATGTTTATTGTCACAATTCTATGGAGTTACAAGGTCCCTGCTACCACCAAAAAGCATGCTGTTGGTTATTCATTAACAACATTTAAGTGCTTTGTGATAGAGCCTCTTAAAAAGTCTGCAAGGTATTTGCATCTAAAGCTGAATCAAGAAGCCTCTCTTAAATAGACACACTTGCCTATAGCAAACAGAGCCCACCTGGGAAAATGCTGTTACCAAGAAGCTATGCTTAACTCTGCTCTTTTTGTGCCTAGAATTGCTTCTCAAACTCTCTTAGGTTTTAAGTGGGTTTATTTGCCATATTGCCACCATTTTGTTGACAGAGGTTTCTGTCCAGCCTGTTCCCAAAGTCATTCAGTCCCAAAGAAATGCAGAGAAGTCTATATTAATCATAAACTTGTTGGCCTGTTAGCTCAGGCTTCTTATTAACTCTTATAACTTATACTAGCCCATAATTCTTGTCCATGTTAGCCACGTGGCTTGGTACCTCTTATCAGCAAGGCAGTCTCATCTTGCTTCCTCTGTGTCTGGATGACAACTATGAACTCAGCCCTTTCTCTTCCCAGAATTCTCCTTTTCTGGTTGCCCTGCCTATACTTCCTGCCTGGCTACTGGCCAATCAGCATTTTATTAAAGCAATACAACTGATAAATCTTTACAAGGCACAAGATCATTGGTCCACAGTATGTGTGCACACACACATATTTGATAAGTTGAATATTATTTACTTATGCAAATGCAATTTTGTAGGTTCAGTCTAAATAGTCCCATTCAGTTCAGATTTTGTAAACCACTTCTAATTAATGTAATGAAAAACCCAAGGAAGCCTAGCTTAAATATAAAGATGCTTATTTGCCTGCCATTTCCTGTTTTAACATCAGAGTTTGGATTTCCCCATTGGTCTGGCTTCCAGTGACAATTTTACAACAGAATGGCAACACATTTTGGTGGGGCAGCTTGTGTGAGAAAGCATAACAATGAAAGCAAGAATCAGAGAAAGATAGTTTGACTGAGGCCTTCCATAACAAATCTTTTACTTCCCAAGGCTATTACTCATAGTGACCTATGGATTCTAGGTATACTCCAGTTCTTAAAGTTTTCAATTACTCCGGATATCTTCAGCATGGGGACAGGATTCCAGGATTCCATGGAAACTTAATACCACAAGAAAATTGCAGCATGGGCCTTTTCTTATGTTCTTATGTTATTCTTTAAAAAATTGCTGATTTTCTATGAGCAGGTGACCAATTACTTATTTCAGTGTAGACTACAGGGCAATCAAATTTACTCTTCCTGTTCACAAACCTTCTAATGCTTTTATGCCTCTTTCATTCTGAAGTGTGTCATATGTGAACTTGATTCATGGGGTGGGCAGTTTGACATTTGAGAGTTCTTTATGTCTTCTGTACTTCCCATGGTTTTCCATTCTATTCGCTACTCATCATCTGGATGAAGAAAACCATAAGATGCAAAGATGATGCTCCCAAATAGTTTCCCATCAAGAATATGCAGCAAAGTGAAGGATCTTTGCTCTCTCTGCACTTCAACCATTTGCTTAGTGCTATAAAAATGTGGGTTGGCTGGTTCCAACAACCATATTTCTCAAAGACTCTCTGTACTCCTAACTATTAAAAACAACCTTTCTAGTAATACGACCTTTTTTATGACACTATTTTTGAGTGATTTTTAAAATATTATCATATACTCATTGCACAAAAAATGTGTCATTATGGTCTTTTCTCAGCGTATGTTGTATACTTGGATCACATTTCTGTCAATACACGTACTTGCTTCAGTGCCCTCCATACCGAGTCCCTCTCTTTTAGTCTTTTACTCCATTTTCACACATCCAACTCATCTCTCAGCTGCTAAAGCAAACAAATTGCATCATTTGAAGGAATGAGTTGTCTATGAGTTCCCTTTTAATTTTTTTGTGAGTCCACACCTTTCCACTATGGAGGTTCAGAATAATCATAAATGGAAAAAGAGTGATCTCTTTGGGTAGCAAAAGACTTGTTTGATTGACACTAATCATGGTCTGACCCCTGCAGCGAGAGCTCCTGGATGTGGTGGATAACTATGAGTCTGCAGTGATTGTTGCCCCCACATCCTCTGGCAAAACCTATGCTTCCTACTACTGCATGGAGAAGGTGCTGCAGGAGAGTGATGAAGGCGTGGTTGTGTATGTCTCACCCACAAAGGTAGGAATCCAGTGCATGTAATATTTTTTTATGCCAGAACTTATTCAGAAATATTAGACATGGATATGTAGCAGATCCATTTATTTATTTTCACTAGTTAAAATTAGCATACAAAGTAATGGTCTTCCTAACATAATCTTCATACATAGATTTTTTTTTATTTTTTGACCCTCCTTCACCCCTCCCTTCTCCTACAATATAATTTCCTCCACTGCTCCCCTAAGTTCTTCTGTATCTCCATTCCATTTTCAATGGTAATTATCTATTACCTTATTTCTCTTCCTCCTTATGACTTATTTCTCCTTTCCTGATTTCTTTTCTACTTTCATGACTTATATCTACTCTAATCAACATTATACATATACATATTCTAAAAACTAAGTTTTATGAGCAAAATATAAGAGAAAACATATGGTATTTGTCTTTCTGAATATGTTATTTTCCTTAATTAATATAATTCCAAGCCCCATCCATTTTTTTTATGAACAACATTGTTTCATTCAATATTTGAGTAGAATTGTGTAATTGGACATTTTCTTTTTCTATTAATTTATTGTTGGACATCAAGACAGCTTCCACTTCCGAGCTATTGAGATAGTGGAAATATGAACATGGATGTTCACATATCTCTCTAGTAAGACTCGAAGACTATTGGTTATATACTCACGAAGGGGTGATGTATCTAGGCCATGAGTGTTTCATTTCTCATGCTTTGTGAAACCTCAGTAATGATTTATACAATGGATATACCAGTTAAAACTCTTACACATAGTGGCTAAGGGTTCTCCTTTCCACACACTTTCCTCCAACTGTTAACATTTGTTTTGATTTAACGATTCTATTTGGAGTGAGATGAAATCTCAGATCTTTCTCAAGCTTTCTGTTGTCATTCTGTGAGTTTCAGAATTCAGAGGTAGTAGAATTTTTAGATGTTTATATTTTTATATTTAGATGTGAATTCTTTTGACTAGTGATTTGGGCAGTATGAATATGCATGACTTTTGGTCTGTGGTATTTCTTTATTCATGATGTACCTGAGAACACATTTGTCTACTTTTTACATTAGAGGAATTGGCCCTTTTAATTATTCATCAACTTTTCTGTAACACATAATATATCTTTTTTATGAACTGTAATGAAATATACATTTATGGATCAGGCTTTTACCTTAGCTTATTATAGTTATTCGTACCAATGATAGTATTTAAATTTTTGTATAGTCAGTATTATTCACATTTTCATTTGTGGTTGTCTTTATTAGTGTTCGTTCCTATTGCTGTGATAAAATACCATGATCTAAGAAATTTTGAGAGGAAAGGGTTTATTTTAGTTTACACTTCCACAGCACAGTTCATCACTGAGAAAATCAGGGTAGAAGCCCAAACTGGGTAGGAACCTGGATGCAGGAATTGATCCAGAGGTATGATGTTTCCCTCAGGGTTTGCTTCTCCTGCTGTGTTATAGCAGCAAGAGCCACTAGCCCAGGGGTGACAATGTCCACAGTGAAGTGGACCCTCCCACATCAGTTATGCATCAAGAAAGTTAACCACTGGACTGGACTTTTAAATATGTTTACAGATATATTTTAAATTTTACATTATCATCTATATGGTACATACTTTTGGTACTATAACGTGTGTAATAGAAGCTTGAATTTTTATAGAGTCCACCGGCCAGGCTGCCTGCTAGATCCTAAGTGATACAATGCAGATTTGTATATGTAGTCAAACTTCTGACATCTATCTGGAGTAGATTCTGAAATATGATACAAATCTATTTAGGCTTCTTCCTGTGATAAACTCAGATCATGAGTGGTGATTTTTCAACTGTTGTGCTATACATGTTGATTCTTCTGCTATAAAGGTTACATTTGTCATTTTACTTTCAAACAAATGCATTCTATTTCTGATTTACAGTGGGTTGTTGTTAATCAAAGTTCAAATTTTTAATCCAAGAGCTCAAATGGAGAGTTTTTACTACAGGTAGAGAAAATGGTTTGTTAATTTTCCTGCATAGTAAAACATAGTTTTGTAAATTCCCATCAGTCCACCAAATTATGCTAATCTACACTTTATTATGTAGCTAATACATCTGTTTTCCTGTCAATCAGGCGCTTGCTAATCAAGTGGTAGCGACTGTTCAAAATCGTTACACCAAAATTCTTCCAGCTGGTGAAGTTCTGTGTGGTGTTTTCACTAAGGACTACAGTCATGATGCCCTTAACTGCCAGGTTTGATATTCTGTTTAATAAACTTGACATCAGATTATATAACAATGTTACATCTTTTTGACTATAAATCTAACATCTTTTCAAAACCTGTAAAAATAATTTCCTTGAATTTGTGAAGAACAAAAATATTTCAGGGAAAATATGAATTTGTTATATTCTAAAGAATGTGAAAAATAGAATTTATTTTATCTAAAGATACTTTTGTTTTGATTTAAACTTTACATTTATATGTTGTTTACAATGGGATTCAAAATGATCCAAAGATCTTTCCAAGCTACCAAAACTTAGTGGCTAGAAACATATTATCATAATTATTTTCTCTTGTTCAAGATATTTTATTTAAAAATGTAGTGTGGTATTATAGTTAATGAATATATATTGTAGTATTAATGAAGTTATAGTTTTCTTTCTTATTGAATTTTCAGATCAGAAATTAGGATAAAACAAAAATTAAGACATACTTGTAGAGCAATATGTAGTAGACTTGGCAATATGCAGTCTGGATTGTTTTTCAAAGAAACATCGTCCAACATAATTTCTCTGTAGTGTTAGATTTGAAGAATCAAAATAGTTAAAATTAATGACTTTGATTTATATATATTCTTCTTTTTAAGCTATTCATTTAGTTAAAGCAATTTTTTTATTCTTTGATTATTGTATATATGTTTCAAGTATATTAATCATAGCCACCCACCCCCATATTTTTCCTTCTACTTCTTTTTGTCCCTCCAACCCATATGCCTCCCAGTATCATGTCTCTTTCCCAGCAGCTACCAAGTGCCAATAACTCCTTTAAGGGGGTGTTGCCTTGTGAGCTCCTTCCTCATTCATGCTGGAATTTTGACTGGTTTGATCTTCTGCAGGTTTTGTACAGAGATAACCACAGTTACTGTTAGTGCATGGGTGGAATTGCCAGGCCTTGTTCAGAAGACAGCAGTTCACAAGACTCTACCCCTTGCCCTGACTCTCACCTTCTTCCCATCTCCTTTACTGATTGTTTCTTGAAGGAGTAGGGAAAGAGGTCAATGTAGGTGCCCCATTTAGGGCTGGACACAGTTGGAAGGCTCATAAAGAAGAATCTGCTCTTCAAATGTGATATTCTTATATTTTGTCTCAGGACAAAATTAAAGTTTCATGTGGTTAAAGCTAATACATCAGAAGTGTAATGAATCCAATCCTTAAATGTGGTATCAGATCTTAATTATTAGAGATATATCCAGGACTCAAAGCTTTGCCTCATGTAGTTTTATACCTATGCACATTCTAAGTGTTTCTTCACCCCCTACTGTTGTGTTTAGGTGCTTGTTACCGATCCTGTTTCGTTTGAAAGTCTGCTACTGGCTCCTCATCGCCAAAGGTGGGTGAAGAGGATCAGATACGTCATATTTGATGAGGTAGGCTTTGTTTTACCTCTCAGGCTAACTTCCCAGTGCCCATAAATATTACATGTCTTTGCTGCTTTGGGACATCCACCCCTTGATGGAGTTCAGATTAGAAGGCAATTTTCTTCTGAGCTTTTCCCCAACCGAATCACCCTCTTGACTCACGTCTGTGTGACTCAATAGTATGTATTGGTGAGAGATCTGCATGTGTGAGGAACTGGTCATTACTGGGGATGTTGTTGTAGAGGGACATAATTAAACTCATGATACACGTTTTCCTCGAAAAAAACTAAAATTCTGTCCAGTCTCCAAAGCAAAGGTTTTATGCACCAGCAAATGATACTGATGATACAAACAGTTCTGTCTGTCACAATCCTTAAGGAAAACAAATACCCTATTCAAAATGCAGTTTTATGAATAGGTTTTTTTTATTCATAAAAAAATTGTGAAGAAATCCAGAGAGAGAAAAACTTATTGTTAGTCTTAAAGAGACAATGTAAGGAAGCATTTGCTTCCAGTTGCAAAGGAGGGTCTGATCAAATGGGCTGTATTTCAAGTAGTAAACCTTATCTCAGGTACACAGCTGGCTCAGGCAACCTGGGAGGGGTCAACAGAAAAAAGATGTCAGCTTCCTCGTCTCCTAAGATATAGCCACAGCTCAGAAATTAGTCTAAGTCAGAAAACCAGAGAACCTGGAGTCCCACTGAAGTAGTACCTGTGTATCAGTGTCCCTGAGCACTAGAGTGGGGTGAAAACCAATGTAGATGCAGACGTTCTGATGGAAGCCACTTAGTGGAGTTCTATAGCAGCATCATTCAGTATATTTATTCAGAGACTTAGAGCCCCATAGAAAAGTGCATTTTTCTATTCCTGTATTTAAAACTGAAAAGAAAAAGCCTATATTTAGCTTATTTTCACTTCACTTCAATAATAATATTGGTGATAAATAATTTGTAGTCCTGGAGATTAAATGCAGGTCATTGAAGTAGTTTACCATTGTCCGAAATCCCCAGCCTTTTCCTTTGTGTTATAAGCTTGAAATTACCAAACAATCCTTGCTTTTATATGTTTTATACTGACTTACTATGTTTAGTTTTAGTTAACCTATATTATTTGTATTCTGGGGGCTTTTCATAGTTTTATTTAAATAATACAAGCCATACATAATGGTAGGTTAACACTCATGTGAAAAATTTACAAAGCAATCTAGAACACCTAGTTGTAGCGTGAATTCCAAACCCTGAAATGATGTAATATTGGACACTACAGTTCTTCCAATTTTATATGAAGGCAACTGCTAAAGGCTTCGAAGGCTAGTGTCTATTCTGCTAAGGTCAGGGAAATTGCATTACAAAAATCAAAGTTAAATATTTAGCGGAATTGTATGTCATTCTGTCAGGGTCCAGCCTTGATGTAAATCATTTCTTGTATCAGAGAGATGGCGTGGGAATACACATTTTTACACAACTCTCTTGACTTTATAGGGAAGGAGTTTTCTTGAAAACTCCTTTCATGAAACTTCCTTTCATAGAAGGGATCCTTCATGAAATCCTGAGTTCACATTCTGAAAATCACCTGTGTTTATTCTCCAAACAGCTTTTATATCAAAACATAAACTGAGGGGGAGTTCATTAGCATCTGTTTCCTAGGTAGCAGGGAGAAGGACTGTGGTCACGTCCACACCTTTCTATGCTCATTTTGTCACATCTTCCTATCTATGTCTGCTCTATATGCTTGTTCACGTAGACTGAAAAACATCTTTTCACCAAATGACCTCCTGAATTATAATAGAAGGAGCAAAACAACATTAGCATATCCTGACCATTTGCTTAGAATGACATCAGGCTGTCCCACTATCAAAGGCTAGGTGACCACCTTATGTATGGCATGTGCAAATTGTGTCTTGCCAGGTAGGTCAGAATTCTGACTGCCATACAATTAGGAATATTGGCCTATATAATTCAGCTCCTACATCATCTGACCAAGAAAAAGCCATACAGGTGGTAGAAAATATGCATATATACATCTCTACACCTGTATGTAAAACTGCTTCATTAATAGTAAGTCTTTTAAGGGTTATTTCCAGGGGTCAAATTTAACTTGTTTATTTAAGACTACATTCAAGGATCTTTCATTCATCTAATTTAAGGTGGTCGTGCATTCATGTACTCAGCCTCATTTGAGAAGGCTTTTCTGGAGGCAGGCATGGTGTCAACGCTAGAACTGTTCAGGTTTGCAGATATACATTAAGTAGGAAAGACAAGACAAGTGAGAGAACACAAGTGCTCATAAGATGCCAGTGGTGCTTCTTGTAAAGATCAAGAGTGTCAGTCACCACGCAACAATGGCAGAAGGCAGGCTGGAAGACCACTCTGGGATGGCTGGATGATCCACAGAACCTTTTTAAACTTGTGACACTAAGATGAACTTCACTATCGACAGAGGTTTCTGTCCCATCCGATCCTGCAACTGCTCAGTCCCAAAGAAACACACAGAGGCTTACATTAATTATAAACTGGTTGGCCCTATTAGTTCAGGCATCTTATTAACTCTTATATCTTACGTTAGCCTATAATTCTTGTCTGTGTTATCCACGTGGCTTGATATCTTTTATCAGCAAGGCACCCTTATCTTGCTTCCTCTCTGTCTGGGTTACAACTGCAGACTGAGTCTTTCCTCTTCCCAGAATTCTGCTGTTCTGGTGGCCCCACCGATATTTCCTGCCTGGTTACTGGCCAATCAGCCCTTTATTAAACCAGTACAAGTGACAACTCTTTACAGAGTACAAGACCATTGTCCCACAGCACTTCACAGATTCAGAAGCCATAGTTATATTTATTGGCTTTTCACTTTATTTCTATGAATATTTTAAGCACTGAGACAGCTATGTGAAAGTTCTAGCATGGGAAGTGTGTGCTAAGAAACAAAGAAATGACTGCTGTGTGTGAGTAATTGTAAGATTGGATGAGTGACTTCACATGATGCTGGAATAGCAACAGAGGGCCAAATAAGCCAATCATTATATGTCCCATGTAATACTTGCATTTAATATACAAGGAAGGAAAAAATAATTAACTACTGACATGACTAGATATCATTTATCTCTGAAGGATATCATTTTTTATGTGATGTCAAGAATGTAGGTGATAAATTAGGACAATAGTCACAAAGGTACTGCGTAGTAACTGAGGTGTGGTGTTTTGATTGTCAGTACACATGGCAAGAAATACATAGGCCTGAAAGAATGTTTTGAAAGCAAAATGAAAAGGAGTCACAGGTAGATTGATTAAAAATATTAATGTAAATTCAAGTGTCGAGATGTTATTTTAATTTACCATTCTTAAAACCAACCTGTCAACTGAAAACATTCTTTTCTTTTATAGGTACATTGTCTTGGTGGAAAAATGGGAGCAGAAATCTGGGAGCATCTCCTTGTGATGATCCGATGCCCATTTTTGGCCCTTTCAGCCACCATAAGCAACCCTCAGGATCTTACTGAGTATGGATTCAGTCATACTTTGGACATAATGTTCATCTATTTTGAAAGTTTGAATTTCATAATCCTTATGGGTTTTAAAGTTATCTCAATTTCCAATTAACTCATAGCACTCTCTAAATATTCAAACTGCTGTCTGTTTAGGTCTTTCTGATATGTCTTGGCAACTCTCTACAAAGAAATACCCAGCACCCATTGGGTCAGCTCTCCAGCTGAATAGGAAGTATCATGTCATAGCTCCAGAATAAAATGAGAGCTATATATTCCTTTTCTTTCCCTCACCCCCTTTACTAGGGAACATAAACCAAAATGATAGAATGCTACATTTAGCCATCGATTCCAAAATCTACAAAAAATCTCATTTTGTAGATTGACTTGATTAGAAAGAGAGCGGAGCTTTATTAATTGAAAGCTATACATCCCTATATTGAGCTCAAAGGTTGACTACTGATAACAACGTATCCCCTAGCATCTCCCATGTGTCACATTTCATCGAAAGTACTTTGCATACAGTAATTTTTTAAATATCAATGTACTACTATTTCCATAGTTATTATTAGATAAAAGTACTTTTACAAGTCTATTGATTTTTAAACGTAAAAGGCAGGCACAGAAATATTAAATGTTTCATGCAGGACTCAGAGTTAATAGTAGGGAAGTTAGAAATTTATTTCAGGTTATGTGGCTCTAGAAATAATTTCCTTATATGAAAATTTTAAGACATAAGCTTTTCTGTATATAATTATTTAATTTCATGTAAGCTATTTCCAAAATAATGTATGAGTTACTTTTGTGTTAATGTGAACAAAAATACCTTAAGAGAGAATTCCTTTATTTAGACTCAGGGTTTTAGAAAGATTTCAGCCTGTCACAGTGGGAAAGAAAAGGAGGTGAGGCTTCAACCATAGAAGTGGGAGCCTGAGGTGACAGTTTGTTTACATGGCAACAGACAGGAAGCAGAGAGAACTAGATAAGAACCCTTGGCCAGTATAATCTTTGTGATGGCTGATGCTGGTTGTCAATTACTCTTCAAAGTCCCTCTGCTAGTGACTGACTTCTGTATGCAGCTCCCAACTTCTAATGATTTCACAGCTTTCAAAATAATATCAAGGACTGGTAGCCAAATGAAACATGAACAATTGGACACATTACTGATTGCAATCATAAGTAATATGTCTATGTTTTAAAGGTGGCTCCGATCAGTAAAGAGGTACTGGAAAGAAGTAGACAGTGCAATGGGAGAAAAAACTTTGTCCAAAAGAAATGCTGGTTCTCGTGGCAGTCATCACAAAGACCAAGCACAAGCCAGACAGTCATACAAAGTTAGACTTGGTATGTATGTTCTATGTAGTTGTATAGCCTTGTTTGTTGGTTTGGCTATTTTCTTTAAAATTATTCCACTAACCATATTTTTGATAATTTGGAAATCTCACTCTTCCCCTTTCAGTGATCTACGGAGAGAGATACAATGACCTAGAGAAGCACGTATGTTCTGTGAGACAGGGTGACGTTTGCTTTGATCATTTTCACCCATGTGCCGCACTAACCACAGATCATGTAAGTAGCAACCTTTGCCACAGTTGTTCCATGTCACTGCACTGTCTGGCTAATAATTGAAAATATAATGTTCAGAATGCAACTGAATGCTAGAATGCTAGAATGCAGAGGGAACACTAAAACTTTGTTTAAAAAAGAACAGCAGTGTTCTCGTTTCTGTAGTTTCTCAATGTTAGGATGCTAACATCCTAACTCTTCAGAGTTTAGAAACTACTAAACACTTTAACTTGATGATTCTATTAGTTTGGGGACATTATTTCTTTCCATTTCCTTTTTTCCCCCATCTGTTAAGCATCCATGTCTGCCTATCTCTCTTAATTAGTACCATTAATGAAATGTTGAGGACAGGATTTAATCTCTGCTCTCTGTGCAATTACAGCTTTGTGTGTAAAAGCCTCATATATAAGAACGTGAACAATGTGTAAGACCTTAATCCAGAAACACATGCTTCCCATTGCCATAACTATCAAGTCCTGCCTCTGATAATGACTCAGCAAATTAGAGACCTTGAAACAATGTCAAGAAGTCTATTGAATCATGTGGGAGAATTGTCTGTATTCTGTAAATCATATTTTAAATAAATGCTGATTGGCCAGTAAGGAAGAATTGGAGGAAGAACCAGACAGGAAGCAGAGGTGATGCAATAAGAACAGGAGAATTCTGGGAAGGAGGAAGCTTATTCCTCCCAGTTCTGATGGAGGAGGGTTATCTGTCTATGTGTTACTTTCATTGGTTAATAAAGAAACTGCCTCGACCTTTGATAGAAAATTAGGTAAGCAGAGTAAACAGAACAGAATGCTGGTAGGAAGAAGGCAGTGAGGCAGTCACCATAACTCTCTTCTCTGAGACAGATTCAGGTTAGGATCTTTTCCAGTCAGCCACGACCTCGTGGTGAGATACAGATTATTAGAAATGGTGCAGGAGAATTGTCTGTAATCTGTCAATCATATTTTAAATAAATGCTGATTGGCCAGGCAGGAAGTATAGGCGGGAAAACCAGACAGGAAATAGAGGTGATGCCATGAGAACAGGAGAATTCTGGGAAGCAGAAAGCTCCCTCCACCATTCCTGCCCAGACCACCAAAGAAGCAACATGTGAACTGACAGCTGAAAAAGGTACCAAGCCACATTGTTAACACAGACAAGAATTATGGGTTACTATAAGATGTAAGAATTAGTTAATAAGAAGACTGAGCTAATGGGCCAATCAGTTTATAATCTTATGGAGTTCTGTGTGTGATTTTTCTTTGGGGAATGCCAGATGTGGGGTGCCGGGCGAGACAGACACATCAACAAGCCGGCCCTCATGCTAAACAGTTCTGCCCAGACCACCGGAGAAGCAAGATGTAAGGTACCCCACTGAGAAGGATACTGAGACATGTGACTAACATAGATAAAAATAATAGGCTAACATAAGTTATAAGAGCTAATAAGTAGCCTGAGTTAATGGGCCAATAGTGTTATAACTTATGGAGACTGTGTGATTTTCTTTGGGGTTTGCCAGCTGTTTGGGTACTGGGCAGGACATAAACCCCAACAAACTGGCTCTCATGTTACAGGAAGGGTAAATTTTTAAAATATTTCCTGCCGATACCTGAATTTTTTTCTCCTACTGCCTTGAAAGTTTCATTTTAAACTCACATTGGCCTTAAAATGATTCCCATTTCTTTCTCTTCCTTCCAAAACCTGAATAATTAAGTATATTCTAAATTCTGATACTGAATATGGTTTCTTAATTATAATTCTATTCTTTTAAAAGCTTTACTGGACTTTTTTTTAAGAGCTAAGTAAGTTCTTGAGATCTAAGGTCTTTCAGGGGCTTTTCTTACTTATATTGTATTTACAAAATGTATTTTTCTTGGAAGCCCTCATGCTACTATCCTGTTCCTCCCAAATACCATATGCCAATGCACAGATCTTTTTTTTTTTTTTTGAGGTTCTTATAATATGAAGACTTTTTTTTTAGAATCTTCTGTGGTTTTGTCAACTGGTTGGTTAACTTCTCCACAGCACTTTGTGTTTGTGTGTCAGCAAAGTCAGATTACCACTGGACCTTCAGCACTTGCCTTTTAGTGTTCTGAAATAACTGCTGTGGGATGAATCTCCTGTAGCTCCAGTTACTAAGACATGGTGGTGTGGATACTGGTTGTTTTTAAAGAATAGCTTATTTGAATACTCGCACATTTTACCTCTTTTAACCGTCACAATTGTAAGATGGATATTCTACTCTAACTTTCATTTTACAATAATGGAATGAGACATAGACAACTCACTCACTACTGCACTAAGCAAATGATGCCACCAGATGTAATCTCAGACCTTTGATTAACTCCATGTTGACATGAAGGATTTGTCTATCACATCTACTGATGAGTGAACACCACATGACAGTATTTGACTGTGCATGCATTGCAATGACTTCCACAGCCAATGAAATGAATATGAATATGGAGTTTTTCTAGTAAAATGTTTGTGAAGAAAGCTCCTCTTGTTAGTGATAATGGCCCAATTCAAACTCCAAACTGAACTGAGCTAGGATAGAAATCCTATGACTTAACTTATATTGAGAATATAGATGTTAAGCCAGTCATCAATAATAAGGAAATCCATTTGTTCTCTCCCTCTCTTCCTTTTCTCTTCTTTTCTTTCTTCTTTCCTCACTCTCTTTCAGATATCTACAGATTTTCACATGTAATCATCATTATCCAGTATCTTTAAAACTAGCACAATACTTTAGAAATTACTTGTTTTGTGTAAAGAGATTAAGAGATGTTACCTTTAAAGAGCTTCAAGTATACTGGTTCAGTGCTTGCTCCAAATACCTTCCCTCTCTGCCTGGTAGCTAATAATGGAATAACTGGAAAGCAATAGAGTAGCTATAGTATGATCTGACCTTATGCAACTTCTGCAAAGATCATGCTGTTGCATGAGTCTTTAGAGTCTTAGAACTTGGTAGCAAGAATATAGAGTAATTTCTAGGCTTAAATGTTATTAAAAATGTTCTACCCAGAGCCCCAAAGACTACCGAGACCAGATTTGATGCAAAAGAAAAGAGTTTTTTAAATTATTATAGCATGTCGGGGTCAACAACCCTACACAAAGGCAAAAAGGAAGCAGGGACTTCTTTTAAAGCCTTACTGAGGGGAGTGCCCAAGGAAGTTTGGTCATTTTAGATAAGATTGGCTTAAGCAAGTGACAATCGAAATAGTATGTTCTAATTGGCTGGGGCTAGTCAGTAGCTGGTCATGGACTGGTCAGGGTTACAGTTTGGGGGCATGCCTGGACAAGTCCAAGAGCTGCTGCGGAGGCTGGCTCAGCCCTGGCCTGACCTAGTATTGCCTATACCAGGCCTCCTCTTAGCTGTTGGGGGTGTTGGAGATTGATTGTCCTTTATTCATGACTTCCTCAGAAACTGCTTGTTTAGTTTCAGGAGACTGAACCAATCTTGTACCAAACATATGGCTAAGATTTGTATCTATTGCCTCATTTATTTTCACAACAAACTAGTGACACAGACATAACTAATGCTTTATTTTAGAAATGAGGAAACTGAACCCTGTGTAAATGGTAAGAAACTTAAGCAACCCTAAGCCAGTGACCCAACAGAAGATTTGTATTTTTAAACTTATGAGGAGTCTTAGATTAATTTTTGTTTCAATTTGGTTTGGCTGAAAAAAATAACCACTCTCAAGTGATAATTAAAAGAGAAAAGAAGGCTAACATCGGGGGTGTGGGTAGATGGATGTCTCTGCAGTTAACAAGATGCTGTAGAAGACCTGACTGAGTTTCTTTCCCAGCACCAACTGGGCGGTTCACAACAGCTTCAGAGGATCTGTCATGCTGTCTTTTGACATGGGAGAGGGTGAGGAATCTCTCCACATACACATAATTTTAAAAACTCTTTTTAATAAGCAATAGACTCATTACAGTCTTCACCATTTTTCCAGCATTTAATGCTCAAAGCAAGCATTTCTTGTAAATGTTGTTACCCCATAGGTAAAATAAGATAGTAATAAGCTCAATTTTATTTTAATCATAGATTGAAAAGCATGGATTCCCTTCTGACCTTGTCTTTTCACCTCGAGAAAGCATCCAGCTATATGACACTATGCTTCAGGTCTGGAAGAGTTGGCCCAGGGCCCAGGTAAAGAATCTTCATGGCATTCATGCTGTTATGGTCGAGCCGACATTGCTCTTCAGAAACACATGGTCACAATTCCTATCACTTGCATTTAAATTACATTGCTAATAATTTCAAATGATTAGCAGACCATTTCCCAGAGGATATGGCTTCCTTATATCTTCTCAATTAAGTGGGCTAGAAACAGTGTTTAATATCAGTTTCTGAAAGTGTTCCTTCTTTCTTCTTCCCAAACATTGTGGGAGCTGGGACTCCTTTCCCACTCTGTGTTTCTAGTCCTCAGATTCTTTTCTTCTCATATTGTTCTTTATATCCTGAGTGCTGGTTGCTTTCCCTGGAGACCTGTTTGCTCTGTCTTTTTACCTTTGAAGAGCTCACACATAGTTCTTGTATAATAGAAGGTACAGGGAGGTAAGAGAAGTCCAACTACCTCTAACCTAAGACATTGTAAAACGTTCAGGGAAGAATATAATTGAAAAATATCTTTAGATTTTCTGGCATTATTTTTATGGAATTTTGTGGTCTTCATTTCCCAGGATCTGTGTCCAGAGAACTTCACTCATTTTAAGAACAAAATAGTTATTAAAAAGTTGGATGTTAGAGAATATGAGAAGACCTTAAAGGAAGAATTCACAAACTGGATTAAAAACGGGAACGAGGAGCAGGTATTTTCACGCATTTTGGGCAAAGCATTCTATTTTTTTTTTCCTGAGTTGTGTCATTCAACCAGTAATACCATTTCTCTGCTTTGCAGTGTTCATTGTTTGTTTTAAACTTTTAAGTTTGACTTGCAGTGCAGCAATTCCAACCCGGATCAAAAAGAGAAAGGAAATTTTTTTAAAAATCTCTTCTCCAGTGTACCCTAAAACTTGGCAAGAGACTACAGATTCCTCTTGGATTTGATGGCAAACAAAAGAGAATACAGGGCTCGTGTTCAGGATTTTTGGTGATTTTGGCAGCACAGAGATGGCACTCATGAAGCTGAAACACATTTTCTCTTTTCTTCCTTTCTTAGTTTTGGAGTTTTATTCTCTTGAAAAATCATGTTTAAGAATTTCATGTACATGTGTATAATGGTTTCAAATTCACTCCCCGATTCTCCCCTCCAAGACCTCCCATAGTACTCCTCTACCATTTCCCTTTCAACTTCACGCTTCACGGCTTCCTTCCTAAACTCAATGCTTCCAGTGTATGAGTTGGTGTGGGGCCGTCCACTGAAACATGGGCAGCCTATCAGCATACGTGAAGAACACTGAGTGCCCCCTCTCATAGCAGCCATCTTTGGCAGTGGCTGCTCAGCTAGGGTGAGACTCTGTGAGCCCCTCCTCAATTATGGTGAAATTATTTTGGGACTGATCTTGTGAGCTCATTTGCAGGTATTCACATAGCTGTGAGCTCATGTGTTCTATGTCCCTATCATGTCCAGAGACTCTGGTTTGCAGCCTTGGGGTTTTATTCCTTATGACTTTTATTTTAAATTTTAAAAATTATTCAAGTACTAGAGTCTCACCTGGAGCTATATGCTTACACATTTATTTTGTTTAAGCTTATAGTCTTAATCTATCATCAAAAGTTGAGATTTCCAATTTTTTAATAGCATGCATAATATTTTTTTTCATGTGATCCTCTCCCCACCTCATAGCTTGATTTGTTCTTTTTTTCATTTGGAAACATGCTATAGTTAGGTTACATTTCCCTGTGCTTATCTGGTCATTCAAACCTCTTAGTCAGGTTCACTGTACTTGCCTATGCAGCATGGAGGGGGCTTCTTTCTCCTGCTACAGTGGAAACAGCACCACTCACTGAGCCATCCTTCCCCTTCTGCCAGATTTGTGTTGTCGCAAACAATTGCAGGTGTGGTGTACAGTACATCAGAAGTTTGTTGTTAAGTCTGTGGTTTGTGTGTGTCCTTGCTGTGGCTGGCCACAGTCTTGTGGTATACTGTCCTAGGATTAGTTTAAAGAACAACAAAAACAAGGATTAAACAACAATGAAAAGAGTTTAGTCTGAGTGGCCATTCCTCTCTTTGCTGTGCACATTTTAATACAAATGCTTTCCGTTCACTATCACAGGCTAGAATGGTGCTGCAGAAGCTGAGTCCCGACTTCCATGACCACTCAGAAAGGATGCTGGACTTCTTTCCACATCTTGTTGAGAAGCTCAGGGAAATGGATAAGTTGCCTGCAGTGTTTTTTCTGTAAGTCATTCAAGTTATTTAACATTGGGGACATAATTTGTGTTAGGTTACTTCCTTTAACGTACATGAAACTATGTACATTGCCACTACAATTCAATTCAATACATTGAATGGTATTTATTATTACTTTCAGTGTTCATTCATTTATCAAAATCATATGACTTACTTAAAGTCATAAAATTGTCTACGTCCACTTTTCCTCATTCTAATTCTGTTTGTTTATTTCTTTGTTTGAGACAGGATCTTGATATGTGCCCATGCTGGCCTTCTGCCTCAACCTCCTCCCTGCTAGGATTATAGCTAAACATGCACAGTTATACCCAGTTTTAGTTAAGTCCTTAAAATATTATTAGTGTTCTAGCAATTATTTTATTAATTTTGATATCTCATTTTTTGTATTACTATAAACTATAAATTTTGTTTGTTTGCATCAGGTGTTATTAATAATTTTCGGTACACACCTTGGTTCTTTGCCAAACCCACTGAACATAGCCATCAATGCTGCTATCCCACACAAAATTTAAGTTTTTATTATATGCTACAATATATGTTGGTAAAATGTTTTGGTAATTTAAACAATTGTAATGAGAAATATGACATAGAGTCAGTGATACCTTGCCAAATTTCATGTTATAGAATGTAATAACCTAAAATCGAACAAACTAATTTGATGGATTTTGTCAGTTCTGATAAAATGGCACCAAGGGTAACTCCGTATAAAATAGATAGATTAACCTTGTTAATATGTGACAAGAAGAGAATAATTTACTTAATATAAACTATCTAATTACTCTCAAGCCACAGTATCTTTGAATAAATAAAACCATTGTATATAAAGTTTAATAGTTATGCTTATGCACGGAAACATACAGTAATGAATCATAATTGGTGATCAACACTCAAAACAACGGTAGTAGGTGACGTAAAGTCCTATTTGATTAGTTTTGGAGAGTGAAAGATTTTTCCTTTTGCCTTTGTATGTAGGACAAGAAAAAAAATCTCCTGTGCCACGAATAATTCATACACTTTATCTGCTTCACTTCCAAGTACAGCCATGGATGTTAGAAGCAAGAGCCATTCTCAGCGTATGAGATATGTCTGCAAGATAAATGCAGTGGTGAAATCAGAAAACACTTCTTCATAATTTATGTATTCATATGCATATAAGCATGTGCAATTTTTCCTCTAGCCTGTAGAAAAATTAAATTGGTCAATAGGTTAAAAGGATACACACAAACATAGAATAAATAGCACCTGGCTTGGAGTTTCATAAGGACATGGTGACCCAATGACATTAGAAATGGACCCTTAACCCTGAATTGAGCAATGCAGCAAGTTGTAAAACTGTGACGGTAAATGAGTGTGTGCCATTGTAGGTGATGGGGAGGAGAAATGGCTAGGAAAATTAAGTTTTTCATATTTCTCTTGTTCTCAACTTCTCATTGTTAATAAAAGAAGGTCATTCTCCTTCTGGTACAAGGGTGGAATGTTCTGAACTTTGCATTCATAAGGTATCTGAGTACGGTACTATTAACTTAAAATGATAGGTAAAATTCTACGTGTGGAGTTCGATCTTGGTCACTTTCAAAGTAATAATGGATTGTCTATAAGACAAACTTTGAAAATCTTTTCTTACATGTAGTGTGAATGTTAGTCTTTAGTGGCTTATCACATAGTTATAGCCCCAACATTCTGTTCCCTGATATCTGGAAAAAAGTGTGTGAAAATGTTGATATGTGTTTAAAGGTATGCATTTCAAGGGCCAGCCTCAGCATAAATTCAGCTTCTATCCACTTTAGGTGTATCATTGATTGACAGTCACTTAATGACTGTGATCATACAGAGAATTTTTGTAAGACTAAAATCAAAATGTTGTCAATGTGTAGTCCAGTGGTATAAACTATTAATCACTAATGTGAAATTTCTGGATCAATTTCATTCCATGTAATTCCATATCAGACAGACTTAGGAGGCAGTTACTAAGTATTGTAGATTTTTGGAAAAAGATACACTATGATGGAAATGACTGGACCTTGCATGACAAAGATAATACCACAATGATACAGTCAGAAATATAGATTAAAAGACATAATGCTGTGTGCACTCATGGGTAGATCCCTTAATCTATATCTTGATTTTCTCTTCTGCAAGAAGGAATGACAGAGTTGAAATAATATTTGATATAATAGTTGTTGTATCAAATGCAAACCAGTTAGAATTGCACCTGGGCAGCAGTAACAATAATATGTTTATCCTTCTTGTTATTTTGTTACCTTATGAGAATTGACTGTCATTTCTTAGTCACCACTTCCCCAGAAAAGTTCACTGCATCTCTGTGGATTTATATTTTTTCTAATTTATTCTTGTGACACTGACTGGGAATACATCCCAGGGCCTTAAACACTAGAAAATCATTCTGTCACTGAGCAATAGCCTCAAACATTTTTTTCTTTTTATTTTCTGATAAGATCTCACCAAGTTTCCCAAGCTCATTCTAAACCCACTCTGTATATTAGGCTAACCTTCAACCTGTGATTCTCCTGCCTCAGCCTTCTTATTAACTGGAATTGTAGACAGGTCTGTGACAACAGACCCAAGTTCGCAAGTTTAAAAATACTGGGTTTACAAAGTATTTTTAAAAAAATCTTCTACCTCACACTTTAAGCTTAAACTTTATTATAGAGTTCCAACCTGCTATCTTCTATAGTACAATATTGCAATGTTGCCCAATATCTACTTCTGACACGGCATTTGGATCCTTCCATAGTAGTGAAATGAAATGATTTATCTCCCAGCCTGCTTGTCATCAGAAACTCTACATTCCAAACAGTTTGAAATTCATGTGATGCAAACGAGATGTGTTTGCTTTTAATTTTTCTGGAGAGAGAATTCAACCAATGTTTGTTGCTCAGATCTGAGAAGTCTAGATGATTAAGATCCAGACTTAGATGAACAGGGTAAGCCCCAGGGTGCCAAGGTGTCTGTACCTTTAGAGACTTAGGTATTTATATTTTCAAAGGTTAAGTCCAGGAGACCTTCTGGATTGAAAAGTCATGACCTCCATGGCTTTCTGCCTTCTAGAAAGAAGTGATCATGTGACAGAAGGAAACTGTCTCTTTCCACTTTGCCAAAAGAACAATGTTTTGGGGGACTGACTCAAAATATTGCTCATCTTTCAGGAGGGTGTGTGCAGGATGGAGGTGATTTTCTCATTTTTCTATTTGAACATCACTGCTTCCCTCATGTCTGGGCATGTCTGGCCTGTACAATTTTCATGAGCTCATTCTTCAGTGTGACAAGAATATAGCTAATGAGAAGTATGTGGACCTAGGGCAACCAGAATTCAGATTAAAATTCACATAGGTGGACTTTCAAAACCCAGCAGGTGTATGCCGTGGTTTGCAGGTGAAGTGCTTTCCATCGGTGTGTGTCTGGACCGTCGGTGTTAGCTAGTGGAGCTGTTTAGGAAGGTTGTGGTAAGCTACCAGATGCCACCTCACCCGTGGACTTGGTCTGAGATGCAACAGTTTATACTTTTCAGATTACAGCTACAAATTAAACAACAGGTTGCAGATTAAATCTCTGCACATCTGTAAGCCTTCTTGTGTACCTTAATTACTTTTCTATTACTGTGGAGAGATACCATGGCCAAGACAACTTGTAGAAGAAAGAATTTACTGGGGCTCATAGCTCTAGAGAGTTATAGTCCATTATTATTAGGTCAGGAGAATGTGACAACAGGCAGATAGACATGGTATTGGAGCAGTGTCTGAGAGAGTATATCATTATCAGAAAGTAGGATTCGGACAGAGATAGCTAACTGGGACTGACAAGGACTGTTGATACCTCGAAGCCTGATTACAGTTGCATAACTCCTCCAACAAGATTAATCCTTCCTAATCCTTTCCAAACAGTTCCACCCACTACAGACTTGGTATTCAAATACATAAGCATGTGGGGACCATTCTCAGCCCATTCACCATACAGGGCCATTAGGGTCAAACCCTGAAATCTTATAGCCAATCCGATTTGTCGCTATGCTTATCCTTATCCCAGTATAAGTATCTGTGTTCTTTCAAACAGTAAACCAGTTTAAACCCTTCCATTACTACTTCTGCTCAGCCATTGTTCATAGCTATGAGAAATGTAATGTACAACCAGGAAAGATGGACAGACTGAATTTTATGGTATTATTCATTTGCTTCCAGATTTAGATTCGAGTCTGTAGAAGAATGTGCCAAGGCTGCTTGCCAATTTCTGGAAGATAAACAGGAGGAGACGAGGTCTTCGAAAGCTGATAAAGAAGCTCATGTCATTGCTAATAGACTTCGAAAAGTTAAAAAATCTTTGGAGAAACAAAAGATAAGGTAAGTATTTCACTAAACAAATTGACCATGTAAGGGTTTGTAACACACTAATGTCCTGGTAGGAAATACATGTTTAAGATGCTCTATAATGAAGTTCTAATTACTGCTTGGATTGTTTTTGTTTTTAAATTTCAGAGGAATAATTGGTTGAAAATAGTTGATTGGCAACATGTATTCTTTGGTTGCATAGATCAGTTTAATTTACGGTTGTTTGAAGCAGATCCAGATTCTACCAGTCTATGTGTATTACAGAACTTGACAGGATCATCCCACATTGTCTATGTGACTCGCTCTTACTCATGATACATTATCACAGTGTGAGCCCTACAGTGAGTTTTGGACTGGGTGACCATACCAATTTTACTCTTGGAATGTCATTGCTCTCGGCATTAGCTATACTATGTCCTTCCTTTGATCCTCTCCCCCTTTAGTGACTGTGTCAGTTGAAAACTCTTATTTTCCCCCTATGATTGCAGAGATCTTTAAAAGCCTTGAGATTCTCCAGGTTTACTATTCTCCATCTTAACTAACCTGTGCTTAATAAACTTTGAAATTGATTAAATTATCCCATGTTTGGTATTCTTTTTTTCTGTCGCTTAGTTGATGGAGTCTCACTTCTACTGTTGATTATTCAACAATTTTGACTTAAAAAAAATCTTCTTCTATGCATTTCCTGTCACTCCTTTTAGGATATTTGTGGTTCTGTTCACTTCACTTCTCCTTTCATCTCTTTCTTTCCATGGACCCAAATATCTGTCTCTTCAGCACCTTTGCCTTTATGATTCCCATCATGAGTTCTCATAAATTTATTCTCTTTTAATTTTGGACTCATTCCTGGTCTTAGACTTACATTTTTGTAGGTTCTGCATTATTAATTTGGGAGATAAATTATTCTGTGTTTTTAGAATATACACACTGACCATCCCTTATCTGAAAGATATAAAATCTGAAATCCTTCAAAATCTGAAAATCTGGGTGCTCAGGTAACACTGTATGTGGAAATTTTTGCATGATGAAACTTTGCTATATGTATAAATTTATTTAAAATATGTATAAAATTGCTTTCAGACTATATGTAGGGGGGAATATAGATAAAATCTAGCTCCGAAGCTACAAAGAAATTCTGCCTCGAAAACCCAATATACATACATACATATGTATGCATGTATGTATGTTTGTGTGTGTATACATATATATGTGTGTGTGTGTGTGTGTGTGTGTGTGTGTATAATATCTAAATAAATTTTTGGTTTAGACTTTGGTCTAAACAATATCCCAATATCTAAACCATATCCCAAGATATGCTGCTATGAATTGGACCATATTTCAAATTCTAAAACACTAAAATTAAGTTCCCAAGCTTTTATTATAAGGGACACTAAAGCTTTATCATTTTCCCTAAATCCTAAGCCTCTTTACAACAGGAAGCATACATTTTCCTCTTTGCATCTCAATAACCTGACAGATAATAGTTGTTTCAAGGATTTATCTATAGCTCTTCATCTGAGGGTGAGTTTTCATGAGATTTTTCCAAATCCATATTTGTTATCAACTAGTACTGTCATTGTTCAGGTCTTGTTTTGGTTACCGTACAGTTAATATTTTGTGGACACAGCTTCTCTGTCATATTTAGAAGACATTATCTGGTAGCAGATGTCCTGATTCCCTGGTGTTTATAACATTTTTACCCCCATCTCCTCAATGTTCCCTGAGTCTTAGATGTAGGAGTTGTGTTATAGATACATCGAGTGGGGATAAGCACACCAGATTCAGGTTTTCTCTGCATTTTGACCAACTGATAATTTCTGTGATGAGCTCTCTCTACTGCAAAAAGAAGCTTCTTTGGTCTGGGTGAGCGCTACTGTTACAGGGTGGGGGCCCGCTTGTTCTTCCCAGCCACCTGGCTAGCTTAGCCTTGAAATAACCACACAGAAACTATATTAATTAAATCACTGCTTGGCCCATTAGCTCTAACTTCTTATTGACTAACTCTTACATCTTAGTTTAACACATTTCTGTTAATCTGTATATCACTATGTGGCAGTGGCTTACCAGGAAAGATTTGGCATGTCTGTCTCGGGTGGCTCCATGGTGTCTCTCTGTCTCTTTGTCTTCCTTCTCCCAGCATTCAGTTCTGTTTTTCCCACCTACCTAAGTTCTGCCCTATCAAAAGGCCAAGGCAGTTTCTTTATTCATTAACCAATGAAAGCAACACACAAACAGAAGGACCTTCTGCACCAGACTACACTTATCTGTGTATGTAAGAATAATTATTTAGAATGCTGTTGGTGGTTATACTGGTTTAGGGATGTCGTAGCACTAAGTTCCCCTCTATTGTCCATTATTCCACCAGCAGCATGTAGTTGGTAAGGTTTATAGTACCAGGTATAAACCCACTATTAAGTGAGGCCTTAAGTCCAATTAGTTGATGGTAGTTACCATGGAGATTAAATGCCATTGTTGTACTATTGGGGATATATTGCCACGCTACTGTTACAGTATGTAGACTTTACAGTTGGTTAAGACTTTTCATTGCCCCCTTGGCAGCTTGTATATATGTTATAAAAGCTAGTTCTTATGGAGGTCTAGAGATGATTTTAAGAGAAGAGCTAAAACTCACTTTTGAGTTGAAACAAACTTTTAGAGCCTCTCTGATTCAAATATTCCAAATTCTAGAACAAGCTATAGTTTGGATCTTTTCCTGTATTAGGCCCCTGCATGGTTTGCTGAAGGACATTTTGGCCATTTTCCTTAGCAGTTTTTATTTATTAACAATGATTTATTCAATAGTTTAAAAAATTGAGTTTCACAACAATCTGTGTTTCTCTGTAAGTATATTAGGAATGTTCACTGCAAGGGGGAAGGAGAATATCCTGAACTGACAAAGAAGAGAGAGGCAAACACATACCTCCAACTTGAGTTTGAGAAAGGCTGAAGGAGAGAAAATAGTCATCATATTATCAAGAAGAAGCAAGATCACCTGGGCAGAGTGAAACAATCGCGAAGAACATTATAGTTATATTCGTAATGGTTTTATTGTGAGGGTTTCTAGGCCACATGGGCTGATGAGCAAACACATTAGAGGCAGGGGACTGATAAATGCATAAAGCAGTGATTCTGGTTAATAAGCATAACTTAAGATGCTCTAAACTTCCTGTAGAGATTGAATTTAAATACTGTTTTTTTTTGAAATTTTATTCTTGTAAAGAGATGAAATGAACGAAAAGCCTTCCAGAAGATTGGATCAAAGCATCATACATGAAGCTGAACATGATTACCTCCTGAAGAGTCTGGAGAAGAACCTGGAGATTCCCCAGGACTGCACATATGCTGATCAGAAAGCAATAGATGATGAGGTCAGCACCCAGAAGAGATCAATGCTCCCAGAGGGTTGGCCTCTTCCATGTAGGCAGTGTTGATCATACTGCAGGCAATTGCTACCATGAGGGAAGTCTCAATGTGCTAGAGATGTGGCAGATAGGAACTTTTGTCACACACAACATTCGAGGACCTTGTTGTCCCCACTTAATATAGGTTTAGAATTTGTAGACTGATTTTGTCTTGCTGAAAAAAACACCCAAGTGTCTGTTTATGTACTATGAATTTCTTAAAATTCTGTATATTATATTTAGAATTTGAAACACTGCAGAATAATATATTTAGATACTGATAGCATTTCTTAAAATTAGAGTCTTTCTATATTACAGCTAAAAATTTCATCAAAGAATCATTGGGATATCTAATATTAATTGAGCCCATCATCTTTAAACTTTTTTCTTCAAAGTGTTCCTATTTATAGACAATATACTTAACAATACAACTACTTTCAATAAAAGCAATGTCTTCACACACACATGCTCCCATATACATTTGTGTGTTTTTTTGTGTCATGAATCTTGTTTTGTCAGCTTCATGATCTATCTAATTTTTATGAACATGTATGCACATGATTGTTTTAATTCATCCTTGACATTCTGCTTTATAGATAGCTGTACAATAAAAATAGGGAGGTACTATCCCTTTACTTTTGAAGACTTACACTTGTCCCTTGTCTCCTTGTGTTAATCTTTTTATGTATTATAACACTGGACACATCCGGATTTCCTCATTATTTTGTGGACATTCTTGAGGCAATGCCATTGGGAAGTAAGCATTTGTTGACCTTTTAGTATAAAGGTTTGATTTACTTTAACTTTCTGGGTAGAACTTTAGAAAAGATTTCACAGTCACTTTATCTTTTAGAAGTGACAGTAGGCCACAGTCTTGGATTTCCATTGGGACTGTCTGCTGTGCTGACAGTTTTCTCACCCAGAACAGAATAGAGACTGTCAAGAACTGAGAAGACTTTTCTTGTGGTGACAGTTGTTTCCATAAAACATTCTTTTGTTGTTGTTGATGATGATGATGTGTAGAGCCAAGGCCAAGCAGTGACATCATTTGGTCAAATTATTTTGCAATATAAATATGAAATTATTATGTAATATAAATATTATTTTCATTAAACATTTTTGATTGATTGAAAATTAGATAAGCAATACTCTAAATCTCCTGTTTCTTTTAGTCATTGCAGATGGTGTTTAAACGAGTGAAACATGAAATTAATGGTGACACCCTGAAGACTTTGGCAAGAAGGGGCATTGGCTATCATCACCGTTTCATGTCCAACAAAGAAAAGCAGTTAGTGGAAATTCTCTTTAGGAAAGGATTCATTAGGGTGGGTCAATTTTTTACTGTAAAATTTGAAAATGTAAATAGATGAAGCAGAGTGTTCATGGAATGAGGAAATGTAGCCTCCACTTTACATTTTTTTTCTCATGTAGCTAAGCCTCTTGGGCTGTAGACTGTTTTGTTTACTGTCGGTGGCATCTTTACATATGCTCCAAGTCACTGGGAAACTCGTTTTGACTGGAGTCACTGTCTCCATACATTTAAGGAAAGAAAGCATTTCTATGTTGACCTTGGTGCTGTATCTTAATTTTTTCTGTTATCATGTGTAGGGTTTATTGATATGGTTTTGCTACAAATATTCTCTCCAAGATTTGGAGGGCATTTATATTTGAGTTTGGGGCAAATTGCTTTTTATAATGTGGTGGCCAAAAACAGAGCATGGATTTCTGCTCACTCAGGGCTTCAGCTTATCTTAGCAGAACTTGTATCTATCTTGGTACTGAATGTCATTTCCCTGTCACTGGTGGGGGACAAGAGGAAGATAGTCATAAAAGACTTTCAGACCACAACCTTATTTTGTTTTCTTTAGTACATCCTAGGAAGGCTCATTGCAATAATCAAGACAAGAATACAAAGGTCCTTTAGATAATTACCAAGCAAATCTGAATCTTGGGTAATGTTTAAAAACTGACCATTTTCTAAAAATTATTAACATATTAAATATCAACACATTAATATATACATATTATATACATATATACATAATATATGTATATGTATATACATAATATATTAACATATTAATTATTTAACATATTAAATTTTGTTTGTCATGGGATAAAAGAAATAGAAGATGGAAGGAAGAGAGAGAAAAAAGAGAAAGAGATGTGACTAAAATAGTATCTGACAGAAATTTCCTAGTCACTAATAAAATGATGAATAACTCAACTGATATAGAACAGATCTTAGGGTAATAGTAATAGCTCCATCAGAGTATACATTGTAGGAAGGTAATTGTTCTGTTCATTTTCTAAATGTAAAGCTCTTTCTATCTCAATGTTTGTGTTTGTTAAAGAGATTCGAATTAAAAACATTTAATATATAGCATCCTGACCAAAGCATAAGCGTCAGTTACAAAACACATAGAAAAAATTATTTCCCATCCATAAGCATCATCACAAACCAGAGCATAAACAACCATCAATTTAAAGACACAGCATAGATGGACTTTTCTTCAGGCTGACAGCTGAGAAAAAAAATGACATGGAGACTTATTATTAATTATGAAATCTTAGCCTATAGCTTAGGATTATCTCTACTATCTCTTATAACTTAAATTATCCTACTTATATTAATCTACATTCTACCACCTGGTGTTTACCTCTGTTCTATCTTGTACCTCCAGATTTCTCTTCATGTCTGCCTAGTGACTATACCTTTCGTTTTCCCAGAATCCTCTCTATCCCTAGAAGTCCCACCTAACCTCTTCCTGTCTTGCTATTGGTCATCTATATCTTTATTAAACCAATCATATGGTGTCTTGGCAAAGACACATCTTCACAGTGTACAAAAAGGCAGTTAATTCCACAAGAATACAGAACAAATCAGCATAGACTAACTACCTCAGGAAAAATGAATGATAAGTTAAATTATGTGAATAAATTTTACATTCCTTTTTGTTTCTGATTAGTCATCATGCAAATTCAAGACAGAAAAAGAAAATATACTTTTTATGTCATTTCTCAATGACTTTAGTAGATCAAATAATTACCAGGAAGTAGGCTTATAAAAGATTTATTGCACTCTCAGAGAGAAATTCCTCTCCTAGTATTTTCCTTATGATGTTTACTGTAGCACTTATTCCATGCCAGATGTGCTATTTGACTCTGAAGATGCAACAGTGAATGATGCCTAGACTTGAGTATTTGAAGGATAAACAAAATCACAGTGATGCTGAGGGACATTGAGGGAATGATGGAAAGAATCAAGAGGTCGATGGTGAGGACAGAAGATAATAATTTTAGATGTGGCCAGAAGTTCCTCTGTGGTATTTGCACCACACAAATATATATATACATATATATTTGTGTATATATATGTGATATATATATATATATATATATATATATATATATATAGTGTGTGTGTGTTTTGTGTGTTTATATATAACAAATTTCTTGGAAATATTTGTAATCTGCCAAAATGCCAGTGTGTAGATTCACTATTTTGTTCCTTTTAGGTGGTGACTGCTAATGAAACACTCGCTTTAGGAGTCAACATGCCATGTAAATCGGTGGTTTTTGCTCAAAACTCTGTCTATCTGGATGCTTTAAATTTCCGACAGGTATTAACATACACATTAGCTTAATGTATTAATACTATATAATCACATAATAATAAAAATGTTACTTTAACTATTAATTTAGTAACATGTTCCGATTCATGGCAGATCACTGTAGGTGCCTATCTGGTATTGAGTAAGCATAGGACTATGAAATTATTTGACCACTGCTAATCATGTGCATGGTCTTGGATAAGACAATCAATCTCATCTCCTATCTGCAGAATTTGTGTGACTATTGCTACCTCATGTCATGTACTCAAGCTAAATAAAGCAATTTGCAAAAAAAAGGATCCACATTAAAGATTATTGGGAAACATTATTTTTTTCTCAATTATGAGCATCAGTTTCCATTCTGGAGTCATCTTTAATACTTTTTATAGCTCATGTTACATAGTCTATTTCCAAACCAACTTCTGTACTCTCCTGTGGTGTTATTTGATTGTTTTCCCACAATCTGTGAATGCAGTCTTGCCATGCTCTACTTAGCTCCAGAAACTGACCTATCAGGGGTGGCAAGGTAGTGAGCAAAGGACAGATACACCGTCATGCAGAAAAGCTGGGATGAGGTGGACTTGGCTTTCTGGTAGAGAATCTAAAAACTCTATATCATTTGGAAGCTCAGTGTGTTTATTATAAACAGCTTAACAGAAAAGTGAGGTGATTGCATATAGTTGAACTAGGAGGTAGGTTAGCTAATCTGAGGAGCAGTATATGTAGGGAATAAATCTTTCGGTGCAAATGTCTGTGAGAAGAAAACTACAATGGATAGCTTCTGTACACACTGTTAACATCCAAACATGGATCAGAGGAAGGATTTTCAATACCTTTGGGGGAATAGCGTGGCCTTGGTATTCCCATAGGACTGAGACATTGGGTTCTCGACATATCCATTATGCATTAGTGATATAAATTCCTACAGAACTTCATTCATTTCACCCAGTGTTTCCTCAGCTCCTCACACATTTATCTTTTGCCACAAAGTCTTGACATTTTATATTAAAGCATTTTCCTTGATTTTGATTCTCCTTGTTCTATTATGTTCTACCGAAAACAGAATTTCTTCATAGAGTATACTTTCTCAGAAGAGTTTGGTCAATATTTCTGTTGGCAGAGTCAAATGTAGTTATATCTGCTAACATTCAAATCCTATAAAGCATATATAATCAATTTCAATAATATGTTATCATATACTATTATATATTATAACATATATTATATAATATTCTATATAATAGAAATAATATTTGGCAAGAAAGTGACAATTATACAGCACAAAATATATTCATAGTATTAGATATATGACTATAAAAAGGTATAGTTCTATACAACATTATACAAATACTTAGTATGATTAATGATTTTTGTGAATAACAGATATATTATTTCAAATAACTCTGCTTAGGACATGATTATTTATTTTAGATTTTAAATAGAAAGCTATTCATTTTAATTCCTCAGGCACAGCAGTCTTACTCAAAAGCAGTGTAAAAGGCTTAGCTCTTTTTATTTTCATAGGAAAAACACTCAGGTGATTCTCACAGCACGATTCTGCTCTATTTCCAGATGTCTGGTCGGGCTGGAAGACGAGGACAAGACCTGCTGGGTGAAGTCTACTTCTTTGATATTCCACTGCCCAAGATAGAAAAGCTCATAAAATCCAAAGTGCCTGAGCTGCGAGGCCAGTTTCCTCTCAGTATCTCACTCATTCTGAGACTCATGCTGCTGGCCTCCAAGGCAGATGACCCAGAGGATGGCAAGGCAAAGGTGCTGTGTCCCCCAGCCTGGGCCTCTACTGTCTGGCTGGCCTGTGCTCTACTGTGCTGTTATCAGGTTTAGGATGCTTCTCCATGTTCTCTAGAGAGCGGTAGAGGATGCTGGGGAAAAGAATGATAAATTATGTTTGTTTCCATTATCTGATAGAATTTGTGACTGGGTGGGCACTAAGGTATTCTCATGATCACTGTCTTCTAGTGTGATGGACACTATTGTCTTTTACAACAAGATGCCAGCCATCATCTGTTTCTACCATTCGGGAACAAGGAGAATGTTTTACAATTGTAATGTAATGTCATAAGACAAAATCCAAGTTCATTAGAAATGTTCAGAAAATGTAGAAAGTTGAAAAACAAACAAGCAAACGAACTCAATCCAAAACAAAAAGGACTCATACCTAGTTTTACCAAAATGATCCCATTATTATTTTGGTTTTTGTTTTCAGACATTTTTTTCTGAGGTATGATTACACACTTTATAAGGGTGTAAGCAAGTGGACATCAAATCCTAATCAGAGCATAGTCTTGATGCTTTAGGGGCAGATAAAAGTGAGTATGAGACCATGAATTTGAAACTCATAATTAGATGATTTAACTTCTATTTTTGTGACAACACACTGCTAGAAGAACTTGTGTTCATTTTCTATTGGCCGTAACAGAATGCCACAGGTGGAGTGAGCTATCAAGAAGAGAGGCTTGCTTTGCCTCATAGTTCAGAAGGTTCACTGGGGCAGGGTGGCAATCTGTGGAAAGCTTTCTTTGAAGTGTCACACTCACAAGACATCATGTGGTGAACAGGACATGTCCTAGCCTGTGGGGCCTCTCCTGTTTGAGCCTCTTGAATAATCAAGGAGGATTCCAACATGGGAGCCTTAGGACTTCCTCTGGTTCTAAACACTTCACCAAGTCTCAGCCCTCAGTGAGATATCCAGCCCAGAGATTAGATTTCAGCATGATCTAGGGACCACATTCAGACTACAGCAGGACCTATTCTACTAGGATAGATTTTAATTATACTCTATTTCTGGGAGCATCTGTAGAGCCCTCTCTAGAGAAAATTAGCCTGCAGGACAACAATGTCCTCAAATGATGATGGCCTTGTTCATGCTGGGGACCTTGATAGAAGAAGAGTGGAAGTCTATTTGTGCAGACTTGCTGTGAGGTGAGCAGCTTCAGTACAACGGAGCTAGGCACATTATGGATTAAAGCTACTTTTAAAGTCATGTGCCCCAAATAAAATGCTCCTCATTTAAGTTGCTCTTCTCAGGTATTTTGACATAGCAGTGAAAATACTAATACATCATGCTTGTCTGCCTTTAGTTATAAGGGCTCTACCTCTAGAACAAAATGGACCACTGTTACTTCCTCTCTCCTCTGTCCTCTTATTACTTTGCTGTTTTCCAAATGCTGTCTCCTCTGATTCCAGCATACAGTGTAAGAAAGGTGGTAGTAAAGTCACCTTTATTCTCTCCATAACTCACTGTAAAGGAGATGGGGAGTTTACCCCTTTAATTTTTCCTCCTGTCCTACCATTAAGCATATTGGACTTAAATACAGTAGTAAGTGGAAACATGGCTCCGGTGTTAAGGGCATGTAAGATTGTAGCACAGGACCCGAGCTCAGTTCCCAGCACCTGTATTAGATGTCTCACACCATCCTGTAACTCCAGAAGGTCTGACATCTTCTCCAGGATTCCATGAGTACTTGCATGTACTACTCCCACCACCCACCATGTATAAACATAATGAAAACAAAATAATTCTTTCTGGGTTTTGTTATTTTTAAAAGGACAACAAAGCTTGTTCCTGCATTCTATAAACTCTCCAACCTAAGAGCAGACAGGTTGGCATTTGAGTGGCGCTAAGGAAGTTTGCTTTTATTGAGTTCATAGATATTTTAGAGAGAAGCTGAATACTGCACATACAAGAGTGTTGTTTGACACTGGACATGAAGGAGGATTTTCACTCCTTTGGTTCCAGCCAACCTGCTTCTAATCTTTTTGTACTGATATCATAGATACAGAATAGTATATCTAGACTCCCTCTAACAATTTATTTGCTGCAAGCTCTGGAAATGATAATGTCTTTTCTGCTCAGTCGGTTTGGAGACAATTTTGTTTCTTTCGATTTGGTTTTCTGTGCTTACCTTATTCACTTTTCTATTAATGTGATAAGACTATGACCAAGGGAACTTATAGAGGAAATGGTCTGCTGGAGACTTTGAGCCCATGACCATCATGAGAAGAGCAGGGCAGCAGGAAGGGAGGCACAGGAGTAAAGACTGAGGATTCACATCTTGAGACAGTACCACAATGTAGGGATATAACTGTAATGGCATGGGCTTTTGAAGCCTCAAAGTCTACATTTGACAATCCTTCCCAAACAGTTCCATAAATCAGCAGGCAAGCATCCAATCACATGAGCTATGAAACCATTGTCATTCAAACTGCCACAGTGCTCTTTAGTGTGTTAAAAGACATATGCACATTGTAGGTGAAAGGTATGTGATGAAGGAAATTTTGTTGTATGAAATCTAATTGAAGTTTGTATATTGCTGTGTTTTATAATATTTTTCACATCCTATACAGTGGTTGACCAAGAGCACCAAAAGGGAACTTTTTAAGAGCGTCCCTTTTTCCTTGAGGAGACAGCGTTTGGAAAAGAATAAAGCAGTAAAGGGGAACCCACAATTATTTACTGTGCTTTAGAGGTATAGATCTTGTAACTGGCATTATATATGCATAAGACATGAGATTATATATGCATAGGATATATGACATATTTATGTATGTGTGTGTTATATGTAATTTAGCCTGTGTTATCTCTTGCAAAGACATTTAATTAACGTTACTAAACAAAATGCTTTTCTTTGCAGGCACTGTCAGTGCTGAGGCACTCACTGTTATCCTTCAAAAATGACCGAGTCACAGACATGTTAAAGCGTTACTTCTTATATTCTTTGCAGTTCCTGGTGAAAGAGGTAAGAACCAACTCCTCTGTCTGTTTTATCTTTCTCTCTGTATGAGTGTGTGTGTATGTGTATGTAATAGATTGACTACTATCTAGTTATTTTTTAAAGCATCCGACTTTATTTTTTTATTTTTTAAATTTTTTATCTACATCTTTGTGATGTGTGAGCAGATGTCATATGTGTGTAGGTACCTGTGGAGACAATAAGAGGGTATGAGGGTGCCTGAAACTGGAGTTGTAGCTGACTGTGCGGCACTCAGTGTAGATTCTGGAAAACTGAGCAGCAAGTGCTGCTGACTGCTGAGCCATCTCTCCAGCCCTAGATTTTTATTCTAACCGCATTCATTATTGTAAACCTTAGAAGACAATACCCAATGAGTACTGCTACTTATAATTCATGTAATTATTAAAGTTGGGCTAGTTGGTGGTTACAGCCTTATTGGCATGTAGTATTTTAAACTGATAATGAATAACCTACTTGTTACTAATTCTGTGAGTTGAGTCAAACTAACAAATTATTTTGTTCTTTAGGGATTTATAGATCAAGAAGGTAACCCTACAGGGTTTGCTGGCCTTGTATCACATTTACATGACCATGAACCGTCTAATTTTGTTTTTGTCAATTTTCTTGTAAGAGGTCTTTTCCATAATCTTTGTCAGCCAACTCATGAAGGTAAGTTTGAGGGCTATGTTTTTGGTGTGTGTGTGTGTATCAACAAAATAATATTATCAAATTATACACTATATAAATAATGTATCATTACTAGTATATGGGTATATATCAATATATGAGATAATGTGATAAATATTATATGCATGTAAAATTGTTTGTGTGTGTGTAGAATCTTCCAATTGTGGAAAAACTACCTGGTAGATTTATAGAAATCTAGATCTTCAGAAATACAATCACTCAATAATCACTTGAGAGAGTATTAGCTAAATATAATAATGTATGCATGAAAATCTTACAATTGTTCATTTTAACTAAAAGTTTAATAATAAAAAGAAAATTATAATTATACAGGCAAATTATAAGTTAATAAATAAGATAAAGTTGAATAATTACTAGTAAGAGTTTCTATTTTATGATGATGATTTTTACAATATTACGTACTGAAAGTTGTAATTTGAAAAGTATGTTGCCACTAGGATTCTTAAAATACTGAGTAATATGTAATATTTATAAAACATTTTCTAGTAATTGAATATAATATAGATCAATTTTGAAGAACAGCAGAAGAAAACATTGTTAAAACACAAAACCCAAAATTCTATCCACAGATAATAATCAACATTATCTGTTAACATTGTCTGCAACACAATTTTCTTTGCATATAATTGCACAGTATACATCAATAACTGATATTTCATTAATTATGTGTTTGAGGTCAATTATACATATTAAATTTTGCCCATATTGGGCAATGTCATTATAATAAATTCCACACAGATTTTATGGAAAAACTTTCGGGTTTTACATTTCAAAAGTAATTATGTACACAGTGTCTCTGAAGTAAATATTGCCTTCTCATAACATTTGTGCTTAATGTGTTGATATTTTTCGGTGCATGGGGCTTCAGTGCCTTCTGCTTTCTCCTCTGTCACCAGTTGATGGAAATACTTTGCTTTGCACAACACCTGTAGTCTTTATGCACTAAAAATGAATCATTTTGTGGCTACTCAGAAGGTTTTGTTTTCCCCAGATTTGTAACAGGTGAAATAATTTCAGGCAATAGGAAGTGTGGTTGTGTTTATTGTTGTTGACAGAGGTAGCTAAAAATGATAACTTTATAAAGAATGCATAAGAAGTTAAATAAATGGACATGCTGCTAACCTTTTAAAAGAATCCAGGTTTTTGTAGAAAGACCTAATGATTCTCTGAATCCCCTCAGTGTCTGTTGTTATGTCCCCCTTTTCATTTCTGATTTTGTTAATTTGGATGTTCTCTCTTGGCCTTTTAAAAAGTGTGGATAAGGATTTATCAATCTTGTTGATTTTCTCAAAGAACCAGCTCTTTGTCTTATTGATTCTTTGTATTGTTTTCTGTGTTTCTATTTTGTTGATGTCAGTTCTCAATTTGATTATTTCCTGTGATTGTTAGTAGTCATTCTTACTCAGATCTGTAACTAAAAGGAACAAAATGGGCAAAGGGAAATATAAAATGCACAGTTTGAGGAGAAAAGGGCACCAGGAAGTCTGATGGAGATAAATAGTGCACTCACAGAAATTAAAAGGGTTTTTTTTATTGTTGTTGTTGTTTTAAAAAAAAAACACCTGCTGTTAAATGGGATAAAGGAAGTGGTGACCTTAGAGCAAGACTCATCCCATCTATGCTTTCAGCTTGTGAAAATGAGTTTAAAAAATCCTTAAGCCGTGAGGGAACTCATCAATAACAGAGAGCTGATAAAGAATGCAACTTAAAGAGGGGGCCATGTCCCTGGGCTTTGATGTTTCAATGGAGTAGTGCCTCTCCCAATGTTGTCTTTGCCTCCTGCTTGCAGTTTGAGATGCACCACCTCAGCTGTTCCTGCTACCATGTCTTTGCTCTGCCATCATGGACGCTAATCCAGGCTCCCACAAAGTCAGTCCATGTAGTAGAATAAAAACCCAGTGCCATTGGCCTTGGCTTCTCAGTCAGTCCTCATTGTCAGCCACATTTTGAGAGTCCGTTTTGATCACATGCTCCATCACTCCCAGTCCAGCTGGCCTTGGTGAGCTCCCATTAGATCAGTCCCACCATCTCAGTGGGTGGACGCACCCCTCGTGGTCCTGACTTCCATGTTCATGTTCTCCCTCATTCTGCTCCTCATTTGGACCTTGGGAACTCAATCCAGTGCTTCAATGTGGGTCTCTGTCTCTATCTCCATCCATTGCCAGATGAAGGTTCTATGATGATATGCAAGATATTCATCAGCGTGGCTACGGGACAAGGCCAGTTCAGGCACCCTCCCCTCTGCTGTCCAAGGAACAAACTGGGGACCTCTCCTTGGACCTGGGAACCCCTCTAGAGTCAAGTCTAGGGACACGCCTTTTCCAACAAGGCCACACCCCTAATCTTTCCTCCTAAAGTTCTACCAACTGGGGACCAAGTATGTAAACATATGAGCCAATGGAAGCCATTCTTATTCAAAACACCACACCCTGGATTGCGTAGGACTCACCATGTAGACGAAGATGGCCTTTAACTCAGATCCACCAGTCTCTACGGAATGTTGGAGTTAAAGGTGTGAATCATCACACCTGGCAACTTTAAAGGACTTTAAAGATAGATCTAAGCACCACTGCTGACTGAAGTTGATGGTACCTGGGCATACCGCCTGAGGAAACACTTAGAAACATCATCCTTTTTGTTTGATTGGTTTGAGGCTTTTATAATTAAAAAATAAAATAAAAATAAAGAAAAAAGGAAATAAAGTTACAGTATTTGAAAAAAAAAAAAAAAAGAGCGGGCCATGTTCCAGCATGTTCCAGTCCCAGAAAGCAGTAGAACTTGGCAACTTCAGTCACATTAGTCATATTGTTCTGGATTTAGGGTCAAGTATATGATAAAAGGGTTATGGAATCTCTGTCTGTGACTAAGAAAAGCTCCTGAGGCTAGGCTAGTATCATTGGTGTCCCTGCATGGAGATTCAGAGAGGCCATTGCACAAAGCTATGAAAGTGAAGCCTGGATTGTGTTTGAGATTCCAAGATATTGGGGATGCCAGAGCTGTGGGACACCTGTCAAGGAGAGCTGCAGACCAGGTGTGGAACCAGCCCAAGAGAGAGCTTTGTGTTACAGTGGCAAAATCAGAAAGGAGATGGAGATCTGAAGAGTGTCTTGACATCAGACATAGAGATGAAGTTCTCTATGTGGAGTTTGCCCAACTAGGTTTTGATCTTGGTTTGGTCCAGTATTTCCTCACTATGCCCCTTTATGGAAAAGTAGTGTATATCCTATACTATTGTATGTTGGAAGCATGGGACCTGCTTTTTTATTTTTGTTTTATAGGGAATTACAGTTAAGAGATGGCTTGAGTTTCATAAGAGATATTGAACTTTGGAATTTTAAACAGTGTTGAGACTGTAATAGATTATGGCAACTTTGAAGTTGATGCGTTTCGTATTATGATATGGTTTCAGACCTGTGATAGGACAAGAATTGGAATGTGGTGATTAGAATGAGTATAGACCCCATAGACTCACTGATTTGAACACTTGGTCAGAAGGGAATGTTACTATTTGATAGGATTAAGAAACTTGGTCTTTTGGGAGGAAGTGTATTACAGAGAGTGGGCTTTAAGGTTTCAAAAGCCCCTGTCAAGTCCAGAAAATCACTAATAAATTGAATCTTAAGAAATATAGAAGCAGGGAATAAGAAAAAAGGAGAATGTTTCAAAGCAGGGAGATGAGTGGAATTATGTTTCTTCATTTTCCATAATATAAACTCAACTTTTCCTGATTATCAAGGAAGGACTTTTAAATTATTGTGATAGTTGAACACATGATAGAGATTTGATTTTATTGATCTTTTACCTTCTCTTATTCTAAAATCAAGGCTTGATTTAAAACCTATAGGAAAAGGAGTAGATTTATATAGAGATAAATAAAAAAATTGTGACTAAGAACAACAGGTTATCAACATTCATATAAGAGAATTTATTTTAAATTAATTTCCTAAAGTTTGAAAATTACTTAAAGCATTACATATTTTGATTAAATCTTGATAACTTTATAAGTTAATTTGAAGATCTCTTTACCAGAACAGTTGTATAAGGTTTTTAAATTATTACTGAAGAACTACAGAAATTTCACTCACCTATATCCATCCACAGTGGATGGGGAAAGGCATTTCAGTGATGAGCAGGTAGTGATGCCACAGATAGATCTGATGCAGCTCCTCATTAATTTGGCAACTGGCAGTTACAGTAGCAGGGTCTCTGTGGTGGACTGAGTAGGAATGGTCCTCACAGGCTCATATGTTTGAATGCATGGTCATTTTGGAATGGAACTATTTGAAAGGGATTCGCAGATATGGCCTTGCTGGTGTAGATGTGGCCCTATTGGAGGAAGTGTGTCCCTAGGGGTGGGCTTTCGGGTTTTTGAAAGCTCAAGGGAGGGCCAGTAGCTCTTACTCTCCTCTTGCTGCCTCATGATGCAGATGTAGAGCTCTCAACTGCTTCTCCAGCGCCATGTCTGCTTGCATGCCACCGTGCTCTCTGCCATGTTAATAATGAAAAAAAATCTCTGAAACAGTAAGCAAGCCTCAATTATGTGCTCTATTTCGTAAGAGTTGCCGCGGCTATTGCGTCTCTTTACAGTTATAGAACACTGACAAAGACAGGGATGCCATCATAAATTTGGTCATCCACTGGGAGATAGATCAAAGTAAGCAAATTCTAGATCTCAACATAAGTAATTTATAGTAGGAAGGTAAAAGCAGGAACAAAAAAGACTCAGGTGCAGCTGAAGTTATTCTACAGTTGCTACAAAGTGAACATAATAATCTTTTTAAATATAAAAAAATTGATGTAAGCATTTTTCACAAATATATCATGGAACTCTTTGTTTTGTACAGGTTCAAAACGTTTTTCTGAAGATGTAATGGAAAAGCTGGTCTTAGTATTGGCAAATCTTTTTGGAAGAAGATATATTCCAGCCAAGTTCCAAGATGCTGACATCAATGGTTATCAATCAAAGGTAAAATCATCTAATAAAAGTATTAACAATAGTATAGAAATTATGCCAGAAATGATTCTGCAGCAATAGGATTTTATGAATATGTGGTAATTAATGAATTTTATATACTAATTTATTACTTCGGGAAATAGTGTGGTATTTACCTGTAATTCAAAAGTCCCTCTGTGGATCTGTTCAAAGGTTACATGTCTTAAGGATAAATAGAATGAAAGTATATTCATGATTTTAATTGATTGCATCCAAATGCAGCATTAATGAAAATGTTTAAAAGGCCTGGGAAGAGGACTTGATACAATGCTTGCCATGCAAGCATGAGGATCTGAGTGTGGATTCCCAGTACCTACGTGAAAAGCTATACACAGTGACACATCATGTAATCCCAGAGCTGAAAAGGCAGTGAAATGATATCTGGAGCTGGCTGGTCTAGACTAGCTTAATTGGAGAGCTCTAGGTATGGTTAGAGATTATGTTTCAAAATATAGGGTAGAGAGCACCCACTCAAATATTCATGTTTATACACACACTCACACAATGTAGGTAATTATACATTTAAGCTCCAAAGCCACCCTCATTTTTGAATATGTGTCCTGAGATATGACTGTATGTCACAGTGTCATTTATCAAAAAGAGTTACAAAGTTGTCTAGGAAACTGTCCCTTGACTTCCAGAGTCTAAATTTTACAAACAGCTTTCAAATTTTAATAATACCATATTCTTGGTCATTGTTGAAAAAGAGCATTTGTCCATTTAATCACAACAGTCGTATATATTTCCATGAGATCTTTCTTCGCAGTCTTTCTGCTCTTCTTGCTGCCTTGAGTTGACTCTTTCAGGAATATCCATGTCACTTTCTGATGTAGCACATGATAGCATGGGTGACAAAGGCAGAAGTCTTTTCTTCACAGTTTTTCAGGTCCAGGAGTCTTAAATGAAGACGGTTTTGGGGACAATGCTTTCTAGGTTGTAGTTTACCATCACAAAACTGAAAAAAGGAAAAGAAAATTAGAGATACAGCGCTTTCATGTGAACAGGTTGAAAAAATAACCTCACTTAGCACAATAAATACGATGAGAGTTGCAAAGCCTCTCACCAAGGTGCAGTTGACTCCAAACATGAAAATATGCTCTATCTTCTTTGCTCTACATACGTGTTCCTAGATCCTTTGAGATTACTCACGAGTCCAGTGGCTGTGGAGGACGTGCTTTTGCTCTTACAGGAGCTGTTTTCGTTAGGGAGCATCAGAGCAAATTTTATGGGTAGGGCATTTGTTTTTTACAAGTGCAAATAAGAACAAAAACATTTTAATCTTACTTCAATCAAGAAAGGTAGGAAATATGTTTTATTGAAAATAATAGTTATACTATGTGATCTTTCATTGCTATAACTTCTCAGTTTTTAAGAAAGGTGTTCTCTGCTCTTTGAAAAACCTTTGGCATTTAGGTGTTCCTTGAGGACCTCCCTGAGGACTTCAGTGAGGCCCTGCTTGAGTACAACACGCAAGTGACAGAGGACTTTGCTGCTTTTCTGCGAATTGTGTCCCGATTGGCTGATATGAAACAGGAATATCAACTCCCCTTGTCAAAAATTGGTGTGTTTCAGTTCCCTGTGGATCAATTTAGTAATAGTCTTGTCCAAGGATATGCAATATGGATGTTAGGGATGCTGGTTAGTGGTAGGGCTCCAACTCTACCATTTTTGTCTCAGAAAGCTAGCACTTCAGAAAAGTCAGTTTGCCTTATAATAATTGGGTTCTTTCTAAGCCTTTACAAAAAAAATGAAACAAAAAGAAGTTTGTGATTGACAGTTAAAAGGGCAGTGGAGAATGAGACTAAAACCAATTATATCATTTATAAACTGTTTTGATTGAGAGCTGACTTTGGCTCAGTCTGTAAGACAAGAGAAACAAGAGAAATTCTTATGACCACTTTTCAGGAGAGGCTTGATGTTGAATGTCATAGACTTTGGGCAGATTTCCTGACTCTGCTAATTCTTACCTTTGAAATTTGGGAAAGTGATGCCCCAATCATGTCGTTGCTTTGTCCATGGACACTTGAAATAGAGAATAATATTTTTAGTTTTATTGAGCTTCAAATGATTGGTTTTAAATGATTAGTGAATGCAAATATCTTGAGCTTAATATATGGGGAAATAGTTTGATTTTGTTGTTCTTATTTATGACCAATAGATAGAAGCTTTCTAAGAAATCATAAACAGAAAAGGATGACAGATATAAAACTTTGATTGGGGAGAAATGCCTGTGACTCACTCTACTCCACCATCTCCACTTGGGGAAATTCAAGGAAGTGGAGTGTGTATCCTCTTAGACTCTATAACTGTAGGACAACATGAACAAGAGCAGATGGTAATGGCAGGCACACACTTCTCTGGGCAGATAAGATAGGAGCAGGCAGACATTCTGCCTCAGTGACACACTAGAGCCTACTTGATGATAGGACTTGGAATTTTCTAAGAACAGAAATGCATAGTATACATATTCTCATAATCGTTTCCAAGCTTACTGATAGTGGACATTAGGATTCCATATTTAGTCTATTACCACACCACTCTGAACATGCCCAATCTTGTTGGACCTGGAAAGCTAAGCTAGTTGGCGTGATTAGTACCTGGAGAGAACACTGTCTGGAAAGATTCTAAGGCCAAGTCTGATTCAGTGGGAGGAAGTTTCTAAAGGTAGGCTATTTCTGCCTGGGAGGCCAGCCTCCAGGCAGCACAGGGTTTGAAGGGAAAGCCCCAGCATTGGCATGCACTCAGACTTTTATGTGGTCCTTGATAGGTTCAATGACCTCTCTTTTCAGCTTGGTTTAATTGTCACACAAGGAAATGAAGTTTGATGCTGTGGCTGTATTTAAAAATGAATCTTCCATGCATGGTAGGGCCTGCCTTTAATTTCAGCACCCAGAGGCAGGGGGATCTCTGGAGGACAGAATGGTCAATCTGGTTGACATAGAGAGTTCTTGGTCAGCCGAAGATACATACTGAGATCTTGTCTCAAACAAACAAAAAATAAAAGTGCAGCAACAAAAGGATCTATCTCAACCTGTTCTGGTCAGAATTCACAGGTAAAGAACGTGAAGACTCGCCACTTGTGTCTCACCTGATGAGCTTCAGGGAAGGAAGGATGACAGTTTCACCATTTGTTTGTCTGTCTGGAAACTTTGATGTGGATTTGCTTCGTCCAGGAGTTCCAAATAATGTAAGTAAAGAGTGATGTATATTAGTTAGTCTCTGTGGGGCTTTTGCCCCAGTCTGAGTGATATACTGTAATAAAATGCTGTTGAAGCTGTGGAACGCTAGCATACAGATGATAAAATTTTTTTACCTTCCATTGTAAGAAAAACATTTTTATTAAATAATTAATTTTTCCAACCAAATCACATTTTCCTCTCCCTCCTCTCTTCCCAGTCCCTCACAAGCCTTTCCTCTTCCCTCAACAGCCATCCACTCCTTCTCCAGAAAAGTGCAGATTTCTCATGTATAGCAGCCAGTCATGGCGTATGAAGAAAAATAATTTTTTAAGAAAAATAATTTTGGAGCATTTTTTAGTTTCATATGGATGACTGGTTAGATATGTAAGAGATTAGTAGTTAAGCAGTTTGAACGAATAATAATAATCTTTAAGCGTTATAGTTTCCTTTCCAAAGATGGATTTGATAGCTCATGCCCATCATGTAACTCGTATGCTCAGTATAACTAGAGATACTGAGACAGGAGGACTGCTACAAATTTGACTATTGCATAATGAGCTTCAGGCAGGGCTAGACTATGTTCTTGGCTCAAAATGAAAAGGGGGTGGAGGAAGAAGAACAAGAGGAAGGAGAAGACAATAGTAAAATAATTCTGCTTTCCATTTATTGTGTAACTAACTCAATTCATAAAATGTAACAGTCACTTTTGCTTCCTTTTTATATGTAGAGTTTTCATGGCAATTCAGAGGGTTTGTAAAACAATAAAAATGAACTAGGAAGTCTGTATCTTGTTGCTGCAAAATTAGCATTAGTTAGAAGAGACATAGATGCATGCATGAACTCATTCTCACTGACACTCGCTGCCCACAGAGTTTTAGAAAGCAGTTTCTGCTTCTACTTCCTTCATTTTGAAGAAGCTGGCATAGGTATTTAGACTCACATTATTTGATCATAGCCTGCTTTTTGCTTGACCCAATTCACTTATATAAATTTGTTTTACTAAGGTAAGTTGTAATCTCTTGAAATTTCACTAGCTTCTGTTATTGTTTGAGTTTAATGCTGTATTCTAAAGCTTCTGGGTGGCTTATGAAGAGAGGAATATACATAGTGAGAACCCATGAACTGAGAACTCATGATTCTCCTATATTTCATTTTTTTGTTTCCCACTAAAGTTACATAATTTCCAATAATTCTGAAAAGAATTCATCTTGCACATGACTATTTATTTATGCTTGTGTTTTATTATACAAAAGTGAAAAAATGGTTAATTGCATTCTCCTGAAAGTATCTTATCCTGTTTTTAGTTTTATGTCTGTAGAATTCATTCATGTTTTGACATGAAAGTCTAGTTTATTCCACACACCATAATACTTCATAATAAAAAACTATGCATTACTCTGTCTTCTGTCAATGTTTGGTCTGTTTTTACTTCTTTGTTGCTACAAACAGGGTTAGTGTTAGTGTTTGGTGCATTGTGCAACTTTCTCTTGGGTGTAGATTTTCTGGGTTGTAAGAAAATAGAAATATTTCAATGTTCATTCTACTACCCATGACTGCCAAATCACTCTAGAATGTACTTGGCCAGTTACAGCATCACTAACCCTACATCCGAACTCCTGTTTCTGAAAAGAATTGAGAACACTACTTATTTGCTCTCTTCTTTTGTAAGGTTTCTGCTCTATCCTCTCTCTACTCTTTTTTATTATGGTTGTTGATTCTGAGGAACATTATACTTTTCCAGTTGCACTTTCTTTTGTGCAATGCTTGCCTCCTGCTCTCTGAAACCCCATTTGCAAAGTTATTCTCTGACATGTTAAGGAGACTTTAAAATTTTTGTTCTCTTTTCTTTTCTAGTCAGTCTTGCTCTATTCCAGCAAGACTGGTGGACTTGCCATCAGCATGCTGTGTATGAGGGGGGTCTTCTTCACAGGTGGAGCTAAGTCATGCTCTGCGATGCACTGTCTCTGGGTGTGCAGAAGGCACCTGCTCCGTTATCAAGAGTGTTCTTGATAAGCATTAATGAAGATGGAACGACTCCAAGTTCTAAATCACAAGCATTCTCTCTAGATGCATAACCACTCAAAAATTCTGTTTTTAGGTCGTTCTGCACACAATTGGTATCGATCACACCCGAGCCCCAGTGCTGTGGCCACACAGATTCGATAGCACAGGAAGAAAAATGCCACTTAGCGCATATGCACTTGACTTTTATAAGCATGGATCGCTTGTGAGATTAGAGAAGGAAAACAGGTATGTTCACTCCTGATAATTTCAAGAAATGGTTAACCCTGCCAAGCATATTAGATTTTTTTCTTCCAGACTGATGGCAAAGATGATGACATACTCTATACTATTTTTATTTCTTGTTTGTCTGCAAAAATTTGGTATTTAGACCAACTCACTTGACCAAAATGTATACTCTAAATGTGTCTTTGTGAATATTCAAATATATCTTTATATTACAGTTCTACTTAGTCATCATTTGGAATTTTAATGACAAATAACATTCTGGTATTGCTTAATGCCTGAGAGAATATAAAGTGTCTAGTTTGCTTACCTGGTTCTTAGACAGTTATTTTAGCTTGTTGCCAGGGAAGTCATTTCTATAAGTGTAAGCAGGACCAAAAATTACTTAAGTCACTCTGCCCACAATTGCTGTGGCCACAAAAGGTGGACAGTCATGGAAGAAGACTGTCACTTAACACATGTGCACTGGGCTGCTACAGGTATGAATCCTTTATGAGGTTTGACCAGGTCAATAGGTATCTTCTGTCTTGATAATTTAAAGAAATAGCCTTGCCAAGCATCTCAAATATTCACTTCCAGGGAAATACTCAAGAAAATGTCCATGAGCAGAGATGTATTCGTCCAAGTGCTAAGCACATACATTTAGAGGCAAATACACCAAGGAATTAAACATAGAGTTGATGTGAAAATATGAGCAATCTGTTGGGCAGTGGTGGCTCACATCTTTAATCCCAGCACTTGGGAGGCAAAGGCAGACGGATCTCAAAAGGCAGAGACAGGCAGATCTCTGTGAGTTTGGGGCCAGCCTGGTCTACAGAGTGGGTTCCAGGACAGCAGGATTTGTTACACAGAGAAACCCTGTCTTGAAAAATCAAAAGTGAACAAATAAATAAAAATTTAAAAATTGAGTAATTTTTTTATTAAGTTATAAAATTTTTGATAGTCCTCAGAAACTTGGAACACTATTGTTTATTAATCCCAATTTATTATTGTGAATAAAGTAGCTGTTGCATTAGTAGATAATATTTTTGTTTATTTTAAAAACTTATTCATTGATATTTTCATAATTGTATATAAAACAACATGACTACACTTCCACCCACATTCTGTATCTCTTCCCAGTTTTACCATTTTATTCCAGCAAATCATCCTCCCATTTTGAGTCTTTGAATTTTGTTTTCTTTCATTTTGTGACCCATTGAGTTATAGGAGGGCTGCCTGCATGAGTGTGGGGCACTGGGCCCACCAGTGACTATGATCCTGAAGAAAACAATTCTCCCTTCTTCAGCTCACAGGGCCCTGGTTGTTCTATGAGCCCACTTCTCATCCATGCCTGATGTCAGTGGTCCCTCTCTTGCACAGACCCTGTGCAGGCTCCCTTAGCTGCTGTGAGTCATGAGTCACGCCATGCCCTGAAGCTGGCATTTCACAGCACTCCCCGCACTTCCAGCTCTTAGTTCTTCTGGTCTCCTCTTCTGTGATGTCCCGCCTTGGTGAGCTGACACAGATGTTCCACCTAGGGATTAGTGCTCAGCAGTCACTTATCTTCAGCACTTTGACTGATTGTCTGCCACCACTGGAAAATAACAAAACCAACACCAAAAACTGTAAGCAAAGGCAGAGTTTTTTTCTTTTGTCTTGTGTGTTGTGGCATGGCCCCACATAAACACAAAAAAAAACCTTTTACTAAATACAGAATGCTTGACCTGTTTCTCAACTTTATTACTAATTAGATTTTACAATTTAAATTAATCCATTTTTAAAACCCAGAAGGCTGACCCCAAACTCTCAAGCACCGATCCTGCCCTAGCCTCCCAAGTTGCTGATATTATAGACATGAGTCACCGTACCTGGCCAAATGAACCTATTTCTATTAATCTACATTTTGACACATGGGTAAATGGCATTGCCTATTCTCTAGCATGTCTGATTCCTCTGGTTGCTGGCTCACATCTTTCCAGATCCCACCCTTCTTTCTCCCTGTATCTCTGTTCATCTTCCCTGACTAGCCTGATTCTGCCTGACAATAGGCCAATTAAGCATCATCATCATCATCATCATCATCATTTTGTTTTGTTTTCTGAGACAGGGTTTCCCTGTATAATGGTACTAACTGTCCTAGATCTAGCTCTTGTAGACCAGACTGGCCTCAAAATCATGGAGATCTGCCTTGCTTCTGCTTCCCAAGTACTGGCATTTAAGGTGTGCACCACCACCTGGCAAATTTAGCATTATTATTAACCAGTGAGGGAAATACATATTCACAGCATTCAGAAAGACTATCCCACAGCAAAAACCAAACAAGCAAAAAATCCATTTCTGTGATCATAGTCAAGATATAGGCCTAATTTATGGGTGTAAAAATTAAGAACAAAAATGTTTTTGTCATTAATTTCAATTTTATGTTATTTAGGATACATCAAGGGAAAGCTTATGATCTACTGAAATATTTTTCCCTCACCATTAAATCTATCAGGTATGTTACATGTTGAAATATTACTTTCATATTTTTCAGAAATTTAATTGTAATTTAAAAATATTGAGATTCTTATCATGAACCAGGTATGGAAAAGTATAGGGAGACTGTTACATACTATTTATTTGCACTTCCCAGAGGGTTTCTAGAGTCCCCCTTGGCACAACCTTTTGGTTATGTTCTGTAATATAATTAATTTCATAGTACTTTGGAGATTAAGGTCCATCTAGAGAGAATCTCAGGCTCAGGCACTAACACTAATAGGAAACTAGTCCAGAGCATCACTGATACCACATCCTGATATTTCCAGTGGTCTCAATTGCAAAATCTTGTTAAACACCAATGTTTCTGATGTACCATCAGGTCTCCAGGTTATATCATGTGCTTCCTCTTGAATATCTTACTACAACCTATATTTTTCTATGGGGTTTGTCAGACTGTCAGTGAATAGTCACTTCCTGTTTTGATCTGTAAAAAAAGCCCAGTTTCCCATAAGTAATATCAAACTTTATATGAGCACTCCATCCTTAGGCTCCATTTGCCATATAATGTCACCTAGTTAAATGACCGTCATCCTCGTCCCTCAGGTCTAAGTGTATTTAACACTTTAATAGAGGTTCTTTATTTTGTCATGGTATATTCAAAATTATCATAAATCTTATTATTACTGCATCCTTAATAAGCAATCATTTGTTTTATTTCCTTGATAAGAGGTGAATTAGGCCCATATGTATTTTTTATATACACAGTGTGAAATTAAGGCATACAAGAGCAGAGGGAATAGCTTTGTTCATCTATAGCAATGGTTCTCACCCATCCTAATGCTGTGACCCTGGATTGCAATTTCTCATATTGTGGTGACCCCAAACCACACAATTATTTCATTGCTACTTCATAACTATAATTTTGATACTATTTTGAATTATAATGTAAATATCTGATATGCAGGATATCTGATATGTGACCTCCAAATGGGTCATGACCCATAGGTTGAGAACCACTGATTTGTAGCATTTCTAGATGAGGTGGCTCATAGTTATCCAAAGAATAATCTTGAGAGCAACCATGAAGCCTCCAGAGATACTAGCGTTGAGTGCAAAGCCAGGCTGAAAAATAAAACATTAATTCATTCATTCATGTAACCAATGTGGTTGTATCATTGGTTTGAGACACTTTTAAACATTTGAGATACAAGGATTTTTAAATCTACTTCCACTTTACAATCCTTGTATTAGCTACTTTTCTGTTGCTGTGATAAGACACTGTGAACAAGACAACTTATAGAAGAAAGACTTAGTTTAGTTTATGGTTCCTGAGAAATTTGAGTCTTTTTCAGGAAGATAATTCAGTGTTACATTTTAGAATTATGTCTGTATATTTTGAGCATCTTGGACACAGAACAGTGAATGTGAGTGTGGCATAGATCTACAGTCTTTCTATGTGGTTGAGATGTGTCAGATTGTCTCATAGTGTGTAACAGTGAAGGTGGTCAGAAATGAATGAAGGTCTGAATTAAGGAAACAGAAGTAATGATTCAGGATATTAACTCCACAAATACTTGCAATTCAAACATTGATACTGAAGTTTATATAGTGGGTAAAGTTGACCAAAGTTTAAATTGTTGTTAATGGATATCTCTCTCTCTCTCTCTCTCTGTCTCTTTTACACACACACACACACACACACACACACACACACACACACACACAGAGTACATTATTAAAGGGACATTTGTGGTTAAGTACAAAAATAGTTCGAATTTATATGTATAGTGGATATTAGAGGACATCATCACAGTGATTAGTCTGTAACTCAGGAGAAGTAAATTAATGTTGCAGATAGAGATTTCAGTTTGTTGATGAGTAACGACCCAGGGAAGATGGATCTCTAGTCAGGGAAAAATATTAAACAATGAAAGGCAAATAAGATGTCAGATGTCAGACCGTGCTTGACTTCAGCCAAGGCTACTCTCTATGAACTGTTCAGTTCTGTGTTTCTTCTTCCTTTCTTCACGCCTTTGTACCAGTTTCTTAATGCTGATGTAACAAGTTGTCACTTAACGATATAAATATATTTAAATCTTACCATTCTGGAGGTCTAAAGTCAAAAGTGTGTTCCACTGGGTAAAACTGGTTTTTTGAACACTTTGGTGGAAAATCTTGGCTCTCTCCCAACCTTTAAGACTTGACTGCATCATTTTAGGGGTCCGCTCCACACTATTTCCTTATGTCTTTGAGTTGAGGGATGTTCTGTAGAGAGAGCTGAGACTGTATATCTAGTGTCCACATATCATTTTCTGACATCAGTTCTCACTTTCCTCACACCATGAGCACTTTGGGAAGTTCATTGGTTCTACCTAGAGAACCCAGAATAACCCCCTCCATTCAATATTAACTAATACCTGTGGCTTCATCTGTGATGGGAATTCCACATTGACATGGAGTATAACATATTTACAGGTTTCTGAGGATTTAGTGAAGACATCTGAATTAGATGAGTAACGTTATTCTATTGGCCGTGTCCTGCTTTCATTTTTTTTCTCACCTACCCAGAAAAAGAAAAGGAAGCTTTTCTTCTCTATCATGGATTACAATTTTTTCTGAACACAGTACAGAAAAAAAAACCCACCAGAAAACAGCAAGAACAAAAGTGAAAACAAAAAGTCTACAAAGTATGTCCATAAGCTATATAGTGAAAAGAAAAGAAATTTTTGTTGTACTATTTAAGGGAGCAGGGATCCAAGAACATAGAATTTGGTAGCCTCACAATTGTCCTTTGTAATAAAGACACTGCACAGAACACCTTCTCTTATTTTTCTATTTCTTTCTTTTTTGTTTTGTACATACATCAATTGGTTAATGAATTTGTTTCTTATCAGTATTTCTTATAATTTGCTAATGCTATTTCATCACTTTATAGGACAGCCTTTTTAAATAATACTCATGACACTTAGTTGACTAATAGTATATATATATATATATATATATATATATATATATATGTATTCTTCTATTTGCAGTGTTGCCTTACGTGAACTGTGTGAAAAGGAGGAAGACAACGTTGTTTTAGCATTTGAACAATTGTCTATGTCCTTTCATGAGAAGTTTGAAAAAGTGTGAAAAGAAAAGCTATATAAATCACCTAAAATATCACCATAGAAGCTTTGGAATTTGTATATTTTTTATTCTTATGTTTTGATCAGGCAATCATACACAATGAAATGGAATGAGCAAGCAACTTACTGTGTTTGGCTCTGAGCACCCTTGGCTGTACCACTTGGTGTGCCAAAGTTGTGGTTTCTAGAAATGATTCACTAAAACTGCTTATGTCTCCAAATTATTGAAGATTGAATGAGAAAATGCAGGATTTACATATATATGTTTGAAGAATTATTTATACTCTGCAAGATCCAAACAAATATTTATTTAAATACTTTCACTGTTAATAGATGTAAAAGTTTATTGAAACTAGAAAAGTAATAATTGCAGAATCCTGAAGATGTAATACATTCTTTCCAGTAAATATAAAATGATTATACTGCTTAAAGAGCAAGCTGTTGAAATAGTAAATCTTACTAAATAAGTTGCTTGTAAAAATTATTTTTATTTATTTTTGTGAAGCTTTAAAAGAAACAAATAGCTAATATTTTGCTCCTTTTTATTTGTGTATACATGATTGTTGAAATAATGACCTCATTGGTTTCATTTGTGTGAAATATATTTATCTAATAATTCACTTGCATGGTACCATTTATTCTGCAGAATTATTTACTTAAAATCATTTGTAATTGAGGCCTTAGCCTTGATTCTCAACTGTAGAATCTATTTGAAACCCTCAAATAGAATTTACAACACTGAATCCTCAAAACAAAGGATGAGTCTTTTCTGTTACTTGGGCATTTCACCATAAGTAGATTGTTGTGATTTAAAAAAAATGTTATGGTACATTTATTCCTGAAGCAAAATAAAATTATAATTACTGAAAATGATGTAGCATTTCATGAGCAATGTTAGAAATCTCTACCTTGGTAGTGGTGGTACGGGATGCAGTCTAAACTGCTTTTATTCTTTAAATGTTACAGCAGTGCTATAAACTGAGACATTTAGGATCCTGTCTAGCACCTCCTATTTCCTACCCAGTGGAACATTACACAATGTGAAATTGATTGTGATGTTATTTGTAACTCAATGCTTGTACTTAGGAGTCCAGATGGGAAAAGAAGATGTCTCCCACGCCTATATGCGAAATCTAACATGTCTTCTAGAGTTTTAGAAGAATGAGTTCATTTTTGCCATCTGGGGTCTTCTTAAAAGTGCAGGATTATATGTAACATCATTGAAGTGCATCCCCTGGGAGTGGGAGTGGACTGCTTCTTTAGTCTTTAGCGAAATCTAAAGAGAAAGCAGGAACAATTTCTCAAAAGTGAATTTAGGAGAAACACATCAACAAAAAAGTGGAGCTCAGAAAACCTACAAAAACTATGAACTGGCAAAATATTTTCCTAGAATCCTTTAGAAGAAGATAGAGCTTGTGATGATTCCTTGAACCCCAGAGAAGAGAAAAACCAGGCAATGCGAGGGATGGGTATCCTGGGCCATGATACTTATCCCTCAGATTTGGCAGGTTTCACACATGGAAAAATGTCCCAGACATAAGCGAGTTGTACATCGGAGAAAGTGAGTTCAAGGTAGATAAGCTTTACCCTGTCTCCTGGGTCTCTTTCATTGAGTTCAAACCTACCACTGTCCACAGAAACAGAGCATGGGTCTGCAATTTTCTATTCAAATAAAGTTTGGGTATTACTCTAAAAGCAACAAGACATAAAGTTGACAAGATCAAACTTTATTAAACTTTAAATTTCTACATAGTAAACAACCAACAGAACCAGAGAAAATGCCTGTAAACTATTTATCTGAAAAGGCCGGGGGGTAAAACCAAAATATACAAGGAACTAAAGACAACTTCCAACAGAAAAACCCCTCAAACAATCACAGAATATGAACAAATGACATCAATAGGCAGTTTTCAAATGTGTACAGATACAGGAAAAATTCCTCAACTCTAGGAATATTAAGGAAATGAAAATTAGAATTACATTGAATATATCATCCCAGTTAGCTATGCCAAAAATAAGATGAAATACTGTAGACATCTCAGAACAAAAGAAACTTGTGCATTTTTTGGTGGGAATGTTAATTAATGCAGCTATTTTGAAAAACAACATGGATGTTTCTCAATATACATATTGAGACTGACATCATTTTCAGATTCCACTGCTGGAGAGTTAAAGACATCTGTACCTGTAGGCTGCTTGTAGCATTCCTACCAATAAGCCAAATGTAGAGTACAATTAAGTGTTGGGTAAATGAGTGGTTACAGAAGTGTGTGTGTGTGTGTGTGTGTGTGTGTGTGTGTAAAATAAAGTGCTATCTAGTGACTAAAAAGCAGAAATATGACTAAACTGGAGGACAGTGTGTTAAAATGAATAAGACACACACAGAAAGACGATGCACACAGAGGTAAGAAGAGTTATGGAAATAAAGTAACAGTAAAATGGTGGATATTAGAGACTGGGAAGAGTCTAGAGTGTTGAGTAGAAAAAAGATGGGACAAGTAGAAGGGAACAGTTGTTTGTAGAAATACCTTCTCATGCTCTATAACACAGTGAGATGATTGAGGGATGCCAATTAATTACACATTTCAAAACAGCAAGTAGGATGTTAAAGCTCTCTACTGCAAAGAAATTATAAATATTTGGTTTTGGATGTACCAGTTGCCCCAATCTGATCGTGATGCATTGCAGTGAATTGTTACAGTATATTCCTTGTATATATTCATGTGTCCATTAAAGAAATAAAAAATACACCCAAAACATCAGTGACTTTTCTTTTTCTGAAAGTATATTTATTTTACTGAGCGGTGGTTGTGATTGCCTTTAATCCCAGCCCTAGGGAGTCTGAGGCAGACAGATCTCTGAGTCTGAGGCCAACCTAGTCTACAAAAGCTAGTTCCAGGAGAGGCTCCAAAGCTACAGAGAAACCCTGTCTTGGAAAAAGCAAGCAAGCAAGCAGGCAGCCAGGCAGGGATGGAGGGAGAGAGGGAGGGAGGGAGGGAGGGAGGGAGGGAGGGAGAGGAAGGAAGGAAGGAAGGAAGGAAGAAAGAAAGGAAAGAAAGAAAGAAAAGAGTATATTTATTTTTATTTTATGTTAATGATTATCTGCCTGACAGTTTGTATGTGTGTTACGTCACCTCACAAACCAAGAAAGAGAAGGTATCAGTGAAGACAAACTATTATGACCTGTATCTATGAAGATGTTCAGAGGAAACCCACCACTTTGTATCCTAAGCTAAAATTTAATTTAATAAAAGGTAGATAGGAACACTTGATTATGATAAACCTGTATACTTTTACCAATATTTAAAATATAAATTCTTTTTCTATTCATTATGAAGCTCCAACTTCCCTTATAATTATCTTCCTTTTCATTCTAGAAACTGTTTTCCACTCATCAAGAATGGAGCTAGCAAAACTCCTTTTGTTTTTCCCCCATTGGATGACTTTTTTGTTCTAGCTTCACAGTTAAAGATTGTTTACCAGTTGGTATGTTGTTATAGCCATGAGAGACCTTGTCTCAAGGCAATGAGATGGAGAATGATAGATAAATCCCCTCAACATCTGCTTTGACTTCAGGTGGGCTGGCATGTGTGCATACATATAACACACACACACACACACACACACACACACACATGCTTTCTCTCTTTCTCTCTTATATATACACACTCACTCTATCTCACACACATACACACTCACATACACACTCTCATTCACTCTCTCCCATACACAAATCTCATACTCACTTTTTCTCACATACACAGAGTCACTCATTCTCTCTCTACACACTTATACTCAGGAAGAAAAACTCAAACAAACTTGATGGTCTTTGATGTTGACTTAAAAACATGAAGGTAAAAGTCAAAGAAATATCAATTATCAGTGATGGAGGTTCCGCATTTAAGATACGTTCTTCACTGTTTGCTGTTTATTATTTTGTTGATCTTTGCCATTTTGTGGGATAAGATAGAATCTCAAAGTTGTTTTTTTTTCACTATTTGCTATTGATAATGAACATAAATTGAAATATTTCTTAACCATTATTATTTTTTTATTTTGAGAACTCTCTTTAGAACCCAAGCCCAGTATTTTCATTTTGTGTGTGTATGTGTGTGTGCTTTGTTTTGTCTGGTTTAAAATTATTTATATATTCTATATATTGATGTGGAATTCCCCTATGTAGGTTGTAAATATGTTTTATTGCCATTGGCTAATAAAGAATCTGCTTTGACCTATGGCAGGGCAGAATAGAGCTAGGTAGGGAAACTATACTGCATGCAACAAGAAAGAAGACAGAGTCAAACAGATGCCATGTAGCTGCCGATGGACAAAGATGCCGGACACTTACCGGTTGGCCACAGCCTCTTCATGATACATAGATGAATAGAAATGGGTTATTTAAGATATAAGATCTAGCTAGAAAGATGCCTGAGCAAAGGGCAAACAGTGTTAAAATTAATGTAGTTTCAGTGTGATTATTTGGGTCTGGGCAGCCAGAAAACCAACACACGGTGTCTTTTTTAAATATATTAATCCTCTATAAGATGGGCAGCTAGCAAAGATTCTTTCTCATTCTGTGTGCTTCTTTATTCAATGACTGTTTCTTTAGCTATATAGAATCTTCTTAGTTTCATGAAGTCTCACTTACCGATTGCTGGTCTCAATTTCTTGGTTAATGAGGTCCTATTCAGAAACTCCATTCTTACACCCACATTATGTAGACTATACCCTATATTTTCTTCTAATATCTTCAGGTTTCACATTTAGGTCTTTGAGACACTTGAAATTATTGCTAGGTGATAGAAGCTGTTCTAACTTTGTTCTACATGTGAACATCCAGTTTCCCAGATCTGTTTGTTAAATATGCTATCCTGTATTTGGTGTATGTTTTTGGCAGCTTTATTGAACTGAATAGCTATAGTATACATATGTGTAGTCATGTTTGGGTTTTCATGTCTATTGGCCTTGATGTCTATTTTTGTGTCTGCATTATATTTGCTTTTATTACTCTTGCTCTAATACACCTGGAAACCTAGAATGTCATTCTTTCTGACCTAGCTCTTTTTGTAAGGGCTATTTTAGGTATTTGGGGTCCATTGTTATTCGATATGAATTTTAGGATAATTTTTTATTACTGTGAAGAATGTCAGATTTTCACTGGAACTGCATTGAATCTGCAAAAGGCTATTGGTTAGAACATTCATTTCTGTAGCTTCCATTCTACCAATCAATAAGCATGGAATGTCTTCATTTTCTAGTGTTCTCTCAAAATTCCTTCAAAAATTTCAATTTTTTGTGGAAATATTTCACCTATTTGGTTAGGTTTATTACTAGACATTTCCTTTTTTGAGACTATTTTGATGGAGATGTGCAAATTATCTCTTTCTCTGCACGTTTGTTGTATGTATATAGGAATTCAATCCCTGTATAGGTATAAAAACTGCATAAAGAAAACATAGGAAGTACCAATATAGAATACAGGTATAGAAAAGGACCTTCTGTCTGATGTGGGGTTGGTGAAGATCATCTCCTAATCAGTAGGTTGCCTTTTTGTCTTAATGACAGTGTCATTTGCTTTACAGAAACTTTTCAGTCTCAGGAGGTTCCATTTATTCATTGTTGCTCTTATTGTCTGTGCTTCTGGGGTTATACATAGGAAGTGGCCTCCTGTGCCCATAAATGGAAGGCTACTTCCCACTTTGTCTTCTGTTAGGCTCAGTGTGATAGGATTTATATTGAGGACTTTATGCATTTGGACCTGAGTTTTGTGCATGGTGATAGATATGGTTCTATTTTCATTCTTCTACAGGTTGACATCCAGATATGCCAGCACCAATTGTATACTTTTAGCTCCTTTGTCAAAAATATGGTGTTCATAGGTTTATGGATTAATATTCAGCTCTTCAATTCAATTCCATTGGTCAACATCTCTGTTTTTATGCCTATACCAAGCTGTTTTTATTACTGTAGCTCTGTAATAGTACTTGAAGTCAGGGATGGTAATGCCTCCAGAAGTACCTTTGTTGTATAAGATTGTTTTGGCTATCCTGGGTTTTTTGTTTTTTCATATAAAGTTGATTATTATTATCTTAATGTCTGTGAAGAATTTTGTTGGGATTTTAATGGGGATTTCATTGAATCTATAGATTGCTTTTGGTAGAATTGTCCTTTTTACCATGTTGATCTCCAAAATATTTAAAGAACTCAAGAAACTAGACATTAAAATTCTGAATAACCCAATTAAAAAGTGGGGTACTGAACTGAACAGGGAATTCTCATCAGAAGAAGTTCAAATGGCCAAAAGATACTTAAGGTCATGTTCAACTTCCTTAGTAATCAAGGAAATGCAAATCAAAACAGCCATGAGATACCACCTTACACCTGTCAGAATGGCTAAAATCAAAAACACCAATGACAGCCTATGTTGGAGAGGATGTGGAGTAAGGGGAACACTCATCCATTGTTGGTGGGAATGCAAATTTTTGCAGGCACTGTGGAAATCAGTATGGCAGTTTCTCAGGAAACTGGGAATCAACCTACCTCAGGACCCAGCAATTCTACTCTTGGGAATATACCCAAGAGATGCCCAATCATGCTACAAAAGCATTTGTTCAACTATGTTCGTAGCAGCACTATTTGTAATAGCCAGAACCTGGAAACAATCTGGGTGCCCCTCAATGGAAGAATGGATAAAGAAGGTGTGGCACATATACACATTAGAGTTCTACTCAGAATAAAAAACAATGACATCTTGAATTTTCCTTGCAATGGATGTAAATAGAAAACACTTTACTGAGTGAGATAACTGAGACCCAAAAAGATGAATATGGTATGTACTCACTCATTTGTAGATTTTAGTCATAAACAAAGGACATTGAGCCTATAGTTTTTGATCCTAAAGAAACTAAATAATAAGGTAAACCCAAAGAAAAACATAGATTTATTCTCCTGGAAATTGGAAGTAGACAAGATTGCTGAGCAAAAGTTGGGAGCATGGGGTAGGGATGGGGCAGGGGGAAGGGGAAAGGGAGAGAGAGAAGGGAGAAGGGGAGGATTAGAGAGGGCTTGGGGGAATGGGATAGCTGAGATGGAGGAAGCGTGGATATGGGAGCAGGGAAGCAGATATCTTAATTAAGGGAACCTTTTGAGGGTTGGTAAGAGACTTGGCTCTAGAGGGGTTCCAAGGTGTCCAAGGGGATGTCTCCAGCTAGGTCCTTGGGCAGCAGAGGAGAGGGTACCTGAACTGGCCTTGTCCCATAGCCACACTGATGAATATCTTGCATATCACCATAGAACCTACATCTGGCAATGGATGGAGATAGAGACCGAGACCAAATTGGGGCACTGGACTGAGCTCCCAAGGTCCAGATGATGAGCAGAAGGAGGGAGAAGATGAGCAAGGAAGTCAGGACAGAGAGGGGTGTGTCTACCCACTGAGACGGTGTGACTAATCTAATGGGAGCTCACAAAGGCCAGCTGGATTGGGACTGAATGAGCATGTGATCAAACCGGACTCTCTGTAGGTGGCTGACAATGGGGGCTGACTGAAAAGCCAATGATAATGGCACTGGGATTTGATTCTCCTGCATGGACTAGCTTTTCGGGAGCCTAGTCTATTTGGATGCACACCTTACTAGACCTGTATGTAGAAGGGAGGGCCTTGGAGTTCCCACAGGGCAGGGTACCCTGACTTCTCTTAGGACTAGAGAGGGAGGGGTCAGGAGGAGTAGGGGGAGTGGGAGGGAAATGGGAGGAGGGGAGGAGGTGGAAATTTTTAATAAATAAATAATAATAACAAAGAAAAAGACTTTTTGAACAGGACTCCATTTGCCTGGGAATTGAGGTCAACAATCCAAAAGTGGGACTTCATAAGCCTAAAACTCTTCTGCACAGGTAAAGAGCACAATCAATTGAATGAAGAGGAGGGCAAGGTGACTGTAAACTACTCTGGCCACCTTAGAAAGCAGTTTGAGGAACTCCAAAGCTACAAATAAATCTTCCATCTGAGATAGTTTTATGACTTCTCAGTATATTGCCAAAGGACTCCACAGAGTACTCCACAGTATTGCTTAGCCATCTTCATTGCTGCACTATTCGCAATAGTCAGAAATGGAAATAGCCTTAATTACTTTCAACTGATACACAAACAATGAACATTTATTCGTGTTTATTATGAAATACTATCCATCTTCATAAAAGTTAAAATTGTATAATTTATAGATAAATAGATGAGATTTTAAAAGGATCATATTGAGCGAGAAAACCTAGGCCCAGAAAGACAAATACCATCTGTTATTCCTACCTTCAAATTATTATATACAAGTGTGGACCTCACCCTTGCCAAAAAAATATCTATGCAACAGAGACTCTTACAAAAAACACAGCATATCAAAATGCATGCTTCTCCTGGGAAGAGCTTCCCAGCTTCCCTACCAAAAGGCTAGCCTTCATTTCATATATCTGCAAGTAACATTGTATAGACTGAGTAGATTGTATTCATGTTTTTCTCCTGCACACACACATACAAAACAGCAGCAATTAAAGAAAAAAAGGACATGAGTTGAGAGACAGCCCGGTGAGCAAATGTGCCATGGTACATGTGCCCATCTAGCCTTCCTCCAAAAATTAAAGAAAGAACTTTTTAAAAGCATTTTAATTATCTTACTGGAGTGGCTTTAGCACAATCAAGGTAAACACAGAGATGCACTTGAACCCTTATTTTTTCATGCAAATCTTTGTACAACTAATAGTCCAGTAAGTATACATCTTGGTATATTTACTTTAGGGTATTTTCAATTAAAGGCTGTTTTGGGGCATCACCTCGGTTTTACTGGGTTTGATCAGGAGTCTAGGCAGTTTTCCTGAGGGTGGTCACATGCTGAGCGTGGTCACACACTTCAGTTTTATAGGTTTCAGACTGATACTAAAGACAGTCATGAACAGACTTTCCTGTGGTAGGAACCGGTTCATTACTAAAGAAAATCTACTCCAATGCAATGCTTTTCTTATTCCACCACACACAATTTAATTAATTACCAATTGAGGGAGGGGTGCAAAAGCAAGATTACATATTTTTAACATTAGATGTTTTTCTCCTAATAATTTTATCAATAAAAAAATATGATTCTACAGTTGTATTTCAGTGTCAATAACAGCGCAGGTTCCACAGTCTGTACCTGAGATGACTATAAAGAGGGTTGCAAGACCTGTAAGGCCTCCCATTCTTTATTTATTTTAGTAGTCTTCCACATCACCAGCACGTATGGCAACCAGTGCTTTCTCATAGGGCAATGAAGCAAAATTCTGAAAATTAAATAATACAGGCAGTTGAAATCAAATCTCTCCATGGTTCAAAAAATCAACTGCAATTCTTTTAATCATGGTATGTAAGATTTGTGGACTGTTAGTCTTCACAAAATGATTTATTTTTCTGTCTAAAGATTTTCTGAGCCATATTCAAGGTGAAACTTATTAAAAATAATGCTATTTATATTCAGTACAATATGTTTTATGTAAAACTGGTGAAACTTTAATGTTCATTTATGAGCACAATAAAATGATAAAATGAATCTTTTCTTCAGCTTTCCTGTGTTACCCTGGTGTAGGACTGTGGTCTGTATTCTGTCAGTTATATTTTAAATAAATGCTGATTGGACAGTAGTCAGGCAGGAAGTATAGGCAGGACAACCAGGCAGGAAGTAGAAGTGGGTCAATGAGAACAGGAGAATTCTTGGAAGAAGGAAGTCCACTCCTCTGCAGTCTTGACCAGATCACAGAAGAAGCAAGATGTGACTGCCCTGCTGAATAAGGTACTGAGCCACATGGTTAAAACAGATAAGAATAATGGACTAATAAAAGTTATAAGAATTAATAGGAAGCATGAGCTAATGGCCAATCAATTTATAACAATTGTAGACCTCTGTGTGATTTCTTTGGGACCTAATGATTGCAGGAACCAGGCAGGACAGAAAACTAACAACAGTACCCAAATATTAATATATTAATTGATGGATTCTGGACATTGTCAATGTGTTTCAAAAGATACAAAAACATTTATACTCTTTAATTCAGGAATATAAAGAAATGCAATTTAAAAATTTATGGATGAGCACAGGGAACTATAAACACATGCATCATAATGTTATGGTGTAGGAGGTTCTTCTATTCATGTGTTGCTGTCATTGGCTAATGAATAAAGAAACTGCTTTGGGCCTGATAGGGCAGGACTTAGGTAGGGGGAGAAGACAGAACTGAATGCTGGGAAGGAGGGCAGAGTGGAAGACGCCATGGATCTTCTGCCTGAGACAAATGCTGGTTAGAATCTTGCCAGTAAGCCACAGTCACGTGATGATACACAGATTAATAGAAATGGGTTAATTAACTTCCTATTAGTGAATAAGAAGTTCGAGTTAATGGCCACGCATTGTTTTAATTAATATAGTTTCTGTGTGGTTATTTTGTGTGTAAGCTAGCTGGGTGGCTGAGACAAACAAAGGCTTCTGCTCTTTGTAACAATTGGCAACTTCAATGTAGTCAACTAACTCCATGTAAACCCTGAGAGGGCTTAAAAAGGAATTTTAGACACAAATATAGAGTTTAACACAGCTGCTTTTTGCTGTTTGCTGGCAGGGTGTCATGGAGAAATTTTCCTGACTCAGCAGTAGCAACAGGAAAAAAAAAGTTGCACCAATTTAAAAGGAGGCTTCCTGGGCCCTGGCCCTGTGCATACTCCAGCTATGGAGAATTTTTGGGCCGGGTGCTTGTGTGCCCACTCAGGATCAGGAGGAAATTAACTGAGACCATGTCCATGGCTTGGCTCATCCTGCCTGGACAGGTGGCAAGAGCAGGTTTACTAGGCTTGGGCAGGCCCGAGAGCATGACAGATTCCCACCGACATAAAGAGAAATGTTTCCAGGCTATGTAGTGCTCTGCGTGGCAGATTAGCTATAACTCAGATAAAAAGGGTTTATGTACTGCATGCTCATTCTTGAGGTTGGACTGTTGAGTGTGCCTCCTGCTGGTAGCCCCAGAGCCAGCACTAGTGGTGCTTCTAACATTTTCAAATTGAAGAGAGGTGGAGACAACATCCAGTGCAGCTACAACCAAGATGCTTAGATTTTAAAAGCTCTTCTAGACAGTATAAAATTACAGACAATGCAATAAGAGAAATTCAGACATAAAAGACCTCTAAGTGGATCACAGTGTTGGATAAAAGTATGTAGACTTGGGAGAGAGAAGAGAAAGAGTATAAAGAATCATAAAATAAAGTTAATGCTTAAAAAAGTGTTAAGTCTTTAAAGAGACAGAGTACAGATAGTCATAGATTAAAAGAAGTAAAGAAGAATACTCTAATTAACCCAATTAAAAAATGGGGTGCTGATCTGAACAGAGAATTCTCAACAGAAGAACTTCGAATGGCCAAAAGACACTTAAGGTCATGCTCAACATCCTTAGAGATCAGGGAAATGCAAATCAAAACAACTTTGAGATATCATCTTACACCTGTCAGAATACCTAAACTGAAAAACACCAATGATAGCCTATGCTGGAGAGGATGTGGAGAGAGGGGAACTCTCATCCATTGTTGGTGGGAATGCAAACTGGTGCAGCCACTGTGGAAATCAGTGTGGCGGTTTCTCAGGAAACTGGGAGTCAACCTACCTCAAGACCCAGCAATTCCACTCTTGGGAATATACCCAAGAGATGCCCTATCATACCACAAAAGCATTTGTTCAGCTATGCTCATAGCAGCACTATTTGTAATAGCCAGAACCTGGAAACAACCTAGGTGCCCCTCAATAGAAGAATGGTTAAAGAAGGTGTGGAACATATATACATTAAAGTTTTACTCAGCGGTAAAAAACAATGACATCTTGAATTTTGCATGCAAATGGATGGGCATAGAAAACGCTTTACTGAGTGAGGTAAGCCAGACCATAAAAGAAGAATATGGTATGTATTCACTCATAAGGGGATTCTAGCCATAATTAAAGGTCTTTGAGCCTATTAATCGTGATCCTAGAGAAGCTAAATAAGAAGGTGAACCTGAAGAAAATCATGTAGTTATCCTCCTGGAGATCGGAAATAGTCAAGAGTCCCAGGTAACCTCGGTTGCATGCGGGGGTGGGAGGGTTGTTGGAAGGGGAGAGGGTTAGAGAGAAGGGAGTAGGGGAGGAATGGGGAAAGCTGGGGGACTGGGATTGGGGAGAGGGAAGAAGGATGGATATGGCATCAGGGAAGAATATATTTCAACTAAGGGAGTCATTTTAGGGTTTACAAGAGACTTGATTATAAATGGGATCCCAGGTCCAAGGAGAGATCCCCAGATTGTTCTCTGGACAGAGGAGAGGGTACCTGAACCAGCCTTGGCCCATAACCATACTGATGAATATTTTGCTTATCACCATAGAACCTTCATCTGGCGATGGATGGAGATAGAGACAGAGACCCACATTGGAAAACTGGACTTAACTCCCTAGGTCCAAACGAGAAGCAGAAGGAAAGAGAACGCGAGCAAAGAAGGCAAGACCAGAGGGAACCTTGATCCGATGATGGATGGCAATACAGACGGAGACCCACATTGGAGCACCGGACTGAGCCCCCCAAGGTCCAAATGACGAACAGAAGGAGGAAGAACATGAAAAAGGAAATCAGGACCACGAGGGGTGAGATCACCCACTGATGCAAGGGGACTGATCTAATGAGAGTTCACCAAGGCCAGTTGGACTGGGACTGAACGAGCACGTGATCCAACCAGATTCACTGAATGTGGCCGGATTCTCTGAATGTGGCTGGCCCGGAGTCTTTCTGAAAAGCCATCGACAATGACACTGGGACTTGTTTCCTCTGCATATACTGGATTTCTGGGATCCAGTCTGTTTGGATGCTCACCTTCCTGGACCTGGAGGGAGGGGGGAGGAACTTGGACTTCCCACAGGGCAGGAAACAATGACTGCTCTTAGGGATGGAGAGGGAGGAGGAGAGGGAGTGAGGGGAGTGGGAGGGTGTTGGGAAGTGGGGCGGAAATGGAAACTTTTATAATTTAATAAACTTTGGAAAAAAATGGAAAATTCACAGAGAGTCTGGATTTTGTATAATATTGTCTTGCCTTTGAGTTTTTTGACTGTGAAGGAGCTAAGTACAGAGAGACATTTTATTGTATGGGCTGCTAAGCTAAATCAGCATGTATATTATATACATATTTTGACTTCAGAATTTGTGTTCACGGATATGATGCTTTGGTAAAGAGGTCTTCTTTTGTTTTTACAGAAGATGAGGACCTGTGGATTACCTCCAGGCAATTATAGTTTCAAGGGCCAAGGCCTCCTGAAAGGTTCTGTAAACACCCTCAAAAAATTTCTTTACCCAACTGCTGACTGAGATGAACCTAGCATGCAGGATACACCATAAAAGACCTGAATAAGAGTACCCCCAATCACTAGGAAGTAGTTTGGACAGAACTGCACCCATATTTCCAAATATTGTTAATAAATGTTTGTTTATACTTAAGTGGGGATATGATATTATATATATATAAATAATTTGCACTGATATAAATCTTGATTTATTGATACAAATTTAAGGTTAATTTTGTTTTCTGTATATGTATTTCTGATCTTGATTAAGGTATTGTGATTGTGTAGCTCATTTAAAAATGTAATGTATAATTAAAAAATATAGGTTAATAGATAATCATCTATAATAGTCAAGTTTGTAGTCATGTTAGTTAGATTTTTTAGATGTGCATAGATATATTTCAGATAGGCATTTTTCATATCTTTCAAAGACTACAGAATATGGCATTTAAAATGTTTTAATAACTTAGGACTTTTCATGACAATGAGACACATTTGCTCTTGGCAGCACCAGCTACTTCAAGAGGAAGATGGGCATTGAAGAGACTTCTTATGGAGTTTGCTAACCATTTGGTCAAGAAACTGCTCTTGCCTAGACTGCTTCACTGAACATGCAGTACCCACAGAGAGAGGACTGCTGAACTTACCTAAAGGTGAGATGGTCCTTTGGGGTTCCTTCTTCATGAAAGAGTCTGCAAGACATTCTGTAAGACACAGAATAAAGTGACTGAACTTCCTTTGAAATTTCCTGCTTCATGGAAAAGTCTGCTGGATACTATGGGTCTGTAGGCTAAAGATGGATGCCCCAATGGCACAGAAGAACTTTGAGTGACGGCACAGGCAGTGAGATATCTCTGTCAATTCTAGAGTTTTGGAAGTTTCTTACAATGTGCTTCCTGTTTACTTAGGTAATATATCCTTTTGGACTCTTTCATGGAGTTGAAGAATAGACAGTTATTATTATAGTTTTCCTTAGTTATGATAAAAGATAAAATAAATATAAATATTGTAACTGTAGTTTTTGCTTGATACCTATTTTATTATATGTAATTTTACTATGTTAAAATTAAAACCTTCTTTTCTTTTTTAAACAGAAAAGGGACAATGGTGTAGGAGGTTCTTCTGTTCATGTGCTGCTTTCATTGGCTAATGAACAAAGAAACTGCTTTGGGCCTGATAGAGCAGGACGTAGGTAGGGGGAGAAGACAAAACTTGATGCTGAGAAGAAGGACAGAGTGGGAGATTCTTTGAATCTTCTGCCTGAGATGGACGCTGGTTGGAATCTTGCCGGTAAGCCACAGTCACTTGGCAATACACAGATTAATAGAAATGGGTTAAATTAAGATGTAAGAAATAGTGAATAAGAAGTTAGAGCTAATGGCTAAGCATTGTTTTAATTAATATAGTTTCTGCAAGGTTATTTTGGGGGTAAACTAGCTGCGTGACCAGGCCAAACAAAGGCTCCTGGTCTTTGTAATAATGTTACATAGCAATGAAACATTATTAGTGGATATATAAAGCCTATGTTGATGCTCAGTTTAGTTTCTTTGCTTGTTTGTGTTTTGAGACAAGGTTTCAAGGAGCCTGTCCTTGTCTCTACTTGTTTTTAAACTGAGGGTTGACATGAAGTCTTTATTTTTCTGCCACAACCTCATGAGTTCTACTGTGAAGGTTGCAGCTATAAATACAGGGGAAGGGCCACATCCACATGGTCCTGTGTATTCATGTGAGAACTGAAACCTTGAAGAACAGTCATGGGGAGTGAGTATTAAAATCAAAGAAGGAAAGATTTTACTTTCACGGTGCAATGACTTCGCAGGTTAAGATTTATTTGTTAAAGCACTGAACGCTGTGCCTGAATTCTTAAAGTCAACCACCCTTGTCAGATATGTAGCTTTCTAGATCCCAACATCAAATTGCTTAAATTAAAGCTTTTATTTATGGTCCAGAAAGAACAAAATATGAGGTTAAGTCAAACATGAAGCAAAAGCTTACTTTGATATCATGAAACAAGAATTTCCCAAATCTCTCTTTATAACATTTTTATATGGTCATTAGGTCTATTTTACTTCTGGCAATTAGAATCCAGATGACAGTTTTACTATGGAAGCTGAAGTCCTAATAGTTGAAGAAAGGTGGGTAGAGAAAACAGCACTTTAAAAGTCTGTCCCACATCCTTTGCAGTAGCACTTTGCTTGCAGGTCCACATGCCTCCAAAACCACAGCTAGGGATGTCTGAGGCCTAGCTACACAGATGGTTCAAATGTCTTTAAACAGAATAGTGGAGATATCTGGTGGTCAGTCAGCATAATCTGCTTTTATTTCAGAATTATTTGAGTGTCTATGAAAAAAATCAACAAAAATAATTTTTGATTTGAAGTTATTAAAATAAATTATCTGAGCAAGTTTTCAATTTTAAAATGTAGGTCATTTGAAGTTTCTTTATTACAAACAAAGTTTCAGGGGAATAAAAACAGATTGCTGACAATTGTTTGCTATGCCAGCTCCTCATATAAGAATTTTGGATTACTTATATGTAATCAACTTTAGCTACAAACTATTTGTCAATCTAAGAACATTTTTTTCTGCCTCGAACATATAGGGTTATGATTTAATTTGTAAGTCATTAGAATGAATTTTACCAAATCAGAGCATAGCTGGAATTAGAATAACTTATTATTTGCCCAGGGTAATTCACAGGGGAATTTTAGTCTGGTGTCACAGTCATGGCTCACTGGAGAGGAATTGTTGAATTACAGTAGAGCTTCGCTCAAGATACTATTTTGCACAAAGCAAAGAAGCTATGAACAATAATTTTTCTCTTGAGTTCTGAGACTATGTAAATTTTTATGCATAAGCTAACTCCTATGTCCAAGACACTTAATAAAAATATTCTTAACTATTAGCATAATTCCCCAACATGCTGGGAAATATCAAGAAGTTGACCTGTAAAATATCTTTGGTAATATTTTACTTACATGCATAAAAATGTCATACTTAACCTGCTCTTTTGTACAAATAATACATACTAATGAGAAATAAATTGTTTTAAGAATAGCACTTTCTGATCATTGAAATTGTATATTTTGCTCAAATCACTATACTTTTGCATTTAGTGAGAGTATCTTTATTTCATGGGTATGATATATGTATGTAAGATATTTTCTTTAAACTTTTATTACATTATTTGTGTGTTCACGTGTGTCTGTATGTATGCGTGTGTGCATGCTTCTTTATGTATGTGTGTGTTTGTGTGTGTTGTGTGTGTACGTATGTTGACTTGTATGTGCATGTGTGCATTTTTATAGGTGTATACATGAGTGTGTTTCTGTGAATCTGTATGTGTATGTATATTGTGTATATGTGTGGTCATGTGTGCATATGTATGTGTAAATGTTTTGGTTTCTATGTGTAAATGTTTTGGTTTCTATGTATATGTGTGTTGATTTATGTGTGTATGTGTTTTTATGAGTATATATGTGTGCAGGTGTGTTGGTTTGTATGTGTGTGTATGTGTTGTGTTTATGCATGTGCACATGTGTGTGTGCATGTGTGTGTGTATGTGTACCACAGTGTACCTTTGGAGGTCAGAGGTCAACTTGTTGGAGTTGTTCCTTGAACCATGTGGGTGGCAGGAATTGAACTCAGGTTGTCAGGCTTGGAGGCAAGAGCCATCTCAGATGAGGTCACTGAGCTATGTCCCTAGTCCATCCTTTTTCTTCTTTAAGACAATATCAGAACATGATGAAGACTGGGTCCCTTATCTGATGAGCTTAAGTGTTTGTGTCCTTAAACTGGACTGTTTCAGGGTGTGCAACTGAATCCCACACCAGAACATGAATTACAGTGTGTGCTATTGAACATCATACCAAGGCATGGATAATACTATCAGTTATTTACAAAAAAACAGGTCTAGACTTTATTGTTGTTTAATGATATTTTATAGTATTTTTGACATATAGTACTTGTACACTGAAAAAGTAGTATTTTGTTTCCAAATTTCAAAAATTATAACTGGTCTTTTTTTTGGCTGAGAGTTTACATTATTTTGGTATTTTCTGCCATATATTTTGTGCTTACATACATGTGAAGTAGGGTCTTAGAATATGTCCAAATGTATGTGGATTATCCATTTATATAAATGGTCAGACTCTAAACTGCATGAAGGAAATACACCCTGAAGTCCCAATGTTTTATGTGCTTATGCTGTATGACTCATATGTCACATATGTCTTATGTGACATATCTGTATTTAATAAATTTTGCTTTGGTGTTTAACTAACTTATTTTTACATGAACGCAATTTCTTTGAATTAAAAATAATATATGTTAATTTTAGATGAATTTTAAGACTTGTGTTATACTTACATGGCTTGCCCTGTATCATTTATACGCAAAATAGCTTGCTTTCTCCTGGTCACAGTGAACTAGAGAGGTAGAGAGCAAGGAAGATATTTGAATAATATGCAATTCTTCAGAAGTTGAGAAATAGAATAAATAGAACACTTTTATAATCGGCCAAAATCATGGCATTGAATTACAATTTCAAATTTTAGAATAATGGTAGCATTAGCCATACTTTACTAAAAAATATACACTGTCAACTCTGTATTTTAAAATGACAAATGATCTTAACTAAACATAAGACCATTATTATTAATTTTAAAAAATATGGTGCTAAACTGGGTGGTGGTGGCATGATGCGGGAGAATTATCTGTATTCTGACAATCATATTTTAATAAAATGCTGATTGGCCAAGCAGGCAGTATAGGCGGGCCAACCACACAGGAAGTAGAGGTGGGGCAATGAGAATAGAATAAGGCTACGGAGGAGGAAGGTCCCTCCGACATTCCTGTCCAGATCACCGAAGAAGCAACATGTAAGCTGTCTCACTGAGAAAGGTACTGAGACCGTGTGGCTAACATTGACCAGAATAATGGGTTAAGATAAGTCATAAGAACTAATAAGTAGCCTGACCTAATGGACCTAATGTAGACTCTGTGTTATTTTCTTTGTTGCTTGCTGGCTGTTGGGGTACTGGGAGGGACAGTAACCCCAACAAGTCTGCCCCCTCATGTTACATATGGCGCCCAGACGTGGATAGCTGAATCCACAGAAAGCTTGAGAAAGCTTGGGATCGAATAGAGTAAAGCATGTTTTGTTGGTAGCAGCAATTTCTCGGGTCTACTTTGCCTGCTAGAGGCAAGCAAAGCTCTCATATGAGAGAGGCTTCCTAACTCAACTTTAGCTGCAAAACCTTGCAGCTCATTAAGAGGTCCTGCCACGAAACACTTAAATGGTGTTTATCAAAAGCTGAACGTATGCTTTTCGGTTTTCAGCCGTAGCAGGAAAAAAGCTGTGCTGTTTTAAAATGCCGACTTTCTGGGCTGTCCTGTCAGGGCAAACTCTGACTCTTTCAGGCAGGCAGTCCGACTGAGTGTGGTCTGTGAGCAGAATGCTGCAGCTTGCTTGCTAGCAAGGACCTTGAAACGTCATAGAGTTGTGGCAGTTAACACAGCTGTGGCTGGTATTGCAGCCATGAGACTGAAGAGCTGGGGAGTGGGCTGGATCTAGCCCTCAAAGCCACTGCTCTCCATATTGCTTAGTAAATTAAAGGCTCATGTGGTCAGAAAGAGAGAGAGATACAGTAAAGAGAGGTTCAAAGACGAAGAAAACCTCTAAATGGTTTACTATGTGTTAACAATATATGCAGGCTAAAGGTTAAAGTCATTAAAAATAAAAAAGAAATAAAGGGAGAAATAGGGTGTGGTGGTACACACCTTTAATCCCAATGCCTGGGAGGCAGAGGTACGTTGACCTCTGAGAATTTAAGGAGTAGAGGTGGTTGACCTCTGTGACTTCAAGGTGTGGTAGCACACACCTTCAATCCCAATGCCTGGGAGGCAGAGACAGACAGATCTCTATGAGTTCAAGGTGTGGTAGCAAACACCTTTGAGCCCAGTACTGGGGAGGCAGAGACAGGAGAATCTCTGTGAGTTCAAGGATAGCCTGGTCTACAGAGTTATTCCAGGACCAATATATATACAGAGAACCTGTCTCAAAAAGCCAAAAGTTAAAAGTAAAATTAAAAGAAATAGAGGTTGAAATAAAGCTGCATAAAAATCGAAAATACTGGATGTCAACCTGTAGAAGGATGAAAGTAGATCCATACCTATCACCATGCACAAAAATCAGGTCCAAATGGATTAAAGACATCAACATTAATCCGTCCACTTTGAACCTGATAGAAGAGAAAGTGGGAAGTAGTATACAAGATATAGGCACAGGAGGCCTCTTCCTAAGTAGGACCCCAGTAGCACAGACAATAAGAGAAACAATGAATAAATGGGATCTACTGAAACTGAGAAGCTTCTGTAAAGCAAAGGACACTGTAAGACAAAAAGGCTGCCTTCTGACTGGGAGAAGATCTTCACCAACCCCTCATCAGACAAAGGTCTGATCTCCAAAATATACAAAGAACTCAAGAAACTAGACACTAAAACTCTAATTAATCCAATTAAAAAATGGGGTACTGAACTGAACAGAGAATTCACAACAGATGAACTTCGAATGGCCAGAAGACACTTAAGGTCATGCTCAACCTCCTTAGCGATCAGGGAAATGCAAATCAAAACCACGTTGAGATACCATCTTACACCTGTCAGAATAGCTAAAGTCAAAAACACCAATGATAGCCTATGCTGGAGAGGATGTGGGGGGAGGGGAACACTCATCCATTGTTGGTGGGAATGCAAACTTGTGCAGCCACTGTGGAAATCAGTGTGGCGGTTTCTCAGGAAACTGGGAGTCAACCTCCCTCAGGACCCAGCAATTCCACTCTTGGGAATATACCCTAGAGATTCCCGAACATACTACAAAAGCATTTGTTCAACTATGTTCATAGCAGCGCTATTTGTAATAGCCAGAACCTGGAAACAGCCTAGGTGCCCCTCAGTAGAAGAATGGTTAAAAAAGGTGTGGAACATATACACATTAGAGTTTTACTCAGCGGTAAAAAACAATGACATCTTGAATTTTGCATGCAAATGGATGGAAACAGAAAACGCTTTACTGAGTGAGGTAAGCCAGACCCAAAAAGAGGAACAAGGTATGTATTCACTCATAAGTGGATTCTAACCATAATTAAAGGTTTTGAGCCTATTATTCGTGATCCTAGAGAAGCTAAATAAGAAGACGAACCTGATGAAGATTATTTAGCTACCTGCCGGGAGGTAGGAATTAGTCAAGAGTCCCAGGTAACCTCGGGTGCATGGGGGGGGTGGGAGG